TGTCCTCCACTGTTCACAAAACAAAGTACTGTTGTGCACATAGGTGGAAAAATTAGTTTAACCCATTCACCCCTGAGATTTCCTCACTGTCTGTGTTCATTGAACTCTGATGGGATCTAAATACTTCCTTTGAGATTGTACACATGGGCCATGCACTGAGGTCAGACCATGGCCTTTGTGTACATGTGCATGGGCATGTGTGCGTGTGCTGAATTGGTCTGGATAGAGTGACTTGCTTTGTGCGTGACCAGTCGACCACATCCCTCACAATAGGCAGAAAAAGGGGGTGACAACCTTTTGACAGAGCATTTTATCTCAGTGAGATCATAGCAATTGGCTATTTATGGCATGTGACATGTTGTTATGAGAGGAGTGTTTGAACTGGGTGCAGAGAAATACTGTTTAATTTCCCCTATACTTCACCTTTCCTTTGCTCACTCCAAAACAGTCTCTTCTTTTGATAATCATATGCAGTCCAGCACAGTGATTCATCCCTAGCCTGCTGAACTCACCACTGTTTTGTTGCTCTTTTTTGCTCCCCCTCCCCTTCCTTTATTTTTAACAACCCCATTATCCCCTTCTCTCCTCTAAACTGACCACCGCATGTTTGTGAAAACTGATTTTGGTTCCTCCAAGTCCAGCACCCCCGCCCCCCCCCCGCAAATTGTGAGACAGAACCAGGCATAGAGGGAGGGGGAAAGTGAGGGGGGGAAAGGGCGGGGGTTAAGAGAAATGGAGGGAATGGTTGATGAAAACAACAGATCTCTGCTCCCTAATCCTTTTGTGTCGACGGTGTTAATCCATCCGAGCAAACCCAGCCCCACCCGCACTGCTCACCCTCCCTCAACCCCAGCTTCTGCACCATATACCAGGCGCTCCCACCACATAAACAACCGGCAGCACTACTGAAACCAATACTCATCCCCCAGACAGTCAAGCAGAAGTACACAGCCGCCGCAGTAGCCCCCTGACAAACACACAACTCAGGCTCAACTCTGTCCCTGCTTTCATCCTGTTCATCTTTGTGGCCACTGGGAACAAGTCTCTGTTTTGGATTGCTTGCTTTGTTTGTCTATGCAAACATATTTTAATCTTGCATCAGCATGTCAATGTATGTGTATTGGAAGTGGTGGTGATTGCAAAGTATTGTTTTCCCTTTTTGTGTATTTTTGCTTTCATGTGATTGCTTCTCTTTGTTTTGACCTGCTTTGTTTTGGCTACTGTACATGCAATGAATGCACTTGAGAGAAACACGGTGTATCCACTGCAAGTGTTTTTGTGTCGTGGTCTTGTTTACGAGCTGTAAGAGAGGAGGGGGGTGTCAGGGAGGGGGAGCACAGCGGTTGCTGGGGGAAGAGGAGGTTGTGTCTAATGAGGTCACACCCTGGCAACCCGGTGACTCCTCCCACTCAACTCCCCCCACCCCCATCTTTCCAGTTGGCCCCCTCTGAGTGTGCCCACCCACTCAACACCCCCCCTCCACCCCCTTCACCCTCTGACAGAGAGAGCTCTCCGTGGTGCTGAAAGCAGAAAAACACGTTCAGGCTCCAGTTACAGTGCAGCCGCGAAGGGAGGGCAGAGCAGACACACGAGACAAAAACATAAAATGACTTATTGGAGAGAGAGACTGGGGTATGAGTGTGAATGAGGATGAGTTGAGAAGCATGCAGCAAGAGAAATAGCAGTCCAGGAATAGGAAGCAGAGAGAGGGTGAGAGGATGACGCTGTAGTGGAAGGCGGCTACAGCAGGCAGTGGGCGTGTTCTTCTTGTTGTGATCTATAGTTGGGAAGCCCGGTGTCATCTGCTTAAGCACAGACTGACTATACCGACCTGTGTGGCTGAGCAGGCAGAGGGAGCCGGCAGGGAATGCCACACCAGGAAACACACTCTGCTCTACCTTGGTCTCAACCTTCAGGGCACTGTGAATGTGGATTCCTTTCACCTGTGCGACACTCTGAGACATTTGGTGCATTCGGACATATTAAAGCAGAAGGAAAGACATTCTGGGAAAGAAGCTTTAGAAAGACTGCAAGTGTTTGGTCTGCAACTGCAAGGGGAGTTTGATGTGAGAGCGTGTGAGTGTGTTAGTGTGCATTTGTGTCATGCTTGCGGTTGCGGGTGCGGTCTGTTGCTACGCTGCGTCTTCCTTCTGTCTCTAGAATGTGCAGATGTGTGGAGCAGTGAAGCTGGCACCTTGTTTGGAGTTTGACAACATCTGGACTGGAGGGGTCGCATCTCCCTTTTCTGCCCAGGGGAGGGAGTATTGGGCTGGGCACCCAATGGCCCAGCTCCCCTCTAGCACCAGCCTCATCCTGGGTCACAGGGACTCCTTCTAGAAAGCCAGTCAGTTGGACCGTACAATGGATGGATGTCTATGTGGATTTAAGTGGAATAGTGCACTGGTGCTCCAGCATAGGTCAGAGTTCCCTAGCGTGCACTGGACTCATCAGGAGAAGACAGAAGACACGTTGGTCCACAAACCAGCAGGGACACAGCCCCATTGTAAGTATGCTTATGCACAACATTGACCCACAAACCCACAAAAAAAAAATGCCAGCAAAAGCCAATGATATACACATCATAATGTATGCAAAAGTTTTTTTTTTCTCTACTCAGGTCCATATAAAAATCACAAAAGCAGAGCTGCCAAGTGTTGCACCTGTGTGTGCCTGGGTTTACAGGTTAAGCTTTACTTGGTCCGTTGCACTGCACTGATTGTGTGTGCATGCACGAGTGCCCACGCGTGTTGTCACCAGATTATTGGCCTTGCAATCTTTTTGACATTGTGTCTCTAGAATATCCATGCTGCCCTTCTTGTGGGACATGGTTGCCTGGAAACAGAAATAGTGTGTCACTTTCATTTACTTTTAAAGCAAAGTCCACCTCTGTGTTCCAACTGTTGCAGCTCATGTCAACTGGAGCAAAGAGAGGCAGAGGAGATGAGACAGATAAAAAGAGAAAATGCATCAAATGAAGGGAAAGAGCAATAAGAAGGAAGATTTGTCGGGGGAAAAAATGGGTTACCGAATTGGCAGGTTTTATAGAGATGAATAAATAATAAAAGCAGTTTACATCGATGAGTTACGGGAGGACAATCCAATGTGAAAGGCTTGGTTGGTAAAAACAGTGTGATAAACAAGCTGATGCCAGTGCAGAGTGCTGCTGCAGGCTTACGGGGATTAGGCAGGCAAGCTTAATTCCACTCAAACACTGTTTGAACTGTGCCTTCCCTTTGCTGCACCCCTAACACATCTAACCGGTGCACCTCGTTTCTCTTCAGAAACCAAGATTTATTTTCTTTGTACAGCTTCAGATCTCTGACTGTGGCTGTGCATCGGTGATAAGACCTGATAATCAGGGGGGAAAAAAATCTTGACACCACTTGACACCAGGATTCTGTGCCCTAGTTTGAGCTCTTCACTGAGACGGTGATTCTGTCTGTCGACTCTTATCAGTCCTCTCCTCATGCTTGTAGAAACCTATGCTAAGGTGTGTTGAGAATGCGTTGTAGGGAGTGGAACTGGCAGATAAACCCATTGACCTAGGCCCCATGCTGGACTTATTGATAGACAGACATGAGGTAGAGGGATGCTGAGGATGGCCAGACAATGGCCGCTCTCTCTTGCCCTGCAATCTCCATCTGGCTGCCCTCCAAGCCCTCCCCTCGCTGCCCTTGCCTGCCTACACACACATGCACACACAAACATACATACAGTTATCACAAGCCCCCTCCCCCTCCCTATGCACACTCACACTCAGTGCTTCTCTCACACGTAAACAAGCATGAGTCTTAGGCTGATCTGAAAACATTGACCTACATAAAAGCATTCACTGTCTTCTTCTCTCCCATCACTGGACTATCCAAAGTCACACCCGGCCGTTGCACATGGTATATACTATATTGCATGCAGTTGCACAGGTTTTCAAGTGCATGCTATACACGTATGCAGACTGAATAACATCAGTAACTGCTCTGTGCTAGGTTTGCATCTTAAGTAGCTGCAAAGACTGCTATTTTAAACTGATTCCCATTTAGAAGGAGCGAATCACAGAATGATTGCACTAATGTGGATGTTTCATTGAAGAGGCTTTTCCTCACAGCAGCATCCATGCTCTTTCTTATGACAGTGATGTTGTCTGTAAGAGTCTTTTTACAGAACCAATGCCAGCAAGGAACACTAAAACTCACAAGGAGATTATTTTTAGATCTAAGACATAAGATGATGACGATGATGTCTGCATATGCAAAACCATGCATCGCAGTCTAGTAAGATTGGTTCATTTCATCTGTGTGGTTTGTCCCAGGAGTGCTATATTTTCACATCTGAGCCCAACACGTATTACAACTGCAGAAGATGAAAGCCCCTTTTTTCTAGTTTTATTCAGACACTCTTATTTAAAGCCAGTAATTTCAGCCAGAAAATGTGCAAACACAACTGAGAAAATGAGCAGCCACTACGGCTCCAAAAAAAGGAAACTGAAGCACTGACACTGAAGGTTATGAGTAACTGTAGCTAAGTAGTGAGTGCCTTGACTCTTTGCATATTTACATGTGCACGTGAGCTTTCGTGTATGTGTTTGTGCACAATGAATGATGGAGAAAGATGTTGCGACCCTCCAGGGAAAATGGTTACTCTTGCAGACACAGGCATGATGCAAGTCTCACCACCAACACGCACCTTCCATAGGCCCACGAACTCCACAGTTAACATTAATAACAAGAGGAACAACACACAAACTCAATGTGTAACATTACTGTAGCGCTAATGCAATCTTGCTCCATCGGTTTTCCTCTCACCAAGGCTGACCTTGAAAAATGAAGGTTGAAAGAATAATTACTGACACATATTCATGCTTGCTTTGCATTCAGAACATACCCATATATGATGCTGTGGTGGTCCACATCATTAGTAGTCTTTTGTGACTCATTGGGCAAATAATTATGACTAACATCTCCTATATTTTCTCATCAGAATGCTGTGGAAACGCTTGAAGAATGATGAGCTCCAAAGAGGAGGAAACGCTCCGTTTTTTCCAGTATGTTGAGGAGAATGGGCTGAGAGCCTACAACGGCCTGGTAGCTCAGAACTTTGACCACGCCAGGAATGAGAGAAATAGGGCATTCCTGCAGGAAAAAAACGAGAAGAAGAGAAAACAGGAGGAAGCCATAAGGAGGTAAGGAGAAAAGCAAAGAAAACAGACTCCTTGACAAAGATTGTGAAGAGAAATGTTCTATAAAAAACATATTAATCTGGTTTGGATAAGCAGGATAGTGGTGGATTTATGAAGTACATTCACAAGTCTCACTACAGAACATGAATGGGATTCTGCTCTGTAAATGCAAGGATGTCACTGGGTTCATTTCAGGGAGAGGTTGTAAGGAACTGGGACAAGTGGCCAGAGGGTCCCTGTGGCAATGGCTGGTTGCCATATTTTGGAGTTTGCCAGTGTGTACTGGTGCACCCCACGATCTTTAGAGGATAATTAATTTTTCACTTTTAGACTTATTTGGGACTTGTCCTTGCATGGAGGTCATCGCTGCTCCATTTTTGAGATAGAGAGCTTTTAGAATTAAAAAGGAGGGGGATTGGCTGTGACAGAAAAGTGTGTTAGGATGTGAGGGTGGGAATTAGACATCTTGTTATGCTGTACTCAAGTACACGTTTGTTGGAAGAAAACTTTACAGCTGTGTAGAAAGTTGCATCATTGTCAGGAAAAGTTTAAGAAAATGTATTTTTTTCCAATCGAGATCATCAGAGATTAGTCACATGCGCCGCTGCATTCTGTTTTGTATGTTGTGATGAGCGAGCAGTTACAGGAGTTACAGCAACTGCGCGCAGCAACACCACTGTGTGGCATCCCGAAACTTGAGCGAATAAGAGGCATGCACTCACAACGTGACTAGCACGTGGATACGGCGTGCTTGTGTTGTGGGGTAGAATAGTGAGCACTGAGTCACCCAGTCATTGGGGATGATAACAGGACAATGCAAAAGGGTTTGAAATGTGTTGGATGCAACGTTATGGACACTCGTGTTACTTTGTTCCCCCAAAAAATGGAGAGCAGAAACACTATCGGCTAATTTTTGGATTTATTTATTTATTTTATGTTTTTCAGTAGTTAAACATTAATTTGAACTTTGCATCAAGATCAATGTACATAACTGATAAATCTGTTGTAGTGGTTGTTTCTGTGACGTGACCGATGACATATCTGAAAATGTATAATCTTTACATGTCAAGAGATATGAAACATAGTTTTGATTTAACATTGTAGTTCTCATAAGTAGCATTAGTATGCTGAGGTATTTATATAAAGAATATCAATCAAGTGGATGCATATTATTTAAAAGAACAGCAAATCAGCTTTTAAAGAAATACTAGTTATTCACTTTGATGGTCAAACAAGTGATCTAATGATGCAGCAGGCTAAACAAACATCAGTTTGCAGTTGAAAGGCTTAGGGAAATGTGGTCCAGTGTTATCGTGTGTTCATTTGTCAGTCTGCCTGACATGGTACAAGGTATTTTAGCAGCTGTTGGGAGTTTTAGCTGTGCATCAGATGATTACATTGATGTGGTTTCGGGGGCTGAGCATTTATATGTGACCAGATGTGCTTCTTCTTAACTGATTTATTCAGGAACACTTTGAACCCTGTCACGTTTCTGTCAAAGGGTCACGCGATTTAAAAGGAGCTGCCTCTTTGCTGCCACTGTGATTGTCTGTTTTTGTACTGTATACCACTTGCATGAACAAAGCCGACTTAGAGTTTAAATTTATACCTCAGACATCAGAAAGAAATCTAAGTTACAAAAACACTCAGAAATCCATCCTGGACTCTTTTATAACTTGCCGGCAAAATTTCTCTGGTTCTTCTGATATTAGCATTCTGATGCAGTCTTGTACAGCAACTTGGTGAATGGGACAGGGCGACGCCTGAGGAAAGTGGCATCAACTGTCCTGCAATCCTTCCACTGGCTTTCAGCTGTTGCCAAAGCTAAAATATTAATACACAGTCACTTGAGGAAGAGTCTTAAAAAATAACTGGATTTTTCATGAGGCCTATAAGTAGGTCAATGAGACGACCCATTTTTACAGTAACTGACTGACAGTGAGACAGACAGTGAGGATTCATGTGTGCATGCTTGCATTTGCATGTGCGTCAAGAAGCACATGCCTACTTGTGTAGATTTGCATGCATGGACATGAACAACAGGAAAATAGAATATATTAGTGTGTGAGAAAGGTTAGGAAAGAACAAATGGCTCGTGTGACTGTGTGAGGGAGGAAGAGCTTGTTATAGCAATTGTATTTAAGAGTGGGGGGGGAGAAGGAAAAAAAAACCTGTTAGAGAGAGAGAGATTAAGTGTGAGCTCAGTTGCAGGAGATGTGTTCTGCCTGGTGACAGCTGGAACAGCCATAGGCCAATCAGATTGGTGCGTTAGGTTTGAGTGAGGCGGGCCTTCCTGCCTGCTGCTATCTCACTCTGGGTTTCTCTTATTGTATTTCATTTGAAGAAGTTATACACACACACACACACACACACACACACACACACACCCCACATACACACACACACGCACACACACACACACACACACACACACACACACACACACACACACACACACACACACTCACACACTCACACACTCGCACAGATGCCCAAAATTTACTTAAACATGCAAGTGTATTCATGAACACTCACACACACCACACACACAAAAAAACTACACACTCACTTACATTTACGTATATTTACATATGTATGCAAATTACAAACGGCTGCGTTAAGGCTTTCTTGGCCCTTTGTGCAGACATGCACGCATTCAAAGACATCTTTTTCCATCTCTTTTTTTCTCCAGATTTACTTCAGTGTTTTGCTTGTTTCTGTGATTTTTTTTCTCTTTTTCTTTCTCGTCACATGGTGTCACAGTGAGAGACCCAGAACTGCCCGACGACAAGTCAACTCCAACTGGTCCAAGTGCACCTGTGGTCTGTCCTCTAGCCAATCACTGGGCAAATATCCTATAAATAACCCAGTCACCACTACTCCAGTCACACCCACCCACCCATACTCACAACCCATGTGTATGGGTGTGCATGCACACAGTCACAGCAGATGCACACCCAAAACATATGAGAGGGATGTGCTACTGACACCTGTGGCTGAGTGTTGTAGATCATTCTTTCTTTTTTCAAAGACGTTTCACCCCAAACATGGATGATTAATATTGTTATTAGTGTTATATTGCAACTAAGCATGTGATTTGATGTTTACGTTTATTCTAACTTTATTCAAATTACATTAGCAATGTGGCTCTACAGGTAGCTGCAGGTACCTTTCTCTTGTAGAACCTCTGTCATCTGTAAACAAGACGTAATGTGGTCATGATGTGCACGTGCACTTTATTATTGTTGTGTGGCGGCAGCTGGTTTTGTGTCTGGTTTCTATGGGTACCCTGTTGCTAGGCAAAGTTAAGCCCCTGACCAATGAACCCACCCCACCAAGCACCTTCTGTTCAGCAGCTGGCCGGGAGGGAGTCAGAGTCAGCAAAGTCCCACACTGAGGGGTCACACACACACACACACACACACACACACACACACACACACACACACACACACACACACACACATACATATACACACACACGCAAATGTGCAGACACTCACGCGAGATAGAGATTTGTGAAACCACACATGCAAATTCGTCCATTTGTTTAAACATTCAAATCTCTGACATTAGCTTAATTGTGTCTCTGATATGAGAATAAATAAATAAATAAACTGCAGAGATCAAGCGTGCATACATTGCAAATTTATCATGTCTTTTGTACAAACTATTTCCCTAAGCACTGTCAGATCTTGAGCTCATTTACTCTGCAACACACATACACGAACACACACACACACACACACACACACACGAACACACACTTGACACACACACACACAGACCTCCTTTCCCCCATTACCACACACTACACTCAGACATCATTAACGCTCCATTCAGGCCAATCATCCATTTATAGGGATTGATTGTGTACAGGCTGGGGGACTTCCATGGTGTCATTCAGTGTGTGGTTGTGTGAGCAGCGTCGGTCATATCCAGGGTTAAACTCAAATCGATGCCCTGCCCTGAAAGAGACCCTGTTTTCAATTGAACTAACACGTCTGTTATTGGTAACTTAGCGCTCTCATCATTTGAGCCCCTTGCGCAGAAGGAAATGTACATGAACACACACGTATTCTTCACATTAATGGAGAATGGCATGATGACTCTGTGTTTCAGGGTATGTGCTATTTTTGCTGCCTCCTGACAGGAAAAACTTCACGTTTGTTTCTGAAAAGAAAAGTAATATTTATCAGTCCATTTTAAAATGTCTTATTCTTCTTGCATCAAATATCCTGCTTTTATCTTCCTCTGTACCTTCTCTCCCTCTCCTCTCTTCTGTTTTAGGACGGGCGAAGACATAGCAACTGAAGGCAAACACTTACGTATGGGCTCTATTACTATGCCGGACCCCCAGGAACACATGCCCATGCCCCACCCGCATGCCCTTGCCTGTGGGCAGGGCTTCTCCATACGCTCCCAGTCCCTCCACTCTGTCGGTGGTGGGAACAGTGGTGGTGGAGGAGAGGAGGAAGTGGGAAGCCCGACCTCAAGGAAGCAGCCCCCGCCCAAGCCCAGGAGGGACCCGGCCACCAAGCTTAGCATGTCGTCTGAGGCGGTGGACCACAGTCCCATGTCCACCTGCCGTGGGGAGAGATGTGACGGTGAGTGGTGGTGGCACTTCACACCAAACTGCTACTCTATATATAGCTGCTCTCTGCAGTGCCCTCCTCAACACTGTTTCTCCTGCAATGACATGACATCTAGCTATTCACTGCATACTTCAATTAAGTACCATAGTGGCTTATTGATTTAGAAATAATGATGAGCTATAAGTACAGTGGGGTTATTCCATGGTTATATCATTATGATTGCACTAACGCGCCAGTTTCTACTGCCGAGAGCAATATTCCGATATGATATAGTGACTACTTCTGTGTATTAAGTTGAAGCTCCATGGATCAGAGGACTGTGCTGGCTATAGAACACAGTTAGTTGTCAAAGCTGTTCTCATTGCACATAAAGAAAGTAGAAGACCGTTCTATAATCTTGTTTAAAACCGACTTATATATTTCTACAAGGCAAATTACCAATAAAGGCCAAACAATATCCGTCCCAATTTAAACTGGCATGGCCAACATTTAGAGATGCATTGATCAAGATCCAGAAGATGCACCCTGCAGCAATGTCGGTCAGGTTTCTGAAGCAAAACAACACAATATGCTCACTTGGCCATGGATGAAAAACTGGGCATAATAATAGTAAATCAACTCAGTGTATGAAAAGCTTTGATGGATCATAGAAGAATTAACTGAGCTAAAGGAATGTTTCCCTTAACAAGCCACAGATACAACAACTGCTGGAGCAAATGCAAAACGTGCACTTCCTTCTGAGAAAAAAAAACATCACAGCACATGTTGTGCTGACCATAAAGTAACAAGCACTGCCAAATTAAACAGATATTATAATAAAAGTCTATGTGGCAGGTGGCTGTGAGAGCAGAGAGATTTAGAGGTTGCAGGAAGCTTTGACTCCATTTCAGTTTGGATGCTTCGCTGCCAACGTGATGTTGAGGGAGTCGCCCAGCCTGGCTCAGATTGGTGGGGATCTCTCTATGTGCACACAGATCTTCCTGGGCACCACGGCAACCATCCCACAGAAACAAGACCCCCTGCAGCCCAGCCAATGACAGCATCACTGCACAGCTCGGGCCAATGGGGCTCCAGAGGTGCTGAAGTCTGAGGCTTCGGAGCCAATCAGAGCGAGAGTGTGGGGGTGTCCCTGGCTGAGGGGAGGGTTGCGTGCTCTGTAGCTGGCGCTGTAGCGGGAAGGGGAGGAGCTTGTCAAAGTAGAATTCATTCAGGAGGAGCGATTGACCTAGATTCGTTTTCCCCAGGAGGAGAGGGAGGGAGAGGGGGTTGCGGGTAAACACATCCGCTACAGGGGGAGGGGGAGAAGAGGGAGCAATAGAGAGAGGAGAGGAGAAGGGAGAGAGAGACAGGGAGTAAGAGATGTTTGGAGGGGTGGATTCATCATCAGGGCTGAAACTGTTCTCAAGATCCACCATGCAAACCTGTTAGTGTAGTAATGTATTTGGCAATTATGGAAAAGAGGCATAGGTGCACTATTGTGTGCACATTACTGAATGCGCATACACACATGCATGCACATATGCACACAAAGAAAGGAAGAGAGAGTACACAAGAATGAGTATCATATCAGTCCAATTAAACACATACCGGGAACACATCTGGGTTGAACCACATCTTCTATTAACACCCTATTAATTAGTGGTAATGAAAAGAAAATGTGGAAACAAGAGGCCCGTTTCATAGTCTGTTCAAATTAGCATCACTGACATCAGCATCAGCCTGGGTAAATGCATGGCATGCAAAATACTTGCGCAAAACAACATGACATGTTCTTGACTTTGAATTCATTGTTTTTTTCTTTAGATATTTGCTCCACTTATAGAAAGACTCAAATCTATCTGTCCATCCCCGTCCATCTAATTTTCAGCAACATAGTCTTCAAAGCCACACACTCAGACGTGACAGAAAACGTGGAAGGCAAACACCTACACAGTTAGATTCCCGTTTTCTGGAACAACTTCATAGGTTGTGAGACTGTGATATAAAATGTGTACGTGCTTGTCCTAATTTCCCTCGCCGAATGTGTAGGCATGTGCAGTGTGTGTGTGTGTGTGTGTGTGTGTGCATCCGCGCATGCGTGGATGTAAGGATGGCGGTGAGTCATAAAGTTAGGGGAAGTGTGCGTGTGTCTGGGCCATCTGGCATCTGAATTATTAAAGGTGTAAAATCTGCAGTTTGAAGATTTCAGACATGGTCTGGCTCTTAACTACACTTATCTCCCCCTGCCTATCAGCCTATCAGAGAAAGGGACACTCTTATCCAAACATCCCAATGTCTGACCTAGAATTACACTGTGAGCAACTCAGTAGTATAGAGCACCGTCTACTGTGTATAAACTAGCATTAGGACTGTGCTATACAGTAGTATCTAGTGAACACTGTACCGAAGCCTCACTGCACCACATCTAAAGAGATTCACACTGCAATGCTACGTCACCACTATCAGAAAGAAGCTCCACAGTGTGTGTGACCCAGATTCTATACTCACATACTGCTCCACTGCCGTATATGTGACCTAGAAACATGCATATGCCTCAACTATTCCCACATATCTGACTCAAGATATTGCTCTCAGCTACACACGTTGACCTGCATCTGACCCACAGAACAGCAATAGGCTTTATATTAATGCTAGTGATTCACTTAATGATAAATTATAAATGATTCTCAAAATAAACTTTTTGTTAAATCCGGTATTGCTTTGTGACAGCACAAATGTCTCACAAATGCCAGAACACAGTGTCAGTCAGAATGACAAACTATTCAACATAATATTCAACAGGTGAATAAGCCAGAAAACTGACAATATGCTGTATGCTTCTGAAAGTGTTTTCCTCCAGCGGATTTGTGTTGAGACTGTCTTTCTCTCTATCCTTCAGCAGCTCAAGGATGCAGTGAGGACTGTAGGAGGGTGCCGCCACCCAAACCCAAGAGGAACCCCAACACACAATTGAGCGTTTCCTTTGATGAGTCCTACATCAAGAGTCACGCGGGCAGCGGGGTTTGCCCGTCCAAACCCCTCCACCATGTCACCTCCCCCTCTGAACGCAACCCCTCGCCTCCACAGAGTGACGAGAGCCCTACAGATGACTGTGAGGATGAACCCGTCTACATAGAGATGGGCGGGATTGATGTCGGAGCACGAGAACCCCTGAAGAGTGAGGATGAGGAGCCAGGAGAGTCTGTGTATGAGGAAATGAAGTACCCAGCTCTGGATGATATGGAGTACCGTACTGACCCGGTGGGATGCCGCTCTGCATGCCCCACCCCAGCACCCTATGACCCTGAACCTCTCAGTCGCTGCTCCACGCCTCGAAACATTCCCCTCTGTGACATTCCTGCACCCTTTCCCAATTTACTCACCCATCGGCCTCCGCTGTTGGTGTTCCCACCAGCACCCGCCCAGTGTTCACCCAACTCAGATGAGTCTCCCCTCACCCCTCTTGATGTAACCAAATTGCCCATGCTGGAGAACCAGTCCTACAGCAAATCCCCGACATCCTCCACCGAGCCACCCTCCTCTGCACACATCCGCAGGGAGCTCACTGCGACCCCAACCCTCACCGTCTCTGGGCGCTCCTCTGCGCCCCCTCTGCCCTGTACCCTCTACAAATCCTCCTCCTCATCCTCCTATCAGCGCAGCCACTCTGCTTGCCCATCGCCTGTCAGCATGGGTCGCTGTCTCACCCCTCTGAGCCTCATGCGCACACCTCCCTTCGACGCTACAATGCCATTCCCGGGGGGTCTGCCGCGGAGCGCCTCTGCCACCCCTCACGGCAAAGGCTCGCCACCTCAAGACGGTGTTGGTCGACTCCATGGCTCTATGCAGAATGTGTCAACAGGTCGTTCACGGACACCCACCAGCCCTCTGGACGAACTAACCAACCTATTCACCACAGGAAGGAACATGCTGAAGAAAAACACCAGTGGCAGGAAGTCTAAAGAGCCTGGAGAGAGTGAGTCATTTCACACATCTGTCTTATTATTTTGGTTTGTAGTAAAGCAAAGAGACACAGACGTGTGTCCTCATATTTACTTATTCATGTCTTAGATTCCAGAGTGTAGACAGCTTACAACTGCGTCTCTTTGTAAATATTTTACTCTCTATATCTGCATGTCATTAGAGAAACATAGTTAAGAGAGTTACCAGGAAAGCAACCCAACCAGCTCTAGAGAGGAGCTGCAAAGCAAATTGGAATAACATCCTAAAGTGTGTATAGATGACGTAGAAGGCGTCAGTGTCTAAATTCTTTGACAATTAAGTAGTCTTCAGTTTCCTAATTAGTGATTGAGTAATGTATCCCTATTATGGGTTAACAAGTTTAACTCCGCTAAATTAAGAGCCTGTGCAGAGGACACATCACTTTTACATTACCATGTTTACGCTGCTCTCTACAACCTTCCATCTATTTAATCTAGGCCCCGTGAGCCAAGTCTGATACAGATCGTATGATTTAATCTGAGGGGATTAGAGACTAAAACGGACAGCAGGTCCCTCAAACCTACTCATGGCATTAGTCCATCAGGCAGCATTACTTTTAAATATGTAAACATCATGTTTAAATACAGATAGCCATGCCACACCCGGGAGACTGCCAAAATCAATGCAGCTGTGAAGGAAAACATTGTGTGCTCACGATGATACAAGGCGCACAAATCGCTTAAAAGTTTACAGAAAAATATGTCAAAACATTTAATCACTCATGATCGCAGTCACTCTCATATGGTGGCGTTTGGTGCCAGTAGCATTATCAGTCAGTCACAAATTAACATTCTCGTTCTCACGCATTATGCAGCCACTGTTTTTGTGTTAAAATAGCCATGTTAAGGTTGAATATTTTGAAATCCAATGTGCTTAATGTAAATGGATAAAAAATGATGACTGCAGGCATTTAACCGAACTTAAATAAGCAAGAGAGTGATTCATAAATGCACGAAGGATAGTATAGTTAATGTAGAGACATGTCATGCATTATTATTTGGGTCACCTATAAATTAATGTAGAGCATCCAATGATGTAGAGTGAGGTTTGACACGAAATTTAACCCCATTGTTGAAATATAACTCCAAGGCCACGTCCCTCTTCAGAGGTGAGCTGTACAATCTGAAATGATTTTAAAAATTGAGAAAAAAATTATATAGACATTTATCCAAGTGCATTTTTTACATAAATCATTAAAGAACTACAAAGAGTCCACACATCCATCCCTACTCTACGCTCTTAGCAACTACAACATAGCAACAGTGGAAGGAGGAGAAATCCCTGTTTCTTATTTGCAGATTCCCTCCCCATGGGTAATCCAGCCAATCACAGCTCAGGGCATGCCGGTCTTCAACAGAGCAATGAGCTATGGCTCTGAACTCAAATCTTCACCTGATCAGAGGATTTCAGATTCTCTTTTCTGTCCAATCAGCACATACTCCACTCATAATTAAGCCAATCAGGGAGCTGGGGCAGCTGTGCAGATGGGGGGTAGTGCAAGCTGAGACAATTTATGATTTCTTGCTATTTTGACTTCACTGATAAGTATGTCTTTCAGTTGGTGTATACACGTGTCAGTTGGTACACATTTGCCATTTAGTGCTGTTATTTCAATGCATTGTCTTAATTATATCTGTTGAATTAGTAACTTACATTAAGCGATTGTCAGATAGTCAAGTGTTGCATCACGTGCCCAGGAATTCCCAGTGATATCTCATTAATGAGCCCTTTGACAGTGTTTTGTTTTCTACTCCCATATGGTTCATCAACAGTTCTCTATACATCAAGAGTGGGCTGTGCTGACAGCTCTTTTTAAATTATTTATTTTTTAACACCTGTGTTACACGGGGCTCAAGCACCGACAGGTTGTGCGTGTTGCTCTGTGACTGGCTACAAGCCCACATGGTGTAATGAGCACACAAAGCTAACACAATGAATGGAGGTTCTTTCCTTTTTTTTCACTCCCGTTCTGAGGCGATAGAGACAGCAACAGCTAGCCTGACCCACTTACCAGGCAGTTAATCGCCATACTCATACACACACACGCATGCGTCCACACACACTAAAAAGCCACGTATGACACATGTGGGCATAACAGGGAATACTTGTGTATGGTACTATATGTTAAAGCCCATATAGAAACCATATAGAGCCTGGCACAGCCTACGTGGAAACCAATCATGCACATACATTTTTCACTTGTGCAGCTATGATCTATAATGTCTTTATTGTTGCTTGATCCAGTGACATACATATAGTTCCCTTCTTGCATTTGCTACACACGAGTTGGAATATTATATGTACTGTATACATGATAAAAAAAGAGCACAGCGTAGTTGTGCAAATCTGAAAAAATTTAAACATAACAATCATGTAAGAAAAGAGGTTGATGGTTTAGAAATGATGTAGTAGTAGTAATCATGATTACTTAATGAGTAGCTTTGAAGAGAACTAAAGTGACAAATGTACAATATGAACTACAGATTTTAATTGAATTCAGACAACTAGAACACCTAATGATAGTGTGTGTCATTGACGGTGTGTATCACTACACACTATCAATAGCGTGCAAAGACATGAACTCTGAATTTTGATGCCTGTGATCCCACACATTGACTCATCTAACTCCAGTGGTTTACTGTAGCTGCATCAGTGAGTACTGAGTGACACCTAGAGGATATTTGATGGTAGTGCAGAAACGTGTAACAGAAAAACAGATTTTTTTATTCTCAAACAGATTTTTTTTTTCATGAATATGCCAAATATGACAATTTATATTCAAGCTGTTTACTACCATATTGTGATGAAATGAAATTATGCGATAAGCCGGTTTTTAGCCAATATTTTTTAATGCATCATCAGATAGAGAAGATGATTCATCATTCAAGTATTTGTCCTCTGAATTTTTTTTGTTGTCTTCTTTCACAGCTGAGTCCAAAAGCAAGTCTCACAGTGAGTCAAAGCGTGAAGGCAAGGAACGCCACAGTCACAGCAAGGAGTCCAAGCGAGAGTCCAAGGAGCGCCACAGCAAAGAGTCTTCTCACCGGAGAGACAAAGACAGAGACAAAGACAGAGACAAAGACAGAGGGAGCAGCAATGTGGAGCAACTTCCCCACAGACGCAACAGTAAAGACCGTACTTGTAGTGGTGTAGAAGCACCACCTGTTCGCAGGGATAGCAGGGACCAGGGCTACAGCAGTGTAGAGCCCATCCCTGTGAGACGGGACTCCAAAGACAGGGGCTGCAGCTCCTTAGAACCCATTTCTTTGATAAGAAGAGACTCAAAGGACAGAGGGATCAGCAATGGAGACTTGATGCCGAGGAGGGACAGCAAAGATAGGAGCGGGGGACATGGAATGGAGTCCCTGCTGAGACAGGACAGCAAAGACAGAGAGAGACTGCTGGATCAGCCACCTGAGCTGTTACCAAGACAAGACAGCAAGGAGAGGGCAAGAAACGGTGTAGACTCTAGACACGAAAGCAGAGAGAGACTGCTAGATCAACCACCTGAGCTCTTACCCCGACAAGATAGCAAAGAGAGAGCTAGGAACGGTGTGGACTCAAAGCATGAAAGTAGAGACAGGCCACCTGAGCTTTTACCCCGACAGGAGAGCAAAGACAGAGCTAGAACTGGAGCAGAATATAGGCATGATAGCAAGGACCACCGTCCTGATTTGTTGCCCCGACAGGATAGCAAAGAGAGAGTGAGGAGTGACATGGAACATAGGCATGAAGGCAGAATTGACCAGCCACCTGAGATCCTGCCCCGACAAGAAACATCCAGAAGCAGCAACAGCAAGGACAGAGTTGGCTACAGCTCTGAATCCAAGCATGAGGGGAGAGAGCGGAGCTGCCACAATGGAGATCTCCCTCCTCCTCCTCTCCCCAGGCAGGACAGTAAAGATCTGAGCAAAACTGGCCTCGAGGTGAGACGGGACAGCAAAGACAGAAGTCTGAATGGCTCGGAGCAGCATCATTATGATGTGAAGAACACCAAGAGCCCCACTGCGATGGAGTATAGGTGTGATAACAAAGAGAGAGGATATCGATCAGATGGCACGCCCCGACGAGATAACCGAGCAACTTACAGCATGGACCAATCAAAAGCACAAGATAGGAATGGCAGCACAATGTCGGGGCAGCATTCATCCACAACCACGCCTACTCACCACGGGAGATCATCTGGTAGCCCACCAATGACTGTGGGAACAGGAAATGGTGAGGGTTATCACCTCAAATAAAAAAATCTAAAGTTGATCATTAAATTGTTGAATCTGTTACATCATAAAGCATCCAGCTGAAAAAAAAAAATGCATTGAACTATTTTTATTACATATGACGAACAGCATGATTTTTCTTTGTAGATCTGAAAGCAGCACCGAAGTATGGCCGCTCACCTTCTATGCCTGTTAACCCCTCACCAATGGGAACTCCACAAAGGAGAGCAGCAGAGACACATCAAAGTCAGGTATGCAGACTTGTTTGTTTTTCCTCTACACATGATTTTAGCCTGTAACAGGTCCTGGAAACTTACTTTCTCAATCAGTTTCTTACTATGAGAATTGTGCTTCTACCGTACATGAATACACAGTTTGGAGCAGTTCTCAATTTCACTTGAGACATTTCTGTAAATTTCTTTCTTTCTTTCTTTCTATTTTGGTTCTCTTCTGACTGGCTTGAATGGCGTTAGACTCAATTAGAAAAATGTGATGTCATGTCCTTATGTTCACCAATCAGGATTTAGCAAAATTTAGTCATCGAATCTAATAAAACCCCACCTACACAGTCCTGATGAAGCAGATCAGAGGGGTTTTTCTGTGTCAACACCTTTACTCAATAATACCTCAAGATGCTTTTTCACATATATTTAATGCTGTAGAGAAACACAGTGCTTAAGAGTTGAAGCCAAGTTTTTAAGTGTGTACCTGACTCTGAAGTCAAGCTGTGTTCACCACACTCAAAGCATTGACTCTGTCTTGCAGATGCCCCAGATGCCATGGATATGTGGGGACACCACGATGCTAGAACAGATCGAGAGGAAACGCACCCTCTGCATGGAAATTCGCTCCCGACAACATCCACACGTGCAGCGATCTCTGGAGAGGCCTCCTCCTCCGGACAGGAACGAGGACAGGCACCAGGAGCGGAGTCAGTGCAAGCAAGAAAGTGCATCTGTCCTCCCCAGCTGGGGGAAAAGCAGCGGGGCCAAAAAGATCCGTCCTCCCCCTTACCCCACACAGACAACCGTATTCTGGGACACAGCCATCTGACAGTAACAACACACGTACACCTCCCTGCCACACAACCCCAAATTACCACTCCCTCTCTCCTCTGGGTTGTGCTGATTGCTCCCTGCAACATCAGGGGGCGTCAGGACGGCCAATAAGAGCATCAGGGGGAGGATACTTGCTGATGTCAAAGGACAATGGTGGTTACCATAGCAATATTTCTGCTTGTTCAGGTTGTCATGTTTTCTTATCATCACTGGTGATATTTGATATTTTTCTATTTCCTGTGACTGGATTCTTGTAATATAATTAGTAGAATAGATATTTGATGAATAGATATTTTTTAAATGAGATGGGGATTAAAAAGCAGCTTAAATTATGTATAGTAGATGTAGATGCAATCTAATGTTTGTTTTTAAGTTATTTTTGTTTTGGTTATTTTACATTTGAAAGCATAATCTATCAATACTTGTACTGTAGTAGCATAATTTTCTTATGCCCAACTCTTTTTGTGCTCAAAGCACTAAAGTGAACGGACTATTCAATTCTGTCTATATATACTTTACATTTTCACTGTTGTATTGTAAGTTGAGGAGTCAATGTCAACGTGCTTTAGATTCCAGCGCCCTCCATGCCTGGTCCAGTATGTTGTAGAATGTACAACAGTTGGTCCTAGAACAGAGACAGGAAACTTTGTGTGCTTCAGTTTGTATATTACAGTAAGAAGCTGTGTAGTCACTACGTCAAAGCCTTTTGAATCGGTTGAATCGTTCTATAGGTAAACCTGTTGGCTGGCATGTTGTAGATGACAGAGAAGGTGTGAAATGTTTCTGTTGTATTCTAAGATACGCTATGAGGGTGGGATGGGAAGGTAGTAAATTAGAACATGCATTATTAACAGTATAATTTCCAAAACCAGCCAAAGCCTGTAAAAGCGAGATATGGGTGTGGTTGCACTTGGGGACGTTTGGTTATTTGAAATGGGGTTGGTGGCAATAGCTGGGGAGTACCAGCGTCCTTACTTTGCCATGCACACTGCGAGCACCATGACACAGTGTAAATACTTGATGCCAACGACCAGCCCGTACAATCAACACCTGAGCTTTTAGAACATTTCTTAATTTTACTGCAGATTATAATAGCCATATGCACTTGCTTAAGAAATAACTTTCAAGATTATGCTTATATATATATATTTTTGAAAATGTTAGGAGTAGCGAGCTGTGCCATGTAAGTTTTAATTTGTTGGCTGGGAGGTAAAGCCTCAGGAGACTGGCTGTGTGTGACATACAGTCATCTATGATTGGTTGTCTCTGATAATATTCCCAATTCAATTGGCTGGCAACCAGTTCAGAGATCAAATCGTTCAAGGACCTATCACATGGCAACAGCTCTACCCAGTTAAAAGGACAGGGGTTGCACAAGGGCCTACAAATATTTGAGGCTTTGTTTAAGAAGAAAAAAAAAAACTGCACTACCGATCATCTTCCATCACATTTAATCAGGCTGGTTACATACGTCCTTCTCCCCCAGCTCTCTCCCTCTACCTCAGCCTCCTGCTTACATCATCTAAATTGGTTCTCTTTGCACATTAAAATGCAATGTCAACATTGCCAAAATAGTATGGGTTTGACAAATGAGCTAGCCCTCAGCGTGCAAGTGCAGTACCCCCTCTCTGGTGAGAATCAATGCTACAGAGGTCCCTCTGTGTTGTACCTTCATGTGTGTGTATGTGTGTGTGTGTGTGTGTGTGTGTGTGAGGGAGAGAGCTGTGCGTGTTTGTGTGCTTGTGTGTGTGTGTGTGTGCCAAGCTACACTGTATGCAAGTTGAATCTTTAAAAATGATTGTTTTGAGACATTCACTTTGCCCTATCCATGATGTTGGTGGGTGGAGGTTGGAAATGTAATAATGATGATGTACAATCTTTTTGTGTGTATAAACGTGCACTGTGAAAAGGTAGAGAGAGCACCGCACTGTCAGAGTCCTCTGTCCTATTGCACTGAGTGTTCTCTTGTTTTGCGTAATAAAAAAGAAAAGGAAAAAATGTTTGAGGAAAAAAGTACTGTATACTGATTGTCACTTGGGTTCTGTTGAGAGAAATAAATAAATATGAACTTGAAACCCGCTATGGAAAAACTGTATCCTGTTGAATTTATTCATTTTGTCCTACCTTGGGATTTTTGCATGTAGGTTGTAGTGTTTTCAACTGCAGTAGTCACTGAAGTCTGGGTGACTCTGAATGCCAAAACTTTTTAACAAACATTTTAATTGAGGTGCACAACTTAAATAAAGAAGGAAGGATATTTTTACTATTTCTCCTAAAGGATGAAGAACACCAATCTGAAAAAGTGGGTGAATACAAAAGCTTAGAGTACAGCAGCAAAATGATCAACTATTAAAACATTTTTTTCATTAGAAATAGCACCTCATTTAAATAGTTAGCAGTAGTTTATAAAAAAAAAAAAGTCGTTCAGATAAAAGTAACAGGGTATAAATTGTCATATCACATTTCTTTTCTCACTAAATATAATCTAAATATAGTCCTGAGTGGTGATCAGAATCAGGTTTTGATACTAAAAGTGACGAGAAGACCTTTATTTTTCTCTGAGGCAGACGTGGCACTGACTGGCCTTGCGTCGCTGTTGGTCGGCTGCTTTGATGGTGTCGGGCGTCGCGGCGTTAAACTGCTCTGTCTGACTCACAGTAGTCAGCCAAAAACTGTAGAGGTTGGCGAAGTAGTGACAGGAGCCTCGTGGGCCCTGGCACTCTATGAAGGGATGAGCTCTGAAATCCTTAAGGCAGCTTCCAGAAGAGGTCAGAGACTGGCCGCCCCCTTTATCACCTGCCCCTGTGTGCTGAAGAAGAAAGGAAGAAGCAGCAAGAAGACATTCAGAGGAGTTGATGGCATTTTTTTTTCGTCCACACAATCAAGCTTTTTAAACGCACTCACCAGGATGAAAGAGTAACCCGTCCACAGACTCCTCCAGCCAGGTGGGCATGCAGGAACCGTCTGATCCTGGCTGTGAAAAGCCACTGCAGGAGAAACCGTCTCACAAACAACGCAGCGGCTGATGTGCTGGCTGATGTGCTGGCCGAACAGGGGCATCATGGGTATGGGAGCAGTGGTGGAGAGCCAATAGGATTTGTCGTTGCGACTGGAGTAGTGACAGGCAGCTTTGTTGCAGTAGGAGAAAGGCATGGTGGAGAAAACGCGGAGGCAGGAGCCAGCCTGGCCTACAGGGAGAGCCGGTTGAAGAAGAGAGAGAAGGTTTAAGAGAAACAAGAAGAAGTTCTTTCTATGAAAAAAACTCAGGACATCAACAAAAACATCACTTTATGCAGACCCTTACCCAGGTCCTGTGTGTGAGCCTTCTCTTGACCCTCCAGGTATGCCAGACTGTAGCCCGCCCAAAGCTGACTGCTGCCTGCAGGGCACAGCGGCACCTTAACTGACTGGCTGTGAATAACCAAAAGGAAGCCTGATCTCAGTGCCCCCCTAGAGCCTGGCCCACCTGGATCACCCGGTGCACCTGGGATACCTTGAGGATAGAGGGGATGAACAAGTAGCAAGTGGGTGACATGGATGGAGGATAAGAGCTAACACAAGAGCAGTTTTTTTTTTGAGTTTCTTGTATGCAACACATGACTTTTATTTTTACCATCCTGCCACTGGATTAAACAGAACAAAGTCTGGGATTGTTCCATGATTGCGTCTGGTTGTTCACCTTGAAGTCCAGTAAATCCTCGCTGACCTCCTTCTCCTGGGTCTCCGACAGGACCATTAGGACCAGCAGGACCTGGTAGACCAGGGAAGCCCACAGACCCTATAGAACCCTTCTCTCCTGGAACCCACAGATACAAACAAACAAGAACAAATATATACACACAGACGCATACAGACAACCGAGGATGATTTAAAAAAAAAAAAAAACACAATACAAATCAATTCAGACACAGACCAGAAAGTGTACACATTGATAATATATTAGACTATCTTGCCTTTATGTCCTGGAGTTCCAGGAGGACCCAAATCGCCAGGGAATCCCTTAGATCCTGGGGAACCACGTGGTCCTAAAAGGCCAGAAGGAGCCTTCTCTCCACATAGACTGATGGAATCACCGGGAGCACCTTTGACACCTGGTAAAAACAGAATGTACTGATGACCAGATGTCCATCCCAACATTTTAGTAGTGTTGAATGGGTTAGAATAAGCTTATAATAAATGATTTACTTACAGTTAATTATAAATTTAATTATAAACTAATGGCAAAATAAATATCTAATATGAAGAATCTCAACCCATGTTTATCTTGCTCAAATAACATTTTCACCTGCCTTCCTCTTTCCATGTTTTCTGATACCTTCTATTGTCAAAAGCCCAGAAAGAAAGAGGAAAAGTAAAATCTTTTTAAAAAATTATCCGTGTATCACTTAGCCTCAGTGTCACTCACCTATTTCTCCAGCTGGGCCAGTTTGTCCCTTGAGACCCCAGGGCCCAGGTAGACCTTGCTGACCTTTGGGTCCTGGAGCACCCCTGGTACCACTGTGACCTTTCTCACCTGTCAACGTGTAGCAACATTTAGAGTGCATTCAAGTGGATGGTGAGTGATGGCAGCAGTCTTACACTGTTATCTACCTTTTGGACCGTCAAAGCCTCGTTCTCGTTCGTATTGAGGTCCAGGAGGTCCTGGGAAGCCCCTATCTCCCTTACGGCCAGGTAACCCAGGGAAGCCTTTTGGTCCTGGGTCTCCTATGGACAAAATGATGCTGCCTGGAGGGCCCCGTTTCCCAGGAGGACCTAATAATCCATTACAAAATCCCAGATGTGGACAGACAGATGAAAAGGACGTGCACAAAAATCCACACAATGTTCTTTCCTAAATGTGGCTACAAAAAAATGTAGACATAACATGAACATAAATAGTCACACACACACACCTGGGAGTCCTGGAGGTCCTTCATATCCTATATCTCCACAGGGTCCTGGTGAAGATGTGCAGTCTTTGCCAGGGTAACCAGGTTCCCCTGGTAAACCTGGAAGACCTGAGGGAAGAAATACAGAAGGTTAATTCCCTCTCTCACAGAATATATAGAGGAGTGGAGCTGTAGCCACTCTAAACAAATGAAGAGTGACAAACAGCAAAAAGGAAGTCATGAAATGATAATAAAAACATAATACAATCTGAGAAACCATGACCAAGACTACTGCTTTTTTATTTGACTTACACCGATGGTACTGTGAATATATAACAACTTAATTTGAGCCGAATTAAATAAACAAACAGTAGACAGAGATAAACAGTATTTTGTTTTTCTTCAAGTTTTCATCATTTCTACATTTAAAGCAATTTCTATGGTATGAGTGAATCCAGGATATGACTTGACATACTTAAATGTGTATTGTCTCCCATCTTTATAGACTGGTGAAGCAGATGCACTATTGATAATAATAAATATAATACCTTTGTCACCAGGAAGGCCCCTCGGGCCTTTGGGCCCAGGAAAAATGTCTCCTGGAGGCCCTGGGCGGCCCCTCAGGCCTTTGGGCCCAGGAAAACCATCTGGTCCCGGAGGGCCATGAATAGCTTTGCCTTGAAGTGATAAATGAGTACATTTAAGAACAGTATTACACTGTAGCATGTGTTCACATTTACTCATGCATGGAGTTAACATAATGAGACTATTTACACCTTTTAGGATCAAGTTAACAATAAATAATGAATAGGATTTTGTTGACATTAAACTTAAGCATTCCTATCTAAAGTAACTTTTGTGTCCTAAACAGACACTTACTTTCTTCTATATGAAGAAAAATCAACACCAATAGTACAAGCTCCAAAAAAGACATGCGGAAAAACTATTGCTAAATTTTTCTTATCCCTCTTACCACATCCTCCTTTCATCCCTTTTGGCCCTCTTAGCCCATATAATCCATCCAGACCTGGTGGTCCACGGGGCCCTGACATAAGATCACAATACAACACGAGAATCATCTTGTTTGGTGTCTTCAGTACTCAAATACATTTACCTTTGGCACAACACACAGATATTTTTTAATTGCAGTATATGTTTTTTCTTGTCTCAATGTGTCTTCAGAAATGTTACCGGAAAACAAAATAAGTACAGCCTTTGTTATCCATCCATTGTCCACATCTAACAGTTGTGTCTCTGACTTTCCTTATGGCAGGTGAGGTGAGGTGATTGCGTGTGTGTGCGCGTGTGCGTGCCCTGCCTATCCAATAATGTGAGAGACAATGGATATTGTTTTAGTACCTTGAGGTCCATATGGGCCAGGTGGACCACGTGGTCCCAGACCTCCATGATCACCTGGAATCCCTTGAAAACCTGGAAGGCCTCGTGGGCCATGAGGCCCGGGTAAGCCTGTAGAGACACACATGTAATTGCACAAAACAACATGCATACTTAAAGCACAAAATTCAAATTACTTGAGGGATGAAACAGAAGATTAAGAACTGAGTCATTGTTTTAATGGTTAAAGCAGTAAATAATTTGTAAGAATCAAAATGCTTAACTGTAGCTATTTATTACCATTGAATTACACTTATTTTATATCTAAATCCAAATGTAAGTGAGCTTTACACTATACAATTTGAGAACAAATTATCCAGGTTACTGGCACAATGTCATCACTTACTTTATTTATTTTTCTAATGATATACAACTGTGTGATATATCAGGACACAGTGCGAGCTCTTATTCTTCTCCTGAATCTCATCATGAGTCAGCATTCATAAGTTCAAAGATGAACCTTAGTGCTAAAGTACATTAGTTATCTGATTCAAATTTTACTGAAAATCACCTAGTCCTCCTTGTCTTCCTGGTTCCCCCGGAGGGCCTGGTTGTCCAGGCTTTCCTGGCCTTCCCCTGAGTCCTGGGTCACCTGGATCTCCTGGACTCCCTCTGGGTGCTGGAAGACATCATTTTGTGGATATAAATATATTTCCAGTTAAATATACACTTAATGTCGTCTAGGAGACCTCCTTCAAGACATTGTTTAATGATTTTCTAGTCCCTCTTCATAATTTGAAGTATTTTCAAAGTAGTTCTTCTGTTCAGTGTGGCATTTTCTTAACTCACCACTGAGTCCATTTTCCCCTGGAAATCCTTTGGGTCCAGGTGGACCAGGTTGTCCATAAGACTGTCCTGGCTCACCTGGAACAGATTTGGACAGGTTCAGTCCAACGGAATGAAACATGTATGAAATCCTGAGAGAGATCTCATTTCATTGTTTTCTATACCTGGAGTTTTATTTGCATTTATAATAACAATATATCATAATGTTTTTAATACACCAGACAAAATTGCCAATTGTTAATCCCATATTGCTGTAGGTTCACATCCTGTTGTATATTTCCCCCCTTGACTTGAATTTAGCTATACAGTATATACCAGTTTTATGAAACACATTATCCTGTTTTATAACTCACCCTTGGCACCTGGAAATCCTGGTAGCCCAGGTATCCCCCAAAGTCCTGCAGGCCCTGGATCTCCCTATTACAGATATCAACACATTCAAACTATTTAACATCACTTCTGAGTCTGACAAATAATGAATTATGTACATTAAAGCTACATTCAAGAGTAGAAAGACAGCATAGGCAATCAAGGACTATCCAACTAATTAATCCATGCTGGAGAAAAGATGATGTGTCAGGCAATAAACATTACAGACTTTCAGAAAGATCAGAAATGATATGCTGCTTGTCTCATGTTTAGCATGTAATTTTGTTATAGTGTGAGTGCATTATTTGTAGTTTTATTGAACATGATGCAAGTGGCAGCTAATTTTAGTGTCTCTGGGTAGAGACTGGACAGATACAAAAAACTGAGCACAGACACTTGTCACTGAAATATTAATACATTAAATTGTGTACCGGATCTCCACCATGCCCAGGATTTCCCCTTGGACCAGGGAAACCTTTGATTCCAGGGTGTCCAGGAGGACCTGGTATTCCTGACCTGCCTGGAGCACCAGTGCTGCCCTTACACCCTTCCGGACCAAGCTGTCCATCAGGCCCTGGGTCACCGGGTATTCCCCTTATGCCCTTTAAGCCTGTAAGGGACAAAAGAAATCAGAAATGTAGTACTTAGACTGGTTATCGCATTCTATATGTCAATCTAGTGAAGTCACACACTAGTGGGAATTCAAAAATCATCCTATCCAAAAAAGATATGTAAGTGAAGTGACAGCTCCATTGCCTGCAAGTCCTTGTTGGCCTTTTTGTCCCTTTCTTCCTGAAAGTCCCGCTGAGCCTTTTATCAAATTCACACCCCATGTTGGGCCTGGTAGTCCTGGGAGACCAGGTGAACCTGAACAGATCACAAAGTTGAGATGAAATGCATGCCAGGCTGCATCATAAAGTACACTGAAAATGTAATTCAATTACCTAAATAAAAGAGCACCTATGTTGTATGGTTCATCTTTTTTCCCTCCACAATCATCCTTAGTCTTAGCCACTATTTATAGATTCCTACCTTTATTACCAGGCAGTCCTGGGTCTCCTGTGTCACCTTGTTGACCATTAAAGCCTCTCTCTCCCTGTTTACCTCTGGGTCCTGGGGGTCCAGGACGACCTGATATACCTCTTGCTCCAGCCCTGCCAGGGTAGCCCGTTTCACCTAGATAAATTGAAAGGAAAATGTCATTTGAATCAGGACAGACTAGTTTACAGATATAAAGCACTGTAACATCACTGCTGGTGATGGGAAACATGGTGGTTCGATGATATGATCACTGTCAGGATCTGGAGGTACCGTGTTCAGAGGTACAGGTTCAGCTGACTGGGTTAATAAAAGCAAGCTAACGAGGGACTCACTGTGTGATTGTGAGAGGCAATGCAGTTTAAGGCAACAACAAAAGCACCTATATGTTTGGATTTTATGCTGAAAAGAGCTTACATGATTTTAAATGACCAAGTAAAAAGGGAAAGCATTTGTTCACCTTTTGGTCCTGGCCAACCATCAAGCCCAGGATCTCCTGGAGAGCCAGTGATGCCTTTTGGTCCAGGTGGGCCTGGTACACCGGGAAGGCCAGAGAAACCTTGAGGACCCTTCTGTCCATGACCAGGTAGACCTATATGTCCCTTTAAACCCTTCTGACCATGGTAGCCTATGCCACATTATAAAAGTTGATGAGAGAAATATGTTAATGGATGGTTATATAGCTACACAGCAAAATATGCATGATTGTAGTCTGTTACTATTCTTGGGGACACTTGAAGCGTCAGCATCACATCCATAATTTATCCTGCTGCTGCTGTATGCTCACCTGGTACCCCCATCAGTCCTGGGTTTCCTCGAAGTCCTGGAGGGCCTGGAACTCCATGTAGGTCACAAACAGTACAAGGTGGGCCTGGGAAACCAGTGGCACCAGGGTCACCATTGAATCCTGGCTCTCCTTTACGGCCTGGTTGTCCAGGTTGGCCTTGTATGCCTGTGATTCCAAAGCACCAGTGGTTAAAAAATTCCAATAAACAGTAAAGAATAGCACATCCCAGGTACTTACAGTATACTGTATCTACACAGTTTTTTCTGTAATACGGGACACATTAACTAAGGCCTAACCTGTCAGGTGGTTTGTTTGTCTTCACCTAATATAAACTAAATTTACCTGGAGACCCTGGGTTTCCAGGAAAGCCACGAGGTCCATTTGCACCCACTGCCCCAATGTGGCCAGGTGGGCCAATAGCACCTTGACTGGCAAAGAGGGCATTTCCTGGGGCACCCTTCCTGCCTGGTAGTCCTGGTAACCCAGGAGAGCCTGGAGGGCCATCCAGGCTATCCCCAACAGGACCATGGTCACCTGGATCCCCATTTAAACCTGGAGATCCTTTTACAAATAAGAGAGACCTATAAGCATACAAACAACCCTCCTAATTATATAATTAATCAATCATTAACTGGATGCTTGATGACCCACAAGCATAGTGTAATAAGAAGCAAAAAAAATAATTTTAATTTGACAACATTTTAGAGAACCATTACCTGGCGGTCCAGTGCTTACATAATCACCATCATCTCCTTTCATGCCTTTAACGCCTTGGTGTCCCGGACCTCCGGGAAAACCTTCTCTCCCTGGCTCACCTGGAATCCCTACACAGCACCAAATATAAATTAAGTTGAATGGCAATATGGGTCGACGGTGTTTCAAGGATCGTAAACCTTTTCTTTCATGGCATATGGTTTATTAGTTTAAATTGCTGGAAAAAAGTGCTACGATGCAACTTTTCTCTGAACTTAACAATGTAGCAATCGCCATGATTTGTTTATATATTTTTAAGATATCATAACATTACAACACCTGTAAGACTTACCTGGGAAGCCTCGCTCACCCTTAGGACCAGGTGACCCAATCTCAATTTCATGACAACATTCCTCAATTTCACCTGATGACAGAAATAACATGCTACAAGATGCTATTTGAGCCCATGACACCTGGCTTAATGTGGAAAGGGTATGTTAAAACCAACTGAGAATCTCCAAAATTAATCCAGACTCTGACCTGGAGGGCCTGGTCGTCCAGGAAATCCTGGGGGGCCAGTATGTCCCGGATTTCCTTTAGGTCCAGGTGGCCCTATGGGGCCTGGACTACCAAGACCTGGGGGGCCTATGGTCCCTGGAAAACCTTTGGGTCCAACAACCCCAGGGTCACCTTTGGGACCAGGTAATCCTGCATATTCAGCACCCTGCAAAATTGTGTAACAAAGGGCAACATTTTTACATGTAATTAAAAAATTTTAAGTTTTATCTCTTCCACAAATTATATTTACAGTATTTAAAGTGTACACACTCACTGGTGGTCCAGGATCTCCTGAATGGCCAGGGTGACCATCCAGTCCTGGCCTACCTGTTGCTCCAGGAGGGCCCTGTTGACCAGACAGTCCTTGGTCACCCTTGGCACCTATCAGCAGCAAGAAGAAACAGTAGATATTAGGCTATAAATGCTTTCTCATAGACATTTATTAAACAAAGGTTTTTATTTTTTAAATTGACCACAAGCACAAAGTGACAACTTACTTTCTATTTAAATCTACTATTGTACTGGAAAGACTGTGCAGAACACAGTGCACTGTGATTGGTTTACTGTATGGTTACATAAAAATGGAGTAAGGAGGTGGAGGCTGCAGTTGTAACGTAAGCACTACTTCTTATTATCTTACTCACAGATATTACTGTGTACTTAGTCCTTGCTACTACTTGGAAAGCACATCAACTGTGCATTATTTCTGCATGCTGCATGCAATCAGTCCTGATGCAGGAACAGCTGTGTTCAATGAAGCAAATGCTATTTTGATATAGACTGTCGCTGAAATGACAGTGGAAGTGTCAGCCCTCGTGTGTAGCCGTCCTCGTGTGAAGAACTGCCGTCCATCTCACCGCCTCTGCTTTCACTCCACTGCACTTCTCCTCCGCTCTACCTTCTCTTAACACATTTTCCTCATTACACATCAATGGTATCAATGGAGTCTCTTTGCTCTAGTCTGACCTCATACCTGGATAGCCTGTGTTCTCTATCAAACCTGCTAGTTCTAACATGCCTCACCCATGGTTGACTGACATCATCTGAAAGCTGCATACCTATCTCAGTGTTGCAGAAAGAAAATAGAACAAGAAGAGAAGCCTGGGTGTCATGTTTGATGACCAGCTCTCCTTCACTGCCCATGTTGCATCCGTCTCCCAGTCAATGCCCTACTTGTGGGCCTCCCTTCAGACACAGTGGAACCCTTACAGATGGTCCAGCAAACGGCAGCCTATCTGGTCTTCGATCACCCATAAGGGCACATGTCACTCTGCTGCTCATCGACCTACGTATACTGGCTACCCATGGCCATCCAAATCAAACTGAAGTCACTCATGCTTGCCTTCAGAATGAGGTCTGGGTCTGCACCCATCTATTTGAACTCAATCATACAGGCTTATGCTTGTTCTTGGCAACTGCGTTCCTCCAAAGAATGTTGTCTGGCATTGCCATCCCTGCACACAAGGCAAACGCAGTCCAGACTGTTCTCGTCTGTGGTTCCCCAGGGGTGGAATAAGCTACCGAACGCTATCGGAGCAGGCGCATCCATCTCTATCTACAAGTATCTCTTGACAAGACAAGACTCATCTCTTCCGAGAGCACCTTCTCTCCTTACACCTATAACACCCCAACATGCCTAACTAGCACTTACTATGCAATTTCAGTGCATTTATTAACTTGATCTCCTTGCACTTACTGAATAGATGTAGTACTTAGTACTAACACCGAGGTCTCTACTGAATTGAAGCTTCAGTGTTGCTCCTCACTTGTAAGTTGCTTTGGATAAAAGTGTCTGTCAAATGAGTAACTGTAATGTAATCTAAATGTAATGGGGTAACATCTTGTGATTTATCCCATCCTCCCTAGAGCTTGTATTTAAAACGCCCATGACACAAAACTGCTTGTATAATAACACTGTGTATATTAGAGTTTTGGCGCTGACAAGTGCTCACCTTTACCACCTAACACTAAAGAGTCACCTTTCTGACCCTTCTGTCCATTTACACCAGCAAGTCCTGGAAAGCCCTAGAAGAAAACACAAAGTCACACAGAAAAGAACAGATTTTAAAACACATTTTGAGAAATGGCAATTAATTATCTAGTTTGAGTCCCGCTATCCTTAGGCCTACTTGTGGTCCTCTTGGTCCATCATCTCCTTGAAGTCCAGGGTCCCCCCTGAGTCCTTGAGCTCCAGGTAACCCTGGAGGTCCTGGAAAACCAAGTGGACCAGGGGGCCCTATTCTTCCCCCACCAGATGTACATTCACATCCACCTTCACAACCTGTAGGAGACAGGGATGGCAAAAATGTATGACTATGATGCATCGCTTTCAAATACTGTAAAGTGTACATCACAAATCTGTTTAAGTTGAGTTCTAGAATTCCCACAGGATGATTTCAGATTCTACCACAGGTCAGTAGGCGATGAGAAGAACATAATCTCTGCTTGTGGGATCAGCTGATACACACAAACAGTCACAGATCACCTTTAATTCCTCTGAGCCCTTTGTGTCCAGGAGGTCCTTGGGATCCTGGGTCACCATCTTCGCCAGGGTAACCAGGCTCACAGTAATAATCTGCAGGAGCCAGCCACAAATATTGTCATAAACTAAAATGATTCTGCAAGTAATTTGAATGCATAATTGAGTATGAGCTAACTTCTTTAAAATCCAAAACTCACCTCCACATCCTAATCAGATCCCGTAAAGTTTGCCATACAATTAACACACAAGTACAAACACACACACACACACACACACATAAAGCACAAGGTAAGTCCAAACAGAAATGAAGACGCACAAAAACATTTGACAAGTGAACATCTGTTCAAATAATGAAATTATATTCGTGACATTAACTAACATATAAGAAACTCTGATGTGCTGTGTTCTCAGTGAGAACAGATATACCTGGAGGACCAGGGCGGCCTGTGACACCTTTAGGTCCGGGGAGCCCTTTAATTCCCTTTGGTCCTGGGAATGGATTGATTTCTTCATACCTCCCTGGTTCGCCCTTGTAGCCCTTTGGACCTCGGGGCCCTGTTGGACCAGGCAGACCTGGCACAACTAGAAAGGAGTGAGAGATGATGTGAACCCTCAGATAAGGTAGGATTGGCATTTTGTATTTTCCATGATTCAAGTAGAATCTGCTTGAATCCTGAGTCCTGAGTTGTGTCAGTGACTTTGTGGTAATAATGAATAGCTGATCAGAACTATGATTATGAGCATTAGCAGAGAAATAGATCAAATCCTGACCAAACTGAATAATATACCCAGTGATGTATAGTACTTGAAGAAACGAGCAACCTGAAAGACAGAGAACAGAGACAAAGGCTGAACTCTGGTACCTGGTATTGTTAACCCTGATGGGCCAGGAGGTCCATGCATGCCCATCTCCCCGGGGTCTCCTGGGAGTCCAGACGCTCCTGGATACCCATATTCACCTTTATCACCTGAAACATACAGATACAGAATTGTGAAAAAGTCTGAGATGCTTTATTATTCGAGTGTAATGATGGTCATTTACTAACTGAACAGGAGGGGCTGAGCATTTACAAGCAAAGTGCTGTAGCAGACCATTTCATTTAAGTGATTCTATAAAAAGCACTGTATTTAGCAATGTTTTGATGAAAATATGACTGTTGTGAACATACGGATAGATAAAAATTGGACAGGAGGGGTTTGAGACGTTTCCATAGTTCATATGTTTAATACATTTTGATGCTTTTTTGAATCTGCGGTAACTGATAGGATTCAAGTTGACCACAGTCAGTGAGACATTGTCACTCAAAACACAGATTCTGGGTGGAATATACTTTAATCACCCCACTGGACTGTAGAGCTATTTCCAGTGGAGAGAACTTTGTTTTTATCAGTATACTAATGTTGCAGTTTATAAGCAAAAACAGCAAGAACAAGGTTTTAAACATATGGACTTTAATTCATTTTTATATTACAAATAAATAAACTAGAATGGGACACTGCTACCAGCGGCCACACTTAGTTCAACTAGTGTGGATAGTGTAGTTTCTGCAGTGGTCTCACCTCTGGCATCACTTCCATTATGAAAGTATGTGGGACCAGGGAGACCTGGATCTCCTTGGTAGCCCTGTTGAATGCAAGGACAGAACCAGAAACCATATTCTTAAACAGCAAATGTGATGTACGTAATATTTCTAAAGATGAAGAGTGATCAGGAATCACTGGTGTGGGCCAATAAATGTGACTGTCCCATTGAACAACCACAAGAGGGCAGTAGAGAAATAAAGATTGTATAGCAAAGATGCCAACAAGCATCTATCCTGCTGGAGAATATAGATCCATGTCTATCCCCCATGTTTCCACTGAAACTTTGCTTCTGTTAGCACCTGACACACGTTTCGTTCAAATTATTAAGCAGATTGCTTAGATGTCTGTGCAAAGCTCACCTTTGGACCGATTCTTCCAATGAGGCCTGGTAGTCCCCTCTCTCCATGCAGACCCTGAAAATGTATCACTGTATTCAACCTGAACTAGTGGTATAGTACAGTAACACAAGGGAAGGCTTAATCATATGACAGGTATACCTGAGGTCCTGTTGCTCCAGCTCTACCACGAGTTCCTAAAAGACCCTGGAGCACAAACAGTGCCGTTAAAAATACTGTTTGTGTATGCACGTGTTTGTCTAAAATCATGTGGCAGTCAGATTTCAATCACCTACCCGATTTCCAGGAAATCCAAGGATTCCTTGCTCCCCTTTAATTTCTTCTATGTTGTAGTCTCCTACATCACTCTGATAAGACAAAAAATAAAATCAAATGCCTTTCTCTATCTCAGACATTCCTGTATGCTAACATATATTAGCATCTATAAAAAAATACTTTATATAGCACCTTTCAAAAACAGGTTACAAAGCACTTTACAATAAAAACTGAAACTGCAAGTAAATATATCCAAAACATAAAATATAACATTATAAAATAATCTAATGGTTAAGAAAAATACCTACAGTTAAGAATAAGTGATACAATAACAGTCAGTCTTAAAAAGAGACTTATAATAAAACTCACCCTTTTGCCCTTTGGTCCACATGGTCCAGGAAGACCCCTGTCTCCCTGAGAAGAAGAAAGGAGAAAATAATGCAAAAATACAGTATGGAGAAGGTAGAGTTAACATTTAAATTATAAACAAAGTAAGTTGGATTTGTCTATGTACAAAATCAGCAGTCTTTCATAAATACAAATGAGGGCTTTGCCTTCACCTTGTAACCTTTGGGTGGAAGAAAATCTGGAGGAAATTCTATGACTTCTTCTACTCCTGGGGGGCCAGGTGGGCCTTGCTCACCCTGGAATATAGAATTAAAGAGGTGAAGACACACACACACAGCGCAAAACCTCGGTCCATAGCTGTCAAAGACCAAAATGGTTTCATACATCGTCACCGTTATCCCCTGCCAGTGATCCTCCAGGGTTTCCCTACACAACAACCAGTTGTAGTAAGTTTAGTTTAGTAAGGTTTTGTGGATGACATATGTTTGTATGCATACAATGATATATTTGTTACAGCATGCACTGCCAAAGATTAGGAAATAGGTGACTCACTGGTAGTCCTCTGACACCTTTAGGTCCTGCCAAGCCCTAAATGGAATCACACATGTACACACACCTTTTTACATATAAAACACTGTATCTCTTCTTGTGATGCAAATCATGACTATTAGTGGTTAATGCATACTGTGCATGTGCAGTAATGTGCAATAACATACAGTAATACACAATCTTGTAGTTAAGTCATAACCTACATAATTAAAAAAGTGTGAATTTTTTTTTACCTCAGGTCCATTAAGACCAGGAGGGCCAATGTAGCCTTGATGTCCAATGTCTCCTTTCCTTCCCTGAGTATAAAAAAATTTCACACAATTATATGTTAAAAAAAGAGTAAACATTAATACCATTCGACTTAACCATGCAGGGAGTAGAAGATTTAAAATATTTAATCCATGCTTTATATAGTAGAATAATAATAAAGAGAACTAGTGCGCTAATGCACATACAGGTAAACCATGTTTTCCATCTCTCCCACGCTCCCCCTGTAAGATGAAAGGAACAGAAGATGAGACATGAAGATGAGAACTTTTACACACATGGTTAATTTTAAATAATTATGGAACTGCATAAATAGCAAGCGGTTTTGAGCTGGTGAAAGGCCAACCCATATTATTCTGAGCTTTTCTTGTGTAGGAGAACCTACAGGAAGTCCCGGAAAGGCGTCTTGCAAAGGCTCTCCTTTAGTTCCTTTAGGTCCAAGTAATCCCTGAAAAGAAGAGACAGTGATATTCTGATATTAGAGACATTATAAATGGATATAAAGTTTCCAACAGAAAGTTGGTATTGGACAATATAAAAATTGTTGTCAATGTTTGGTTGTCAACATCCAGTGGTCATATTTGTAGTATATATTTGATTATTTAATTAAATTAGATTATTTAATTATTAATAATTCATTATCATCCTAACAGAAATCCAGATTAATCAGATTAGGCTTTGTTTGTCTTTAAATTGTATGCTGCAGAACTGTCCGACAAAATGAACAAAACCTTTATTATCTAGCCTTTTACTTGCTTTACTTTACTGCATAACTTGGTTAGAACCTGTAAACCTAGTCAAAAGGCCAGAGGAAGACATCTGAATGTCTCACTCCTGACTGAATAATGGCTGACAGAAACATCAGAATGGGACTTCTACTCACCTGCGGCCCACGGAGACCACTGAAACCAGGAACACCAGGGATCCCTGGTTGACCCCTTGTCCCATTACAGCCATCCAATCCTGGCAAACCAGGCTCGCCGCCTGCTCCAGGGTAACCCTGATCAAAATCGTGCAGTTATGGAGGTGAAGTATAATTGCACAGTATTAGAGTCAGGGAATTCACAATTACGAATCTAGTTGAGAACGATAAAAATAAATGCTTTACATATTTTTTATTTCATAATTATACAGTGGTTATGCTGAACTGCTCAAGCTTTTATTAAACACAAACACTTGAGTGGTGAAGAGGCAGCTGCATTAGGGCGGGAAGAGAAACCAGGCCCACATCTACAGTATACCTTGGTGTGTCCACTAGAGGGCATACCAGACACATGCTCCATATCACTGCATCATCTCATGTGGAACCTTCCGTATTATATCTTGAATGCATGATCTGGGCAGTTACAAAACTGGGAACTATACATTACATTATTTACAAATGGAATACTGTCTGATATTGTTATCCCAGGTATATTCTCAATTCATTTGCAGAGATTGTGGGAAAATAAGTGACAAGAACAGTATTGTTAACTCCATGGTGAGCTGTAAAGGGTTTGGGAAATTGGTGTGACTCCCTCAGAGGGTTATCCACCTCAAAGGGATTATTGTTGTCAGTGTGAACAGTGTGTGTAACTTTTTCTGATTTGTAAAGGAGAATTTACTAATTTAAGGAGTTTACTCACTGATGAGCCAATATTACCAGGAAAACCAAGAACACCAGTGTTGCCCTGAGAGGTTAAAAAGATACAGACATCATTCACTCATTACTAGGGTGGATAACATTATTCAATTTCAACAAAAAATATATATATTTTTTTTTAAATCAGACTTATTAATTACTAATTACTAGTTGCATTTTCATGCATATTCACAACACAACAAACACAACATGCATATGAATATTGCACTAACACGTTCTCCTATGGGCCCCTCTGGGCCATGCGATCCCTCTGCTCCCCTCCTGCCCTTGTCTCCAGGTGGCCCCTCATGTCCCCTTCGTCCCATTGGTCCCGTGGGGCCTTGCTGCCCTCGCTTTCCTGGAGCTCCCTGGAAAGAGAAAACTCACGTATATAAAAGCTTAACTTAGACTGTTGTTGTCAGTGATCCTGTTAGGAGTTGGCTGCTGGTGTATCAGGTAATTTTTTGACTTTAGTCTCTGCTCCTGGATAGTTGAATAACATCACAATAATGTTGCACACACAAATGCATTTTACTACAGTAATTAATTACAAAACGTTAGTAAATACAAATCTATCAAATCATGGAATCTAAGCCTCTCTCATTCTTCCAAATTTTATTCCTTTTTTCCTGTAGCTAGTCCTGCTAGGCATGAAGACAGGGAAAATATAAGATCATTTTATTAGAATTAAAGGACAACAAAAACATTCCCCACAGATTAATGTCACACATATTGCCAATATATAACAAAATGAGTATAAAGAGTTCATACCCGTGCACCTTTGACAGGAAGACACTGACATACAGAGCAGTCTCTTCCCTGGCATGGACCCTCAATCCGCCCCTGCAACGGCAACCAGAGACAAATCATAGGCCTTAAATGCAGAAAGTCTGACCATTACTGCATAAGAGAAAGAGAAGCAGACAGGCTGGGGCTGTGTGAGTGTCTGTGTGTCTGAGCAGAGCAGATGACAGTAAGCAGTCAAAGGAGGGGCAGGCGCATCGGATAAGGTCGTATAGTTTTGGACATTTCTGTCGTTCCTGAATATTTAACAGTTTTGAGAATCAGCCTCGACAATGAACGCATTCCCCTGTTGAGACTGGGAAGTCCTGATTAGAAAGTTTTAAACAAATCAGTGTTCTCACATAGACTTGGGTAAATAATGAACGCCCTGACCTTGATGAGAAAGAAAGCTCAGGGAGCCTCATCATTATCATACTGCACTGACATCCTGCTGAAAAAGCAGTCGGTGTGTCAACACCTCCAGATGCAAAGTATTCCCACGGATATTTGTGTGTGTGTGTGTGTCTGTGTGTCCTAGGAAGTTTTACAGTGTGGGGATCTCAGTGTCACAAACATTTAGTAATGTTCTTCAAAGCTTACTAAATATTTGGAAAAGTCTACGTAGGTGAAATCAAATTTAGTCACAAATCTGTTGATAGAGCTGTCCCACTTTCTCTTTTGGCCCAAACATTCAGGGGTATCTCCATCAGTCAGAAAAAAAAAAAAACATGCACACTTGGCTATGTTTTGGACAGGCCATTAAGATTCAGTGCATTAGCCAAATTGGGAACACAAAGTGCTAAGTAAGACATAGTTGCTACATAAACTGTAGCAACATCATTCAACATCAGTTTTGACTACTTTTTCTAAATGTAAGGCCTCCTCTAAAGGTGAAAAGTGTTAATAAATTTAAAAAAATGAATTGGCTGTGAATGTTGCCTTGTAATTATTTGCATGAAAACATTATTTTCTGAAATTTGGAAGAAAAGAAAAGAATTAAGTTAACTTAAAACTATTTTCAGTCAGTCAAGTATTGGCGCGTGCCAAGCGAAAAATACGCTTAACTACTAAAAACAATTTATCATAGTGTAGTGGTAAACTACTAGCTACGATGTTAAGGTTATTTATGTTTATGTCCATTCCTTCAGTTTAACTCTTCTGTTTATTAATAAAGCACAAAGATGTGTTTTCTCCATCACACATACTGATGGTATCCATATAGTATAGCCCAACTGACTGGTTGATTTACCTTATCAGCTGACACAAATATGTGCAATAAACCAACTACGCCAGTATCTCAGCCCAGCAAATATGCCTGTCTAGCACTAGTGTACAATATTTATTCACCATTAAAACCCCAAGCAAGTCCTGTGACCCGGTGAAAAATTCTGTTAACACGCAGGGAGCAATATTTACAGTTTTCAGGTGAGTCAAGTACTTCAAATTTGGGCTTTAGGAGAATTTAAGGACAGGATGTATACACAAGCTGGAGTATGCTGATATATAGAAAGCTATGTGCACTCAGTGACCCTAAAAAGTGCATTGAGAGCATCAGGTTTAGGACTATCCTGGCTTCACATTGATGGATTACTGTTTGTAACAGACCTAAACTACATTCCTGGCTACTGCAGCAGCAGCAGTGTTTGCAAAAATTAAGATGTAATTATTCATTCATTCATTCAACCTTGATTTAAATATCAAAGAATCATTGAGGGCATGACCTCGTTTACAATGATGTCAAGAGCACACTTATTAAACTTGTAAATTGAACTTTACATGGTGCATTTAACACAAGATTCCAATATCAAGTTGAAACCATAGTTCAGCTTGTGTCAAAAAAGCCTTGACTCAACTCTGTGCTAAGTTTTGAGACTGTAGTTAGTGATGATGTTTTATTGAACTGCATTATATTCTAATGTTTTGTCCACCCTAATCCTACATTTACATAAATCATACATATAGTTGAACAGTGTTGACAGAAACTGAACGTGATACGCTTCACATTGCACTGATGTATTGTGTTGCATTAGCTTGTGCAGTGTACATAGTGTAACTCGGGGTATATTGTAAAATGGTCATAATCTCTTGTCAGAAACATATTTTAATTTGGATAATCTGCAGTTTATCTAAAACAAACTCTAGAACAAAGAAAGCGTATATTGTTGTTTTTGGCATAGAGTTTTGATTACAATAAATTTCTACAATAAATCTTATGTCTGGGTTTGGGAGGAAGGCACATGCGTAATGTTAATTCTTAGCATATAGAACAATATGCTCAAATACAGTGTTGGGAACTAGTTACATGTAACAGGATTACTTAATTCCATTATAAAATAAATGTAAGTGTAATCTGTTACAGTTACTGAGAAAAAATGTAATTAAATCACAGTTACTAATCAAAATGTTGGTGATTACAAAGGGGTTACATATATTCTATTTGCTAAAAAACTTATGTGTAGAGTATATCATTTGTTCTGCTGCTTTGCATCTTTTGGCCATACAGCAGCAGTAAGGCCTTCTTTTGGCATATTTGTGGACAACATGGGTCAGATAGGTGATAGGTGTCAGATCTTATAACACTCCACTAACTTAATTCAACATTGTGTTCTCATTAAAAATTAATTTGGACAGGTCATTGCATTGTCAAAATTTCTGGGCACCAACAGACTAAATTAATACTACTGAAAAGTGACTAAAACGCAATAAACAGTTTTTTCTAAAAGGGGTGATTTGTAATCCGGAACATATTACATTTCAAAAGAAACCTTCCCAACACCGTTTTATTGGTATCATATATTTACAACTAAATCGTATTGAAATGATTAATTACAAGGTTTTTACTTGGTGCGTGTATGTAGAAGCTCTAGAAGGAAAGACTTACTGCATTGAGCTGCTGCACAAAGATTACCAGTACAAGGATCCATCTGCAAATGTAACAATAGTAACAGATTAACTGTAGTTCCATTCAGCCCCCGCTACTGAATACCTTTACATAATCACAAATGACTGCCATATAAACTATGTGACAAAGAGAAACCCTATTTGTGTGCAATGCAACCTAAAATCCTTGCAAGTTACCTAATAACTCCGTTTTACTGTCAACATGCGACAAAGCCTAAGAATATATGGCAAGAAAAGCAAAAATGCACTTCCTCGTGGCAAATTAACTGCTACACGTTAGCTTATGGTTTGTTGCTCTTGTGTGCAAGAGGACTAATGTACCATCCGCAGAGCAGGAAAACAGCAAAAATTCTGTCTTCTTGAATTGTCATCACGCTGCAGGTAACACCATAGTATATACTGGTATGCAAATATGCAGATGTGTTATATACCTCAGTAAACAACCTTGAAGTGTGTTAGTTTTCTGGTAAATAGATTAACTAAGTAGGGGATGTGAATTCCTTCAACCTTTATGAGACATATAACTTACAAATGTTTACAAAAGAGTAAAATATTTAAAGTGTTACAGGGCTCAGTGACATGTATGTACTGCAGCTAAGTAAAGCACATATTTTAAGTATTACATTAGTTGTGACAACAGCACTCATGTCATTCTATATCAAAACTTTAATTTTCTTTTAAAATTTTACCAAATCATGATTTGTAAACAACAAAATTTAATTTTGAATGTTGAAAAGATGCATCGGTCTGCATTTTCTTACATGGGAACATATTAGGATATCACACAATACATCATCAGATATTGGTGCTACTACAGATACCAGAATGATAATGTGCATTTCTTACCTCTGTTATTGTTAATCATTGATTATTATTATTGATTATTAACAACATTGTTGGAGTGGGACTCACCTGAGAGGGGACATAGTCACAACAGTACATAAGGATCTCATCTTTCATCACGTAAGCCTGCTGAACAGGTGAGCGTTGGCCTCAGTGCTGCCCCCTGTGGTGGATGAAAGGAAGCATGACACACCAAAGATACCTGTTAGCCATGGGCCATTCATAACAATACATAAAGAATAACTTCCTTTAAGATAAAATGTAGTACATACAATTACATTTAAAACGATGAAATTATTCTACCGATTAAGAAATTATTGGTGCATTAAATTTTCACACCATGTATTCTACAGGTAACAGTCCATCATGCACATAATGCAAAAATGTTCATAACTCACCCAAATTCAACAGCTGAAATTAATCTTCATGAGGGCTTTGGTGCGCTCCACACAGGATAATCTCCTGCCTCTGTATCAGTAAACCAAACTGAGTAACTGCTACTGTTTATTAGTGCCGGGACCGAGATGAGCAGCAGGCTGATTGGGGTTGGACGCATCATCAGTTCAGACCGCCTCTTTGCTCAGGATCAGGTTAAACAACTTCTGTGGGCTGTCCTGTCTGTCCCAGATGGAGAACTTTGATCTAACAGAAGCAATGACCTTACATCACCCGTAGTACAGCAGTGGATGGGTGTACTGTAAAAGGCTGGTTGCTGAGGAGGATGCTCAAAAAGACATTCATCACCTCTGGCGTGTCTGTGGTCCTCTGAGTTTCTGATTTAACTGAAGCAAGAAAAGTAATGGGAAGGCCAGTGCCTGTAGTTCCTCTGATCCTGTTTGCTGTGATGCTGATTGGCACAGGAGCCAAAAATGTAAGATGTTTCTTTTTTTACTATTATTGACAGAACATTTTAGATGAATCTGCTTTAATTTAGCCAAAAGCAAAGACTCCCATGTGGACTGGTATTAAATTTCATAAGCTGACTGTACTGACTGTCTTTTTTCAGTTATGCTTTTATTTCAAACTGTGCACACATTGGGCTGTTGCTGAGCTACAGTGATTGATTCAGAGAAAACTACATTGAACTGCATCACAACACAAATCCAATTCCAAAGAACTTTTACCATGGCAGAAATGTTTCCCTTTTGATCTTTTAAGGAATGTGCTAGTAACATTTTAACTTTTTTTTAAAGATAATTATCAAAACTCTTTAGTTTAGTAAGTTGACCTTTGTCTTGCTATAACTCACACTTCCAGATACTAAATCCACCGAGTCACCATTTAAGGGAGAGGAGCATCATCCTGTAACACTTGGTTTCTTGTGTATTTCCTGTTGTGTCTAACGTGAGCACCGTTCATTCTTCACTGCCTGAACTTTGATATACAACACTGAGGTCTGTTTGTAACTGAAGTGTCTATGCTTATCTGCAAACATCTTGAAGAAATTGGGTTTGTTTGGGGTCTGTTTGTACATTAGGTTCAGTGTGTACATTATTCTTCACTGGGCCATGTTGGTGGGCCTTTTTATGGGAGTTCATGGAAAAAGGAAAGGAAATGGAAGACGGAGAGCAAAACATGCATTAAGCAGTAAAGCAAAAATGTCTTAGTTATTAAGTATGTTGTTATGTAACAAGATGTTATGTAATGAGGTAGCAGAAGGATATTGCACATAAGTAAACGTGTGGCTTGATATCAGAGAAAAATATGAGAGACTGGCAAACTGACAAAGTTTAGGACTTCTACAGAGGTAAAGGATGAGAGGAAGGCAACCTCAAGTGTTACATAAAATATGAGAGGTCCAACTTGACTTGTTTATGAAATTCCCTCCCACCATAATGTGCATAATAAACACAGGCAGTAATAGTATTTGTCAAGTGTGAGCTCTTTGTTTTGTATAAAAATCCTCTCTCCACATCAGTTGATTCAATAGAAGAAACTAATAATAAAATAATGTAGAACCAGTTATCATTCCCAAATGTCACTAATGATGATTAAGTGTACATTTGGTGTACCAGCCCAGACACTGTTTAAGCCATGTGCACAGGAAAATTTAATTCAATAGAGCAAAAGGCATCTATTAAACAAGCCAGGTTTAAGGTATAAGAGAAATGGTATCAGACTCGGTGCTCCCCATTTTTGTTTGGCTGGGTCTTTATATGACTAAGGTGAATTACACATGTAATGCATCTGAAATAATGCTATACCGGTAATTGTTTATTATACTGGAGCTTAGAGCTGACCTTTAATTTTCCTACAGACAACCCACAGTACATCTTCTATTTCTTATCACTTTAACTACTTTTTTAGTGCCTGTGAAAGTTGCACTTGCTCATTCACATCAGTGGACTCCCTTTAGTAACTGTAGTGGTTCCCAAGCCGTGGGGTGGACATTTAACCATAAAGGAGGAGCGGGGAGTGCACATGACTGTGCGGATAAAAATGGTGAAGAGAGCCGAAGCTGAATGAAGCTGATTCAACAAGAGCGAAAATAAAAGTGCTTTTGTACTAAAAGATATGCAGATTCAGTTGGAATGACTCAAGCAGGTCATGTTCAACTTTATGAAAAAGTGATAAAAAAATTAATTGGTTTACAGTAGAATGGGAAAATATGTTTTGATTTCAAAAGTAGGGCATGACAGAAAACATAAAAAATTACTGCAATCTTAATTAAAATAACGTCAAATTAATTGGACAATGTTTTCCTTTTACACAATACTTATTGAACAATGTTACAATTTCTTTTTAGTGTGGAAAATCAAGGTGCCGCTTTGAAGGAGTGAAAGGCAGCAGGGTGAGTGGATCATTTATTGTCTTTGGTAAACATTCAAATTAATCAGTGCTGGGGTTTAATATGAATGACTTTTGCATTTTGCCATTTTAAAACAACTTCTTTTTACATAACTTTCTACAAAATGGTTTTATTTTTCAAGTCCTTTGTTGCCATGTGCTGCAGATGAAACACCACAATATTAGTGTAGCATGAAAGTGTAGGCTCAATGTTTTTTGTAATAAAAATGAAATGTATAAACTCTCACGTTTGATGTGACTATATTATCCTGCACTAGTACCTGTCATGAACATTTTTTTCTTCAGCTGTCAGAAACTCTCCTCTAACTGTATACATCAACCTAAATGTATCACTTCATCAATGGTGGCTCAGCTCTATGCAAATGTCCCAGTAAGTCATGACAGTGTGAAAGAACAAACTTGAAACTGAAGCAGCTAAATGGAATTCAGCCATCATTAATTTCCTTATTTACACCAGAGTTTTACCTGCTGTGCTTCTTAAAATGTATTTTGTTAATGTTTTTATCACCACCTCACAAATAATATTATTCTTTTAACATTTCTAACTGATTTTAAAAGTATTTCCAAACAGACCTCACATCAGAAATAAAATGTCATTGTTACACATAAATGTTGCATTAAAAACAGCAAAATACACAGCAGTTTCCATGATCAAAATGCCAAGGTGTTTCAGGTGCAGTTCTCCACTGGTACACTAGTCAGAAATAGATATTAGCTGAAAAAGCATGAGTAGCTTCAAGTTTGTTTCAACATCCTCCATAATTATTTTAATGATACCAGATGTTTCATTTCAAATTAATTTGCCGTGAGAGTGTGATACAATTCAGATTCAGCAATTCATTAGACCAAGAAAGGTGTTTCTGCATAGATGTATAAACAACATAAACGTCACAGCGACAACAGCTCACAAACGAAGACAAAACGCTATGTTGCAAGGCAACGCCATTGTTGATGTTGTACAGTGTTGCACACACCTGTCTGAACGTCAGTCTGCGTCTGTAAACCCAGCTTCTCTGTTGGTTCTCAGTCACAGTTGAAGGATCCACCATCATAATTTTAGCATTTAGCATTTAGCATTTAGCCAGACCCAGCATGCACTTGTTTGGGTCACGCAACATGACAGGTGTGTTTGATTGACGACTTTTGCCGTGGTCGCCAGGCGGTGCTGCTGCAGCTGCTGACTTTTAATTTGTTGCGTTCTCTCACAGTTAATCATAACGTCATCATCAGTAGTTAGTAACGACTCAGTAACGACTTTAAATGAAGCAAAGTAAAATACATGAGTTAAGACATACCTAAATAGCCTATGAATAACGTTACCGAGTTTTTGAAAATACTCCAAAAAGTAAGCTTACAAGTACACAAAACGATTTCGTTACTGTAACAATACTAAATGTAATTCGTTACTTCAACCCCAGCTGGTATGTTATTTATTAAGCACCAGTCTCATAGCAGTATTTGGATGTGCAGCTGTATTTTGATAAACATCCAGGAAACTCTAAATTCTTCATAAGCTCTTTACTTTACTACTCTTTACTAATTTCTCCATTTTCTCACACACACACACACACACACACACACACACACACACACACACACACACACCACACACAACCATGCAAACACACAACCAACACACACACACAACACACACAACACACACACACACACACACAGGGAGACAGAGGTTTTCCAGGAGATCCAGGTCCTCCAGGAGCAGAGGGCCGTCCTGGATCAAATGGTCATGCTGGGCCTAAGGGACCAAAGGTAGAATTTCAGCTTGGCTTTTGTGGCTCCTTCAATCTTATATCCGGAATATCTCCACATCCCATAGTGTCCTCAGAGGGCAACATCGACTCAAGTTGTATATACAGATTGTGTACCTAGTTTTGCTTACTGCATCACACTAAATCACTAAGATTTATCATAGGTTGCTCTCTTTGACAGGGCAGCACTGGGCTTGATGGACATGTGGGACCAAAAGGCGATTTGGTAATATAACTGTGCTATAGATTTGGGTGTATGTGTACAGATAGACAACATGCAAACTTTGTGGTAGAGCAGGTATCCATTCTGTTGTATCTGTCTGCCTTTAAGAAAGTATTCTAGTTTTGTTACGGTCATTACAGGGACCTGACGGCAAAGAAGGATTTGATGGGTCTCATGGTTTACCGGTGAGGTGTCTTATTCTCTTACACATCTGTGTTACTCTGTTCCTCAGCTGATTTATGTATTGTGTAAGTGCATGCTCTTGCATATTTTGATAGATGACAGTTACTTCCTTCTGATGTTATTTTCTTACAGGGTATCCCAGGTTTACAAGGACCTCCAGGCCCTCCAGGGGCACCAGGATGCAATGGAACAGATGTAAGAAATGATATTAACAGTGGTATCTGTAATATTTTCAGTTCATTTGTGACTTGGTAAATTGAGCTTTACCATAAATCAAATAAAATAGAGAGTCAGAGCTTTTCAGTGACACTGTTTCCACTCTCAGATAAATTCATTTATGCTTGAATGTGTCTGTGATAGCCTACTCGAATGTTTGCATTTTGAACACATTACCTTCTTTTAGGGAGACGATGGACACCCTGGAATTTGTGGACCCAGTGGTATTGCTGGAAATCCAGTAAGAAACGAAAAATCAAAACTATATATCATGATGTTGTACTCAGATGTACCCAGATAGAATATGATTACTCATCAAACTGTACAAAATTTGCCTCAGCTTTGTCTTTACTTTACAGGGTCCACCAGGTCTGCCTGGACTTAAGGTAATAAAATGTATAATGTGCCACCAGGGCTGGTTATTAAGTAATTTTTGTATCTGGGAAAGGTGAGACTGCAGAGTTGCAGCAAAAACTGCCTTTTTAGAAGTTTATTAGCAGGAATAAATAACATGACACAGCAGTAGCAGGTGCCCTCTCAGGCTCCCAAAGCTCATTTTGTACCTAATCCATTTGAGAGAAACCATTTGTTTTATGATTTTCTTTGTTTTAATCCCTCTGTCAAGTCCGTCCTTACATTTCTATCTGCCACAAATGTGTGCTCATTCTCTAAGCTAATTCTCAGTACATGTTTATTTGCATTCACAAGATTACTAGCATTATTTGTCATAGAGTACACGTTATAGACCTCCTAACAGTATCAGAAAGTAGGTTTTTGTGAGCCTCATTTCTGTAATCATGATGATTCTCAGGTGTGGAGCTATAGACTCTATAGAGCCAGTCATCTGTATGTATCTGTGAACAGATCATTTGCATGTACCTACTCTATGTGTAGTTTTCATGTCATGTGGTGGTGGCAAAAACATGTCTTAGCTAAGGTTGTCTGCAGTCTTCCAACTTTTCAGCTTTGAAAAATAATTCCCAACTAAGATTATCTGCCCAGCTGGGACAGACTGGAAGCTGTGATCGATACAGATGTATGCGACTACTTGCAAGCCACGGCGCCAAAGCTGTTGCCATCTATTATGCTGTAGTTCATCTAGTATTGGCGACACTGCTGTGTTCCAGCGGGGCAAATGGACAGATTGCTTTGACCTGGCTACCACCCTTGGCCCTTGAAAAATACACAAGAAAAAACAATAGACATGAAACGTCTTCCAAACCTGCACCCACTATATAATCCCTCCCTAATCCTCACTCCTTTTCACTGTGTGGACATATGGGTACAGCTGCTACCATGCTGGATTGTGCAGGTTGTCTTACTTGGATGCCATATTTCTAAAGGCAAGTGCACAGGTACATGCTATCCACTTGGTTGTCAGACACAATTAGAATTCATTATAAACTGCAGCAAAGCTCTGTGAATCGACATCACAAACTATTGTGAGTAAAAAAAATAAATACTAAGAGTGAGCGAGACAGCGAGCAGACATCTCCCTGACAGTAGTTACGCACAGCCTCCACAATTAGGCGAACATTTGCAATGTAGACTCCAAATGAGAATCAGGATTCAGATGTACACGGGCGATATCCTTGAGTCTCTCCTCATGCCCATTCTTAACATTTTGACAAAACTTGTGAGTGAGAGAGATTGCTGTGTGAGTCCACTTGTAGCCACTTCATGCCGTTTTCATATGTCTGTGTCACGGTCGTAGATGCTTTTAACTAGCCCTGCCCATTTAAGCTTGTTGAAACCCTTTAAAAAGGTAGAGCCTATGTGAAATAGGTTGACATTTGTAACCCTTATTCTACGAACACAGCTAAAAGCCTCTAAATATTGATTCCGCTCTTCCAGTAGTTGCTGAAAACATAGTGAATGAGAACTAGGGTTTATGTGGTCGATTCATTGCAGCAAACCCCTAAGCCACTGAACGTGGTCATTGTAATTCTGAGCACATGCATGTCAAGTGCACAGATACATAAAGATGAGTGATGAAGCCTACAGAGCCCAATCGAGAACTAGATTTCCAAAGGTAACTGTTTAGTGTTGCTCCACGCAGTATTAGCGCATACCTGTGATTATCAGGTATTTCAACACTAAATTTAATTCAATTCAACTCAAATCTTAAATAAACTTACTTCCTCCATTTCACAGGGTGAATCTTGGGTGTTAATAGATTTAATACCAGGGCCACCTGGACCACCTGGGAGGAATGGAGACATGGTAACTATTTAGATTGCAATATAATAAAAAGAGTTTTTGTTTGTACAATATTCTTCATGATAGTCAAAGGCACTTTCCATGAATTTCCTTGCTGTTTCAGGGAGACCCAGGTTTCAGTGGAGAGCCTGGACCATTAGGCGAAGTTGGACCAAGGGGCTCTCCTGTGAGTGAAGTTGTTTTACTACTTTGCACAGAGTACATTTGGCATTATAGAAAATGATTATGCAATGCTTGATATAATTGCCTGCCTTATTTGTGAACAGGGATTTCCTGGCCTTCCGGGGGCTCCAGGATCTAAGGTAGTGCTGAATATTTCTTTGGATGTATGTACAGTATTTGACAGCTTATACTTGATACCTCATTCCTGATGACGAGTGTGAGTATTTACTGGTGGTCTAAGTGGCACGGAGGAAACGCATTAGAAAACCACAGCTGCAGAGTTTCTGTTGTGGAATGGTTATCTTTTTTATCATAACTGGCAGTTTTTACACTACCTGGGAAAGTGTTAACATTTTCTGGCTGTTGCTGTGTAGTGATTTCTACTAGATAGTCACTGCAATTGTTGCTATGACTATAGTATTTTAGAATGCAGTGTGAACATCTATGCGTTGTGGTCTCCCAGATGTCTGTGAAAATCCTCTCAGACAATTGTAAATGTTGATAACATGTTTAGTATGAGAGAAAGGTCAGGTCATTCTGTTCCCATTGGTTGGAGTTAAAGCAACAAGGGGGGGAAATGTGGGAACAGACCTTGACAAAACTGTGAGAGCAGCAAGAAACAAAGCGAAATAAAAGTTTTTTTTCAAAGGGGAAAGATTGGAAGACCTGGTAATTTATACAAACAAAGTTACCACTGCTTTCCCACATCCCCACATGCTACAGGGTCAAGAAGGCCTCAACGGTTCACCAGGACATCGTGGACTAAAGGTAATTTCTCTTTTTTTTTCTGTTGCATTTCTGTTAAATGATCATAACATTATCTGTGTGCATAATGTCTTATATCTAATTGAGGATGACCTCAATTTGTTTGATGCAGGGGAGATCAGGACCACCAGGGCCACCAGGGCCACCGGGTCGGACCAGGGAGTTTTCCACTGAAAGCCTTGTGTTAAAGAGGCAGCAATACATAGAGGTCAGATCATAGTAACAATTAGTGTTCTACAGAGCGCTGTTTCCTGTATGTATGAGGACAATTGTAACGCAGTATAATCAATATTTCTGCACCGAAGCAATCAAGGTTACGGTTTAAGCTATATATTATTTCATCATCAACATCCATCCATCCATCAGCACGCTTCAATATTGTAAAATGCATTAACTATTGTATTTATTGTGGTTTATCAGCTTGTCATAGTTTTTTGGCGGTTGCTTCGTCCCTAAATGACAGTGGAAATAAAGTCCATTTGAAGCATAGCTATTGCACCTGAGGCAACTCATTTCACACCACGCTTGTAGTCTCACACTTAAAAATTAAACATAAGCCCTGTGGTGTCACACTTCGCTTGCTGGAACACTTTCCAGATTTTTGCAGTGGGTGATTGAACAGCAGGCTCTGACACAATGTCAAGGTTCAAAACAAAGGCTGGACTTTCTCTTAGAAAATTGAAAAAGTAAAAGGAGGAAAAAGAAAAGAACAGTTAAGAGGGAAATTTTCAAAACCTATCATGACCATTAGAGGTCATTATAATTTGATTTTTCTTGGGTAGAACTGGAAATTGCGCCCTGATGGTGGCACGAAAGGAAACACAGTCACAGTCACCAAAAAAAAAAAAGGGATTCATCTTCTGAGGATTATGAATGTCTGCAGCAGATTTTATAGCAGTGTGGCCAGCAGTTAGTGTTGTCATTGCAACTAACTGAGCCATACTATAACATGAGGTCTGTTTTTTTATTCAGGATCTAAAAGGAGACAAAGGAGATGTCGGAGAAAAAGGCTGCCAGGGCGAACCAGTAAGTTTCTCTTAAAAATTCACACCAGTGACCTGGCGTTATACTTTACACATTTCAAAATTAATGCCTTTTTTGGCTTTTAAAATCTCCAAAGCTGCCACTCCTGATACTTTTTCTGCCTAGTTAGTGTTGTGTATCTCTCTCTCTGACTCCTGTGCTTATTTCAATCTGTTCGCAGGGAGATATTGGTTATGGCCTTAACACCAAAGGATCAAAGGGAGGCAAAGGACCTCAGGGGCCAGAAGTAAGATACTACTTCCCATCTCTTCCATTAATCCTCACCTTTGAGTCTCCTCATCTGACTGTGCATACATATGAAATGTAGCGGTGTCCCAAAACAGAAAATATCCTGTGTTCTTTGACTGTTGCCCCATATCTTTTCACTGTCCAAACATTTTTTTTTACCACTTCACTTTGCATTGAAAGGCTGCAGTTAACACCCTGGGAATAGCTCAAGACAGAGGATGACCAGCAGAGGGCAGTGATGCAACATTTAACTCAATGTTATTTAGCATTTAACAGGACAAGGAAAGGAAAGAAAACAAAAAAGACCCATATCATTGATCTATATACATAATTCCACAAAACTTCTGTTGCTAGAAAATATCTGCCAAAGCGAAGTGCAGAGTTTTACCACTACAACTTTTTGTTATTATTTTAAGGGCTTGTGATATAAACCTGACAGAGGCACGTCTTTTTGAAAGGCACATGTGTGGGCCTCCCCTCTTTCCCTACAGATGATTGCAAACTGATCTTTTTAAGAAAGATAAATGACTGAAAAAGGTATGCCTGAAGCCCTTGGTAACTATTTTCTGTTTAGACAGCAATACCTGTTGAATCCTCACTGTTGTTCCTAATTGTCCTTTCAGGGAAAGCCAGGGAAGGATGGTGATCCTGGACAATATGGACAGAAGGTACTGTTCTAATGTGCTTTGTGTGTGTATGTGTTTTGGAGAGTAATTATGTTATTGTGTGTAGGTGTGTGTGTGTGGATGTGTGCTTAATAATTGTGTGGCTTTTGAATACAATATAGTTTTCTTTAGGGAAGCCCTGGCCACAGCGGTGATCCAGGATATCCAGGGACACCAGGAGACACGGTTAGTGAACTGTTTGTGTCAAAAACATTATGCAATCCTGCAGTGGGTTGATATACTTTGTTTTATGCTAACTCCAGGGTGAAAAAGGAAGCAGGGGTCCACCTGGTCCACCTGGAAATGTGAGTTTACTTCTTACTCTTGATTTTTTATTTAATTTTTTTTTAAAGTATTTTCAATGTTATACAAGCTAATGGAGAATTCTGGTATGTCAAACTAGTATTAGTCTTTGTAATTTATTTTGAAATGTGAAGTATAAGTGGCTACAGCTATCCCCATCCCTGCATGATTTCACTGCATGACCCCTATGGTTTTGTTTCTAGATATTTGGGCCTGAGCCACTCAAAGGATACCGCGGAGATCCTGGTTCCAGTGGCCCACCTGGTCCACCTGGGCGTCGAGGTAGATCAATAGCAATAATAATCAATCAAGATCAATAGATCAGTGACTGACAAATTGTGAGATAACAGACACATAGATCAGTACAAAGGCTAAATTTAGCCTCTGCCATGATTCTATTGTTGTAGTAGTGGTGGTTATAACTCTATAAAGTAATCAGACTTGCAAATATAGTAATAATAAGTCACTATTCTCCTCTCAGGTATTGTGGGGTTTCCTGGACCAGATGGACCTCCAGGTGTGCAGAAAAGAGGCTATCTCTCTATTTACAGCTAATAAAGAAGTATGACATTTGTTTTGTCGAAATATATAAATATATAGGTCACAGTCTCTCACTTTCCATTACACAGGCCAAGTGTCTGGGAATGATGTGCCAGGCCCACGAGGTTCCCCTGGCTTTCCGGGTCCCAAAGGGGAGCCTGGGGAACCTGGGGCTATTTATACTGGACTCCCAGGTCTAGATGGGGATCCTGGTGATACAGGACCTCAAGGGGATACAGGCCCACCTGGACCTCCAGAAGACAGAAGTATGTGTAAGCGTCTCCTTTCTAACAAATTGTTTCATCTAAACACTACAATTATGACTACCTTGGCTACTAATACAGTAATGTACATGAACACGACTACTGGTAATACTGGTAGTTATTTCAAGTATCTTGATTAACTCAACAACCTTCTTGTTCCTCTCAGTTATGTAAACCTTTCCTTTTTGATTATTTTTTATTCTATAGGCTTCTACTATGTTATGATAAGCTAATATGACAGGGCCAGTTACCAGATGACAATGTCTACATGGAATTTTTAACCTGATATAAATAACTACAGGCTAAAAGGGCTTGTAACCAGTGTAAGGGGCATCAATGCTACATCTTACTACAGTCAACAGAGAGAATTTATATCATTAAATATCTTCTCAGAGCTCTCTTGCTTTCTTCTCTTTTCTGTTATCTAGTGATAAAATGTGAGTTCCTTTACAATAATGCAAACTAAATAATTACATTATAATAATAATAATCGAATATTGTTACAATAATATTTACTGAGTGCATTTTTGACATGCACGAAAATGTTTTTTGAAAATAAAATAAAGGATTGTCTCTTGTGTGTAGAGAAATGCAGTGGCTTAGCCATTCATTTCAACGATTTTATAAAATACTGAAATTTGCATACTTGTGTTCAGTCAGTCAAGATAAGCCTATTAAGACACATAACACCTCTCCTCCCACTTTATCATAGAGTTCAGCGACCTGTGGCGTTGCAGGATGAATTGTTCTGCCTGTGATCATACAAATACTCTTATATAACAGATATTCGATTTTACAAGTTTTTTTTTTTTTTTTTTTAACAAATGAGCTAACATGACTACATGGTAAAAGAAAGCAAAAAAGGTGGTGGTGATACGCAAGCACTGAAGCTGTTTATAGTTATGGTGTATAGTAGACACATTTTTGACTTGATCATTACGAGTTCTCAATAACCATCAAATGCACAAATGAAAAGAAAAACATTTTTGATATAAATGTGGTAATATTGGGAAAGAGTAATAGTAACCTGATGGGCTTTGTTGTTTGTGTTGCTTGTAGCTAACAGGATTACAAAAGGTCTCCCAGGAATGAAGGGAATGAAGGGTACACCTGGAGATAGGGGATATAATGGGACATTTGGAAAGAAAGGTGGGAAACTAACTTTTATTCATAAATTAATGAAATGAATAGTTACTATTCCATTTGTTTCACAGTGGTTTGTCATCACCTCTTACATGCTAACTCACAATCATCAATAAGATACATGACAGTTTATAGAGCCCTTCAATATATTATCACTTTTTAGTGCAAGTTTTTAGTACAAAAATAAAAGGTTATGATGAGGAAAATATAATACTGTGTAATAAAAATGGGACTCACTAATATTTCCACTCTCATGCTCTGTACAGGAGAGAAGGGGGAACCTTGTTATGACTGCATTGAAGCAGGACCCCCAGGAATACAGGGTCCCCGTGGTCCACCTGGCATCCCTGGTAAAGCCATTCATTAGATTCATTGGACACACACATGTTTCTACCGACTATTTCAAGCAACAGTCATAGTATGCATTTTTAAATTTTACTGGTAATAATGGAAAGTAAAAGAAGCTTAAAGCTAAAGTAGACTTACTGTACATGTTTCTGTTGCTCAGGCAAGAATCAAGGACCAGGTGCCAAAGGTGATCCAGGCATCCTAGGACCTACAGGTTTAACTGGAAGACCAGTAAGAAAAAATGTCTTAAAAAAGTACTTTGTTGTTGTTTTTTTGTTTTTTTCTTTACAAACACTTGTAAACAATTGTTATTCTCTGAAGGGTCCTGTTGGTGTAAGAGGATATCCAGGCCCTCCAGGACAAAAGGGAGACTCATATGCCTACAGCACTCCAGGGATAAAGGGAGTGACAGGAGACCCAGGGCAGCTTGGCTGGCCTGGTCCAGATGGCCGCCCTGGGTCTCCTGGGTTACCAGGTCGTAAAGGCAATCAAGGCCCTCCAGGGGATTTGGTGAGAAGGTTTTGACTGACTTCATTACAGTAACAATCAAGCCTTTGCTATTTGCGGCACATTGTGATGCTTCAAAGTTCTTCACAGTTCTCCGTCCCCTCTCTAGGATCCATACCCTGGTATGACGGGAGACCGTGGTTTTCCAGGCCCACAAGGGCCTTTAGGGAGACCAGGACCAGTTGGCTTCCCTGGGCAAGTGGGATATGGGCCCGCTGGACTTCCAGGAAGTAAGGGAGATGTTGGGGTACCTGGCCTGCCAGGGGAGCCTGGAATTCCAGGTACAGAAACACACTGAGAAACAAAACAGTTTGATTGACATTTAAACATAAACACACAAGTTGGCGGAGAAAAAGACTGACAGCCGCTGTGTATCATTTCTTCCCTCCTTCCTTCATTGGTAGGCCAGAAAGGGGAACCAAGCCATATCCACACCACTGGACCTCCTGGACCACCTGGATTTAAAGGCTTGCCTGGTTTACCTGGAAGCCCCGGTAAGTACGGTTAATATGATGGATGGATGGATGGATGGATGGATGGATGGATGCTCTGTATATGATCATACAATAGATAATTAAGGAATCTCTCATACTTAACAACAAACATCCAGGTTATCAAGGAGCATCAGGTGCCCCTGGAATACCAGGTTTTCCAGGACAGAAAGGAGAAAGAGGTTATGTGCCACTTGCTGGAAAGCAGGGGATCCAAGGACAGAAAGGTAATCCATGTCGTGTTAAGGTCAAGCAAAAAAAAAGATACATTTATACTCTGTAGATAGGTGTTTTATCAGTTTAAGTTACTTTAGTAGATGACACCTGTGTGTGTGTGTGTGTGGGTGTGTGTGTGTGTGTGTGTGTGTGTGTGTGTGTTTGTGTGTGTGTGTGTGTTTATGTGTTGTTCAGGTGAAAAAGGGCAGCCAGGTCTCAAGGGTTTTCCAGGTAGGGGCTTGCCTGGTCAGCCAGGTTCACCAGGCCCTCCTGGTCCTCCAGGACTGAAGGTCAGGGACACAAACAAAATTTGCCAAGTAGCAGTAGACAGCTACATATAGTATACATTGCCATACTGCAGGTACACGGAAATGTGTTTATGTGAATATGAAAATAATGCACTGTATATTTTTGATTTTCAGGGAGATGGTGGCCACGGAATCCCTGGCCCCCCAGGCCTCCCAGGGCTTCCAGGAGAAGAAGGACGTCAGGGCCCTATAGGAGATCCTGGGACCCCTGGTCTACCTGGGAAACCAGGGCTAATTGGCAACCCTGGTTATCCAGGAGAAAAAGGTACTCATATGCCAAATAGATAAATATAACTAAACTGTAGCTCACAGAAAGACAGAAAGACATTATTAGATAATAAATGGGAAGGTTCTTCCAAAAAGACCAGTTCATTCTTACATACATATTCAAACAAACATGTGTTCATCTATTTACTGCATTATTCTATACTACATTCAGGAAATAAAGGTTCTATAGGGCCCCCAGGAGTACCTGGTAGCAAGGATTCATGTAAAGGATTACCTGGACCAGTGGGACCACCAGGACCAGATGGTTATCCAGGACTTCCAGGTCAGTGTATATTGAAGTCATGTGATGTACTTTACTGACAACATCAGAAGGACAATGAAAGTTAAAAGATAAAAGTAGATTAAATGTCAACTCTTTTGTCATATAATTAATAAATGCTTCTTCACTATTCTCTTCACCTCCATATTTTCCTCTGCTCCCACACTTATCTCTCTGTCTTCCCTCTCCCAGGACCTAATGGCTTATCTGGTGCGAAGGGGAATGTAGGTTTGCCAGGGTCTGGTCATCCTGGCCCCCGTGGTGAGCCTGGCTCCCCTGGGACATCAGGCCCTGGTTCGCATGGGTTTCCTGGACTAAAAGGGATCAAGGGACAAAACGGCCTGCCTGGTCAACCAGGTATGGTGATATTTCTCTGACAGGACACTGCAATCATTGATGATACTAAATTCTTCAGTACATGATATATGTGAAGTCACTTTTTCAACTTTTTCAACAACTTTGTATACTATTTGGTATCCACTGTCTTAACCATGTATTGTCTAAGAAAACATTATGTCTAATCAAAGTGCATGTCAAAAATGCTTTTGCAAAAATGATGCAGTGCCAATGTAAGAATGTGCAGAGACTGTAATTAGAGAACACATTTATGGAATTGTATTTAGAGCTTTTCTTTAAATGTTCCACTTGGATTTCTTCAGGATTGAGAGGAAACCCTGGACCAGAAGGATTACCAGGATATGGACTAGAGGGATTGCCTGGAATTGTGGGACCACCAGGCCAAATAGGTAACCCTCAAATACAAACACACACACCTTCACAGACAAGTAAATTGCTGTGTATCTATTAAACAGAAAAAGTCTTACAAAGTCTCTCTGCTTCTCTCCATTGTTGGTGATTCATTTTATATGTGGTTCACAGTTATGATGGACTTAATGCCCCCACGACTGTTCCCCACACAGGTTGCCCTGGCCCACGAGGAGCCAGAGGTTCCCAGGGTCCACAAGGCATAAAAGGAGAAAAAGGTTTCAGAGGTCCTCCAGGCACTACATCAACAATACCAATAGATATTATTGGGCCCCCAGGAGACAATGGCAATTTGGGTGAGGTTTACAATAACCTATTCGAATAAGAATATCATTCCACAACCATAAGTTGTAAGATGGAGTTGTTTCACAAAATATAAGTTCTTTTTGTAAAAAAAAATGTTTCATTGTTAGAGTTGAAATAAACTTTAGATCTTGGTAGTACAGGACATTTTTGCCAGAGTGCAGATCGAGTCAGAAATGCAATCTCTGCAATTTGTTAATGAAATGGTGATACTTTACAAGGTGACCCTGGTCTGTCCGGTGTCCCTGGAGATACTGGAAGTACTGGACCAAAAGGGCTGAGAGGGATACACGGAGCACCAGGGAGTCCTGGACTCAAAGGTTTGAAATTAGTTTCACATTTGTAACATTTTTGTTTCACCAAATTAATCTGGTTATATTAACAGTTTTCAAACCTGTCTTTGTGCTGTGTGCTTACCTGTGCCCAGGTCCTCCAGGGGATCCAGGTATTGATGGATCAGTGTTTTCAGAAGGAAGGCGAGGACCTGCTGGGACCTTAGGAGACCCAGGAGTGAGAGGTCCTCAAGGTAAGACCTAAACTAGCTCAAGGCCATAGACATTACTTCAATACATATTCACACCTCCAACCTCACAAGTTAAAGTACAGTAATAAGACTACATAGCTCAACCGATTCACTAAAGTATCACAATATGATTTTAATATATGATATCTCAGTATAAAATACTATTATTATTATTATTATTATTATTATTATTATTGTTGTTGTTGTTGTTGTTGTTGTTAGTTGTAGTAGTAGTAGTAGTAGTAGTAGTAGCATTATTAGTATTATTCAATAATTTAACTGTACCCTAGCTTCCCAGAAATACACAAACAAGAGATGTGCAGTTGTAGATACAAATGTCTCTTCTCTTTATTTTACCTAAAATTGTTTGGTTTAACCCTCACAGGCTTAAAAGGAATAAGAGGAGATCAAGGAATCACTGGAGGGCCAGGTCAAGAGGGTGCACCAGGTCCAACTGGTAACAAAGGAGTTAAAGGAGAACCAAACTACTTTGGATATGGAATCCCTGGGCCAGTAGGACAAAAGGTAGTGATGACTGGTCCAACAGAGTCAGGACTCAGGAGAATATATGTGTTTATTATAAATAATGATGATTTCTCTCTCCTTTTCTCTTTATTCTTCTTCCTGTCTTCAGGGTGAACCAGGATCAACCAATACTTACACGATGAAGGGTCAAAAAGGAGAACCTGGTTTTCATGGACCACCAGGTCCACCAGGAGACTATGGAGCCAGAGGAAACCCAGGACCTGTTGGCAGAAGTGGTTACTACCATTGATCATGAAAATTAGACAGTCAATGATCAGTTGTATTTTTTTACTCATACTTTATTTACCTTTCCACCACACTCTTGTCCCCAACCTGCTGTTCCAGGTGTACCAGGCCTCCAAGGGCCTAAAGGTTCAGATGGACCTCCAGGAGACAAAGGACTCCCGGGACCTAATGGACCACCAGGCAAAGTCCTTTGAAATAATATTTTTCTACTTTATAATGATACCATAAAAATGTAATTTAATTGTTCAAGTATGATACTTTTCACTGTTATATTTGATGTGGAATTTATTTTATGTTTAACCACAGCCATACCTTTTTCATATCCGTTTGTCTCAGGTGTCCCAGGTCCGCCGGGTGTCGGTGGTTATCCAGGTCCTAAAGGCAACCAGGGTCAAGATGGGATCCCTGGACTACCAGGGCAGAAAGGGGACACAAGTAAGAGACTTCATTAAAAGACCTGTATGGCTCTATGAGTACATCCTGCTTATTACAAACCTATAAGCATTGTTACTTTGTATTGTCTTTCTGTTATTGAAAAGTAGCTAACAGCACCTTCAAAGGCATGACTATAGCCAGTGCTCACCTATCCTTCCATCTCTCCTCTGTAGTCATAATTGGAGGGACACCTGGAAGACGTGGTGACATAGGTCAACAAGGTGAGTCACAGGTAAATGACACTATACTTTTCAAAGCTTCTATGAGCATCCCACTTTTTTATTTTCACACTTGGCCCATTTGGAGAATTTTCTGGGTTTGCCTTGCTGTCTAAAGTTCTGTGTAGCTGGCGAAAGCTTCTCTCAAACTTGGGAGCAGTCCAAATAATCAGTCTTGGCAAACCTCAGAAAAATGGGATTCCCACTCTACCAGACCCCACTTATGCCTCACTTGCAGTCCTCATCAGATATTAAAGCAATAGACTCCACATGCTAAAGGTCAGATAATGGGATTGGTTCAATGAATGTTACCTCTTTAAGCATTATTAAAGCTTTAAAGCTACTCTAAAAGAGTTTAAAGCTGTTATGTACCTGTTGTGTTGGACTACAGGGCCCCTACTGTGACTACAGTGATTCTTATGAACGTCTGTATCAATCTTTTAAAATTTGAAGGTCAAATGCTACTCATTTATAACTCCTCTTCATCACTAGATGCACAATTTTACTGTGAGCAGATTAATAACAATCAAATTATGAAATGAAACTGATCAGAGATAATCCACTGTAAAACATTGTATTCTTTACTACTGATTTGTACTTTTGTTGACATCAGTGGACTGTTCTTTCTGTATTGTAGGCCCTCCAGGGGACCCTGGTCCCTCTGGCTTGCCAGTCACAGCAAGTCCTGGACCAATAGGAGACAGAGGATTGCTAGGTCTACCTGGGGTCAAAGGTCCAAGGGGTCTACCAGGAAGAGAAGGGGCATGTTCTTGGTTAAAAGGAGACCGTGGCCATCCTGGCAGTCCTGGTAACCCAGGTGAGGATGTCCTACTGGAGGAATTAAGGAACTCATGTACCTTTTTGTAAACATAAATGGATATGGCCTGAGAATGTGATATTCTGGTGTTTTTATCTGCATAATATGCAAACATCATTACTTTTAAAGGTGTTTTAAATCCAAAAAATACTTTGACCCTTATTTGCTTTGCTCAGTTCTCAGGTGTCAAATATGTACTTTAATTTTATGAAAATAACTCTCAGGGCGTCAAGTAGCTCAGTTGGTTGAGCATCTGCCCCATGTTCAGAGGCTACAAGTCCTCGCTGCAGTTGGCGACGGTTCGAGTCCCGCTTCGGGTCCCTTTGCTGCATGTCATTCCCCCTCTCTCGGCTTCCCCATTTCCTGTCTCTCTCTACTGCACTATCAATAAAGGCACAAAAAGCCCTAAAAAATAAATTAAAAGAAAAGAAAATAACTCTCAGCAATTATCACTTGCTCCTCACAACTGTGTATGTAGGATGTCCTGGCTCACCTGGCCCTCCAGGTCCCACTGTGCCTGGGTTTAAAGGAGACAGAGGGGACGAAGGTCTTATAGGAAGCCCAGGCAATAGAGGACTCCTGGGAGATCCAGGCCCTCGAGGACCACCTGTAAGTGATCCTGACATTTATTTATTTGAGGATTACTTGACACGTCTGATAAAAAACTTTTTACAAAGCAAAATGAAGATTCAAGTTTAGTGTTCTGGATTCATATTTGTTCTCAACAAGAGATGGGATTTTATTCTCAAAGTGTGTGATAAAATGTGGCTTTTCTCTCAGCAGGTTGTCTCAGATGAGATTACTTCAAGCGTCACATACAGTTACATCACATCTGATACTGATACCTTTAATGCTGAGTCTTCAAAATCTCACTGCACTACTAAAAGACGCATCTTTGACCTTTATTGTTTCATTTGCCTCCCCAGGGTGTAAGAGGCAAACCTGGAGGCCCTGGGCCAAGAGGTGATTGTGGTCCTCCTGGATTCCAAGGGCCCCCTGGTAATCTATCACTTCAGCTTTAGCGTATAGATTACGTGCTCTCTTTGAATTCCTCCCCAGACACAGGCATATCTGTCACCACAGAAGAGTAATAGTCCAAGATTGATTTATGTTCCTACAATGGAGATGAAATACAAATGGGACAGAGAACAAAGGGGACAAAGAAAAATAAGATTAATGAGGATTCATTTCACTTTTTTTCTGTCTTTCAGCATAAGATGGAATTTATAAAATAGGGTGTGAAGGCAAGATAATTTACTTGCAATCTATTTATGTCCTGTGTATTTTAGGTGAGAAGGGAGACCCTGGATACAACCCAGGCCCACCTGGTCTGCCTGGAGTCAAAGGTTTTCCTGGACCACCTGGTGCGGCAAAAGTCCTTCTTACTATTGTTCACAATAACCAGGAATAACAATGAGCCCAGATGATAGCTTCCAGATTCAAACCACTTCACCATCTTAATAGTCAATTAGTTATGATTATCAGCAGAGATGCAGTATTTCACCCATCAATGTTAGATAACTCATCTAGTACTAGTGAAGTTTACAGTTTCTAGACATTCCATAAAACCACAGATATTATACATTTTCTGATTGAATTTACTGATTATTCCTTCACTGTCCCTACAGGCCTCAAAGGTGAACCAGTATTTGCCAATGGCATATTTGAACCAGGCTTTCCTGGCTTACCAGGTCCCCCTGGCAATCGAGGAGCCCCAGGGAGCACTGGACCATCAGGACGACCAGGCCTTCCAGGTTCAAAATTTTATCTCAGTTCAATCTATGCACTGTGATTTCAAGATGTGCTTCTACTTTTTGGCTCCAGTTACTCATACTCTTCAAAGCCAAGGATACAGATTTTTTCAGGTTTTTTTTTCAATTTTGTCACCTTGCCATTAACAAATTGACATTGAGCAATGCCGTTGATTGTGGTGTCTGTTAGCTAAATTGATTAATTGTCTCTTGCTGCTCATATCATGAAAATGAGAAGCTGTAGAGTTGTGTGATGAACAATATTTGCAAATTCCAGTAATAGCCACTTTCACAAAGCTGGTCCTCTTTGCATTATGTGACACTGGATCTTTCTGTCCCAGGTAAGCCAGGTGTCAAAGGAGTGCGTGGTCCCAGTCCACATGGCCAGCCCGGATTTCCTGGCCACAAAGGAGACAAAGGAAACGCAGGAGTGCCAGGTATGTGCATGTGTTGAAAGATGTATTTGTGGGTGTAGATGTGCAGAATTTACCACATGATGTCACTTGCTACATTGTACATTTTGTTCTTCATTAATGATGTATTTACTGTACAGGTCCAGAAGGTAGACTTGGAGACGCAGGCCGAAAGGGTCCTCCAGGGTTGCCTGGAGGAGGCGGTCCACATTATGTTGACAGTTTCCTCATAGCTAGACACAGTCAAAGCATCCGTGTCCCTGACTGCCCTCCTGGCTCCAGCCTCATCTACTCTGGTTACTCGCTCCTTTTCATCAAAGGAAATGATAAAGCTCATGGTCAGGACCTTGGTAAGAGCATGGAAACTCAGAAATATTGTGTTGATTCTACGTCATAAAAAAACTTGTGTCTTTGCTTGAGTCATTTTATGACGTTCTAACACTTCAAACGTGTCTCTCAGGCACCATGGGAAGCTGTCTCGCTCGTTTCTCCACCATGCCCTTCCTGTTCTGTGACACAGAAACTACCTGTCGCTATGCTTCTCGTAATGACTACTCATACTGGTTGTCAACAGACACCCCTATGCCCAATAACATGGTTTCCATCACAGGGGAAAAGCTGGCCTCCTACATCAGCAGGTGGAGGAGTGCATACACACAAATACACAGACTCATATACTGTCTATTACTGTATGTTTCATAAGTAAATTGATTTTCAGTCACGGGAAACATTTAATTACTATTTGACATGACTTGGGACAATATTGATATGGGTGTCTGTATGCATGTGTGGTTTAGGTGTGCAGTGTGCGAAACCACCTCCAATGTCATAGCCTTCCACAGCCAGACAATTCTGATACCTCAATGTCCCAAAGGTTGGGAGTCCCTGTGGACTGGATACTCATTTGTTATGGTAAAAAAAAAAAAAAAAACAGCTTCTTTCCTCTGAATCTTCTCATATGCCATTTTTCTTTCCAAGTAATGTTCTTCCTTTGATCTTTCTCCATTCTAGCAAACAGGTGCTGGTGCAGAGGGCTCCTCGCAGCCTCTGGTTTCTCCTGGCTCATGTCTGGAAAGTTTCCGCCAAGTGCCCTTCATTGAATGTCACGGCAGGGGAACATGTAACTACTACCCTGATTCCTATAGCTACTGGCTGGCCTCCCTCGACGCCAACAACATGTTCAGGTAAACTGTTCACCTTCTCTGTTTAAGCAGTGGTGGATGTATGCGGGCACACCTTCATGCACAGTTTGAATTACTTTATTTTCAAGATGGGGTATGACATCATTTCCTACATAAACAGCAGCTAACCCCAAAACATTTCCTGATCAGTACCATTTCCGTTTGACCCTGTTAAGAATCAAATTCTGGAGGGAAAATTGCCACAGCTTGCCACAGCTCACTTTCCCAACAGAAACCATTTTAATTTTCATATTATCAAAGCTACAACTCCACTACATCATGATATTAGGATTTTTTTTCTGCATCTGTAACATTGTGTGCATATGTGTGTGTTTTCTTCTCACCTACAGTAAACCTGCTCCTCAGACAGTGAAGGGACCTTCTCTACAAAATGTAATCAGCCGTTGTCGGGTCTGTAGGAAACTATCGCAGCCTCGCTCAGATGACAAGCGTGGGGACAGTTTTTAACACTGATTATTTCATTTTTTTGCGTTATTTAAAATATGAAACTATGTGAATATTAAAATTAATGAAACATTTAGTCATCCATTATAGCATATGGTGGCTGTAGTGTGCCGCCAGAGTGTAATTATTCTTGAGCCTCAATAACAGTCAATATTAGTAGTTACAAAGGTACTAGTAGCAGTTATACATAGTCTTTTCTGGATTGTAAATGCTTTCACTTTTACTTAGAGTTTCACATTAAATACTTAACCCTACATCGTTTTTATCACAGTTTTCCTCTGATGTTATTGGTAATATTATAAAAAACTATGTGACATATCAAAAACAAGCCATTACAACCTTTTTTTTTAATTTACAAACCTAGACTGTGACCATGTGTATCTTAATTGACAAAATGCCATGTAACACCAAAAGGTCTTTTGGATTTTAAGAAAAAAAACAAACAAACACCAAATGTCCTCATTTGTGCATATGATAGTCAGACTACTGAGAAATAATTAACTTGTTTATACAGTGATGACACTGACATGTTTGCTGCTTTGTTCCACATGACCTGAGAAGACCAGTGCAGTCCAGTCAATGGATGACGTCAAAAGTATTAGCTCACAACGAATGACACACATGTTCCTATGACATCTGGAGAGGAAGCACTGTGACTTGCTCCTGCTTTGAAATTGTAACATTGTGTTTTCTCACGCAATTATAGAGTTATTTGTGCTGTCACTCTAGAAGCATTTTTTTTTTGAATTTCAGCATGTTAAATGATGCATGGAAAAGATTAAACTTTATGACTCATACTGCCTGCAACTTTTTCCAATCCATTTCTAAATGAACTGTCAGGAGGTGACACCACAATCAAACGGCTGCTGTCTCTGTAGCTTAGGGGACAGAAAAAAAATGCACATTAAGACCTTGAGAGAAGATTTTGTGGAATGTTTTCTTGCATCTCATCTCTCTCTTTTTTGGTTTGTCAATTGGGGGAAACAAATAAAATACAAATGAAGAGACATAATGTTTTTTTTAATATATTAATCTGGCCATTGATTCCAGATGTAACCCAGGATTTGAAAGAAGCCATTATCAAAAGCTTAAAGTAGCTGTTTGTATGTTTTACTATTGCTACATAACTGATGTTAGGATTATCAGCTGTTTACCTACCAGTCTAGAAGCAATTTTGCGAGTTTAGCATCAAACATCATTCCCTTACTTACCAAGAGCTGTCTCCAGCGGTGGAAAGCAACCCTTTTGTTTTTTTTCTATTTCTATTATTTTCTTCTACCGAAATTAGCATGCTGATCAGCTAGCTCCAGCCCAGTTAGCCCATCTCATCACTGTAGCGTCCAGTCTGCCATGAAGAAGTAGTGCTGCTCAGAAGTGTATTATAACCTCTTGTCCTGTAAATGCAAAAATGGTTAAAAAACTTACAAATGTAGCTCCTTAAAGAAATATGTAATTTTCCATCCTGAAAAAAAGAAAAAACGTATTCCTCTTGTGATTTCATCATGTAGTTTTTCCAGAACTATCTTTGGAGGAGTACACACTTAATGAACAGTCATTCAAGCTCGCCAATCCATATCTGCCACTGTGATCAATAGATGCACTCCATGTGCAGCTACATGCAAAAAGGCACAATAATTTCCACAAACAGCTGTGTTCAAAATACTGTTTCTTTACGGCACGCAGATATTCCAAGATATTGATTGCTCAGAGTCAGAAATAACAAACAGCCTCATATACTGTAGCTTATGTAACAAAGGCAGCTATCACAAGTAACAGCTGAAGAAGACCTGAACACTCCTGTGTGAATTCAAAACCTCCGGTGATGATATATCACACTGATTATCTAATTAAGTTTTGACATTTTTGGAGCAGAATCTCAGCTCATTATAACTGTAGTTCCAACACATCAGAAAGGCCTGATATAACAAGCAGCCACTCCTTGAATGCCACCTTGAATTAAATAAGTCTTACATGGCCTGGTGCAGACAGTTGTCAGCATGGATAGAAACACGCTTGCTGTAAAGTGCTCTCCGTAGCCTTCTTAACAGGATTATTCTGCTCCCGACAGTGCACTTACTAATTGTTTAGGCAGCTATATTAGACTTCTACACCTCTCTAATTGGGTTAGAATGGCGATTTGTTGAGAGCTTGATGCGCTTCAAGGTTGTTTCCCATTTTAGAAGGACATGTCCTTATAGTTTTCTCAACACACATGCCCTACATGGGCTAGAAAGACATTTCTACTGATATGTTTCAAGATTAGTTTCACATGTTGAAGGATATGATGTATCTTTGAATACTATCAAACAGATCCAATCCTGAATGACAACAGGTGAAGTCCATTACCTTGATTTCTTGACACTTAACATTATGAACATTTTTTTGCGTTTATAGGGAAATTATTTATGCAAAATAACTTACATACACTTCTTGTACAATGTCATATGGCCTGCTGGCCCGTCCACGGGCCCATTAGAAGGTTCTGTTCTGATGGAGTAAACGCTAAATAGTTTGTCAGTATAGACAGATCAGTTGGACTCTCTAGAATTCAAATATTTGGTTCATTTTGCGCTAACCATAAGCACATAAATATTATTTATTAATATCTATCAGCATTCTGTACCAGTGGAGCATGGTGACTGCCTGCCATTTAGATGTGTAGAACTCTGATTCTCTCTCCATTCCTCCATTATTTGTATTCCTTTAGTCCATAAGGGTCCACAGATCACAAATATCAAAATGGTTCCTTATATAAAAGTATTCCAGGTAATGAATATCGTCATGAGAAGTCTAAAGCAGACGACCTGCTATTGTTGGTTAGCTATTTGGCTACAAAATGGAGGCCTCCCTGTAAGGATCCAATCAGATTTCACTTCAGGGGGGTCGGGGGAAGATGGCGAGCTTAACCGAGCATAAGACGTAATGACGTGTTCTCTCCATCTGAAAAAGTCTGTTTTTTTCACCGCTCTTATGAATGACTAGCTTGTAGATAGACATCTCCTCTGACCAATCAGAGGCATCAAAACACTTCAGTATGTTTTCTATTATTTCATATTAAAGAGTTAAAGTACATTTCTTCCAGTTTTCCTTTTGGAGAGGTTTATGGGCACCAGTGAAAAAATCAACTATAAAGGCCTACTAAACTAACCTATAGGTCTAGAGGCCTTAAAGCTTCAAAGAGTTTTTGACAAGATGTAGAAGTATTGTGGAGCTTTTTTATTGTTCTTGTATAAAATTATATCCTGTTGGTAGTTATGTAATATGACTTTTTTTTTTTACAGGCAAGGACTGAAAAATACTAAAAAAATACCATGTATGAGCTGATGTAGTTTAGGTTGGGTTGTAGTCACATACAAAACAAACACATTTTCAGAAACTAGAATATGTAACCTTTCACAGGAGGTCTCATAAATGCATTTTGCCCTTTCAGTTCTATATATTATAAGCAAATGGATGCAAAACGTAATGTAATACTTGCCTTTACCTGAGAAACATTAAAACAGGAACGGTAAATAAGTATTTGGTCTATGTACAGTTGCACATTTATAGAATGTACCATTCCAAAATCATTACAGCCTGTGTCAAATACTCCTTGATTGAGATGCGGCAAAACTGTAAAGTGAAACGGAGCAGAAATCTCATTAAAAAGATGCACAGACAAAACTCACAAGGGTGTAACAAATGATAAGTTGACCTTTATGGCCTATGGATATCCCAGTGTCTCCATGCTACCCCGTTGACTCAACTTTATGGCGCAGCGGGGTTAATGAAATCGTTGTTTCCCCCATGTCAGCGTCATTAATGTTTTATTTTACATGAGTGCACAGAGCACTTCACTTACAGGGATTTGCTTTTAAACAAGGAGGCAGAGGGGATCCTTCACATTTACAAGTTACACCAATGACAGCATCAGGATGACCTTCTCTTATACAAGCAGATTACAGTGTGTCAGGATGGTGACGATGTAAAAACCTTTTGTCTCACTCCTAATGACCGCTGTAAATTACAGAGTACATGCCTCAGTGCACTGATGGGGGCAAACACAAAACTGAGGATGGTCTTTACGCAGATAACCTGCATACTCCTCCCTTTTTTCAGGCCTAGGTACTGCTTATAAAACAGACATCTGACAGTGTTGTACAGTTAAGTTGCACATCAGTGGATGTTGTGGTGTCTTACCACGAAGAATTCTCTCAACAAGAAGCACACAAGCAAGATTTTCCAACCAAGGATGGCCTATATTTTATGCATTTTGGCACTTTTGTGTTTTGCAACATGTGTTGCAGAAAACACACAGACTGCGAAGCGATTTAAAGACCTGCAACTTCAGCAGGACTCATTGCCATGGCTTAACAAATTACAAGACAAACAGGTGAGATGCCTTTATTTTCACCAATACCCTTCTCTGTGTCTCCATGGCTGAAACCAGGCCCCGAGTCCCAGCTGTGATTATGCTGCAGGCATCAGGATGTCCTGTCTACAGATTTTCAATTTGTAAAGTTTGACTTGTGCACTCACATTTTATTTATCTTGATCTGTTAAAAGAGTAATTTTACTCTCAGACAGCATTTTGGATGCTGTCGGAACTGCCAACCTGATTTCTGTCATTTAATAATCCTGAGGGCTGCACCTCCATGAAATTGCAGATTAGAGATAGAGTAATAACTTTGCATTTCCCTTTCTGGCTATATGATCAACAAATGAAAAACATCTATAACATACAACATTCAGATTCCCAGTTTGCTAGGAATAGCATACAGATAACAAAATTCTCACATTTACTAATATTTACAAGTCTGTCAATGTTAAGAAATCTTTACACTATGTTAATATTTTCTTCCCTAGGAATCAACGAAGACACACAACTTTGTAGACTTCCTTTATAAATTTTTCAAATCCGAAAATGGAATTATCCTCAAAGAACCCAGAGACACAGCGAAACAGGAGAAGAATCAACGTAGACTGGGTACTGGCTACACAACTCGCAGAGCTGGCTGCAGAATATTCTTCTGGAAATCCTGGACTGCCTGCTAACTTTATTCTCACTCAAGTGCCAGACTGCCAAACCGTGAAATTGTTATCTCAAGTCTCTTTTAATCGCCACAATGTAGTTTGGCTCTTGACATACACTCATATTCATACTTTGGTTGATTGCCGATTTAAGGTCCCATGTTATTATGTAATCATTGTGTTTTAAGATAAAGGAAACACTCACACAAATGAACAATTGAAAGAACATTTGTGTCCTCCTTCAAAATAAAAACAACTGTCTGAGAATATAAAATTGACACTTCTGCAAACTGTGTATGATTACTATGTGAATTAAGCTTTCATTTTCTATGTAGCCACAAAAGGCAACATTTTTGAGGCATGACTTCAACAAAACAATTAGCAAGACACCTTCTAAACAGATTGTGGACTTGATTATTAGTATCCTGCTGTGCTTCTGTTATCTTACAGTGAGACTATGTAACTTTAGAAGATTATTGCATCCTTCCTCTTACGTATAAAACGTTTAATTCATAAGCAATAAAGCAGAAACTTGCTCAATTCAGTACTCTCGGGGCTGTTGCTGCCACGGTCTTTCTCGGTCTGGTAAGAACAGTAGCTGAATGTTTGCTGTATGATATAGAGTGATACTGCTGTGTCACTGACAATACTGAGACAGACTCTTCTTGTGCAACTGTTACACTATGTTTTATCATTTATCTTTATCCCATAAATGTCATAACAGAAGTTAAATGGTCTCACTTTAAATTCAAGTCTTGACAGTCATTTTTTATTTCACTATTCAAAGTAAGCTGTACACGGTTTTTGGCTGTTTCTGAGATGCCGGAACTACTTGGAACTGCACCAACATCCATGTCTGTTTAAAAGCACCTCAGCCACTTTTCATTCTCGCAGTTAGCTGAACAATAGCTGACCCTCCTGATCCTAAATGCCTGCATTATTTAAAGTACCCTGGCAGCCTGGAGAAGGTGTACACAATGAAGTGGGCACTGAATATTTAATGGTCGGTAAATGAACAGTCACAGTGGAAAAGCTGCTGCAAAACCCTACTTGCCCTGCTTGTCAAAGGGACGTAGTTAAATGAGCCCTGCAGAGAGCTGAAAAACTCAGCAGGCTTCCCTGACAGCCAGCTGTTTCTCCACTGGCCTGTGGAAATGAGTGTGGTGTTTGAGTGTGCACCTGTTTTCTCCTAAATCAGTCAAGATCACTCATATTCATTTATTCATTCATTCATCAAACAAATCAAAGTATTTATTTCTGTATGGGCCTTCTTTTGTCAGTAGTTTTCTACTCTGTCACATTATTTTCACTCCAGCAGAGGAGGCTGTTCTTCTCTTTGTTAAAACCACACAGACTTTAAATGCAATAAATGTCTGCAGTGTGTTTGATGTTTCCCAGCGATCTTCATGGTAGACCAGCAAAGCAATAAACCAATAGCTTTACAGACATCCATTCATCTTCTACGTCTTTGATGTTCCTTCAATTCTCATACCACTGATTGAGGTATATTTTTTCCTATACTGTGGCTTCGCTGTGCAATCTATACTGAGACAAAAAGACGTGTAGGCCTGTGGCATTTGTGCATGCATCTGCATTAGTGCACAATTCATATATTGCCTTTGCATATATCTGACATGCCTATGCGTGCTTATTTGCATAACATATGTCTTGCAACATCATATATCATTGCACTGATGATTATGCGTTTAGGTAGCTCAGCAGCAGTTCGTATCCTAGAGGTCTTTCTGTTGAAAAATGCATTGATCTCCACTGTGCATGTACAGTATTATGCATGTGTGTGGAAAAGAGGTAAAATTGTTTGTGAGAATTACCTGAACTCATTAACCTCAAGCAGGTAAAGAAGACGGCTGGTGGGACACGAGGAGAGAAGAGAGAGATGGATGAGATGTAGTGTGCTGAAAAGGAAGGCTAGATTGAGGAAGAACGTATCAAACTGGATAGAGGAGTGGAGAGGGAATAGAGATTAGGAAAGTGAGAAAGTAGAGGAATGGAGGGAAAGAGAGGTACAAAGAGGATAAGCAAGGGGATGAGAGAGAAAATTATTAAAGAAGCAGTGTTGGAGCATAACTGCAGTCAAAGCTTGGCTTAGTATCCTCTCTGTCCCTGGGCTATTGGGATTCAACAGAACAGCTTCCCTCTGTAACAGGAAACCACTGCCAGCACATTAACATGCTCATACTGCAGAGCTTCTTCAATAAAGTGATAGAGTGTGTGAGAGTAAGAAAAACAAAGTGTGTTAGTGGATGTGTGGGCAGGTGGCTGGGTGAGTGGGTTTACAGTGCATGTGGGTGCATGTGTGCATGGTGCATGAACTTTTATTTGTCTTATGTCTCCTAAGTAACAGCGCGTTTTGCTTGCAGTATCCCTCACAGTATTCATTTGCAAACAGGAGAAGCCGAAAAGCAGCAAATAACAGAGAAAGGGAGGCAGGAGAGAAGGGAAGTGATCTGTTTTTACTGTCTCAGGACAGTGGACTGTCTCACAAGGTGCCGCAGCAGAGACTCTATTCAGTCTCTTTAACCATCAGAGCTCATTTCATTCAAGCATTTATAATCATTCCCAAGTAGCTCCTCTTTCCCTCCTTCCTTCTTCTGGAAGTAAACATATTAGAACCAATTATCCAATACTTGTGCCGACTCTGAGCAGTTGATTTGGATGTAAAAGACGCAGATAAAAAACATTGAGCCGCCTGGATCAAAGGAGCATCACTGAGCCTTAATTGAACAGAGACCAATTATTTTTAATGAGTAGAACTGAACGCCCCACTTCTGAGAAGGAGTTCCCTCATTCTCTCCCTGGGAGGACGAGAAAAGAGAAACAAGTGGAGTCCCAGTGGCGCAGGCCCACACCAAAACAACAGGCCAAAAAGAGGTAGACGGAGAGGGAAGAAAGATGCCTGGGATACAAGATTGAAAATATTTTTTACTCTGTGAGCTCATGAGTCTGCTAAAGACAAACAAAGTCATGTACAGGCCTGTATAAATAACTGTACAGGTCGTAAATAGATGTCTGTGTTGTTGACCCAGCTAATTGCAAAAACCTATGACTTTTCTGATGGTCAAACTCTTCATTCAATACTTATTTCCAGCAAAAGAGCATTTTCAATTTCACAGCAGATACCGGTAACAAGTTTTGAAACTCACAAACCAAAATGTAATTTGAAACAATCCTGGCAAAGGGATTTTTGTATCGCACAAGAAGTTGTAAACTGAGCCAGCTCTGACCTTTAAAATGCAATGAAAGCCATTCAGTTTCCTGCCACAAATCTGCCACATGTTAACCCAGATGGTTTGGGAGAAAAGAGGAGAGAATGAAATGATATGGTACCATGGGATGAGAATTTTGGAAAATACACAAGATGTTATTTAATCTGTCAAAACATATTTAGTGTCGTTTTAAAAGCACCACCTGTTTTGTCTGTTAAACGACTATTATAAGGGATTAAAGCATCGAACCGATTTATATCAGGTGTGCAGTTAGTTCAGGGTATTCACAGGCAAGCTGTTGGGATGATCAAATTTCACAGCCGCTGAGCTCATGGAGAACCCAGATTGGAAATAGTTCGCAGGGAGCAAGAATGTACTCAGTAGAAATCATGACAATCTTATTTCTCCAGTGACGAAGGAGAGAGTTTTTAGCCATGCGAGCAGTGTTGGTCCTGGCTGGTTGGTTGGTTGGTTGTAGGGCTACAAGCAGCTCAAGGTTTCCATTTATTGTGTGAAACATCTCTACATCTACTCGTTGGATTGCCACAAAACTTGGTACGGGCACTCTCAGTATGAATTAATAACTTGAATTGAACTTCTAATGTCATGCCATCATCTGGTGTACATAACTTGTCCAACACTTTGGTTTATGACCAAATGCCTGCAACACTAATGATATTGCTATCAGCCTCAGCTGTTTTTCTGTTTGTGCTAAATGACCTGCTAAACACAAGGGTATTGGTGGTATCAGTGTAAACAAAGTTGGACAGAAAGATGGTTGAATTGTTAGGAGAGAAGAGGTCACACACCAAACCCAATCACACGCAGAAAACTACCACATTCTAAAAATATCAATCTACAGGATTCCTATACATTTTCCCTGCATCCAAGTCCAACCAACTATTTTCTTCGCTGACATGATATAAACATATTTCATATGTCATAATCCGTGCGTCCAGCATGTCCAGTTTGCTGTGAAGCTTTGGGCAGAGGCCAGTTTGTTGGCTAAAATGAATCCTGGCCACATCATCAGATTTCTGTCCAAGGTTATTTTTGATTTGGGAACATCACCTCTGTAAAAATTGCATTGTCAAGCTTAACCTCAAAAAGAGTATTTGGAGGTTGCTAGGGCCTTGTTTTGAAAAAGGTTGTTTGAAATTGAGATAAGTGTGACGCTAAATCATTTCTCACCTTTGTTTTGCGAGCTGCAATGTTCCTATCCTTGTCTCTAGGCTTTGACAAATATGTGTTTCTCAGTGCAAGTCATCAAACGCATTTTCTGCCAACTTACTAACTTATCACGCAGCGAAACAGAAGAACATAATTTCAACAAAGAGAAGAGCTGAAAAAGTTAAACTTTTGGAAAGTTCTTCTTGTGGTAGATTCACTATTATATTATGCAGATTGTGATGAGGTACTCTCGTGTTATTAACATGTCAATGCATTTGAATAATACATGTGAGTGAAGTGATACTTTGAGGCAATGATATTATGGTTATTATGACCATTATGACCAGTGCATTTTCAAACCAGGAGAGATTTGAATACAGCCACTTAGTCTGAGGTTGCCTCTTCCACACAGGAGGAAAGGAGGGAGGGTGGGGGCGGACAGGTGGATGTGAGAGGAGCAGCAGAGGCCACAGGCAGAACTGTAGCTGGAGAGGAGAGGAAAGAAGAGGAGAGTGGCCTTCAAGCTGTTTGCAGTCCTTGCCCTCCCTATGTGTGTCTAAACGGATGACCCTGTTTAGATTAGCGACTCACATGAGAGTCTAAATAGCTGACCTTGACTTGTTTCCACTGTTAGTCAAAGTTAATTACAAAGGTGGCTGCGGTGAACGGGATGGCATACTGATCGTGTTAAAATGTGAGTTGTTTTTGCTCAGTGGTTTTGGGATTACACACATTTGGATAACAATAAAACGTGTGGCGTGACTGGAATATTGTACAATAGGATGGACTGTCATGAAATTTTGTACAGACATTCACTGTCCCCAGAGGATGGCTCTTAGTGGCTGACCAGCACCCGCAGCAGGCTGACAGTTTTGGTTTTAATGATATTTCCTGACAACTATTTGATGAGGATGAGGATGAGGATGAGGATGAGGATGAGGACTCATCCTGAAGATGAGCCATACAGAGTCTCGTGATCCCCTCACTTTTCCTTTATCAAGTGAGTCAAAGTTTTGATTTATTCTAATAAATATCTCAACATCTACTGGATGGATTGCATAAAATTTTCAACAGACATTCATGGTTTCCAGACTATGAACCCTTCTGACTTCTGAGAACCCTTTCACTTTTCATCTACCACCATCATCTGGAGGGATTATATCTCTTGGCTGGCCTTGGAACGCCTCGGGATTCTCCCGGAGGAACTGGTGGAAGTGGCTGGGGAGAGGGCTGTCTGGACCTCTCTGCTGAGGCTGCTGCCCCCGCGACCCGGATCCGGATAAGCGGGAGACGACGAGACAAGACCATCATCTGTTCAAAGTTCAAAATAACATTTTGCCCAATTCTTGCAAAACTTGACATTCCCACCAGCCTCAGCTGTACTTTATATTTAGTGCTAATTAACATGCTAACATGGTAAACTAGGATGGTGAACATGGTAAACATTATACCAGCTAAACATCAGCATTAAGATCAAAGTGGCACTGTGCCTAAGAAGAGCTGCCAGCGCGGCTGTGGACTCTAGTTGGAGCTTTCTTTGAGGCAAAGAGAACTGTGTCGCAAAGATGAATCAACAACGCACAAGATAAATCACAATCAGTATTGAAATGACAAGAAAACAATAATATTCTTAGTCAATGCAGGAGATGGAGAAAGTAGCCATAGTTTCTTTGCCTTTAGCTTAACTCTACCACTCACCCCCACCCCACCCCCCTTTTGTCTATCTCATTTTGTCATCATGGGTAGATATACATTTTTTGTCCCCCAGGTTGCAGGGCTTCTCTCAGCCCAGCTGTTCACTGTGACTGGAGGAAACACCAAAATAGAAAAAAAACAGAACAAACTACCCTCTACCCCCCTCCAGCTTTGCTGTTCTTTGTGCTGCAGCCATCATGCAGGAGAAGACAAGCCACATCCTGAAAGTCAGGGGAGCCTTCATCCTCCTCCTCTTCCTCCTCCTCATTCTCCTTGCAGACGGCACGGAAGGTCTGTTTCCATGACAACGGGAGAATTAAGGACGAAGGAGCGCCATCCCAAAATGACACATTGGATTTAGGGGCTACTGAGAAGATAAATCACCCCCGGTGAATTGATAGAGGAAACGGATTGGATTTTCTGAATCTGAACCGCATTAAGAATCCTCGTTGGTGGATTTAGTTTGTTTGCTTATCCTGCTGCGTCTCTTGTTGATGCAAAGGGTGACATTAATAATAATCATACACAGACCGGCTGTCAGTCATGATCAACAACACACTGAGTCAATCACTGCGTAGGTGAAAGATTTTGATAACATAGTCTTTATTCTTAAACAATCACTAACTTCATTCTGATTTTTATTATCAATGCATATTTTTAATTTCATCTCACAATTCATAATGCATATATGAGCGTGTTCCAATGCAGTGAAATCATCTGCAAACATAAAATAGTAAATTATACTTGATACCACATACAACCAGCCTTTGCTCACCCTTTCATACATCAATAAACCCACCAAAAGTGCTCTCCTTCACTGCTTTCTCACATTGGCTATTTTTACCTCCTTACTTTATTCATCTTTTTCAAATCCTCTCATTCTGCTGTCAACAGTTGACATTGAGTACATCCAATTTCATGCATTGCTTTAAGTCCACATGTATCTCATTTGCACCAATATAAACCTCTATAAAAAGATACCTATATATGCTGGTCTTGCCTGTTGACTTTCAGTGTCACATCTAATATACTGTATGTATCACTGTTATGCTGTAGGTGCTGTGGAAGTTGAACTAATCTACCATTAGCTCTTGCAGGTAACTTGCACCAGCTATGGATCCGGGCCCCAGGTGGAAGACCCTCCCAGATCCATGATGATATATCACTGCGATTTGCACTGTGCAATTGAATGTGTGCTATTTACTGTACATACCACCAAACCGAGCATACAATTTCCAACCAGATATAGGAGAGATGTATAAACTCTCGCTAAAATACTGATCAAAATGTTGCATAAAAAAGTTTTGGACCTTTTCTCCGAAGATTTGAAACAATCTTTTAGTTGCTCTCCCCTCAAAATCAATCCGCGCTTACATCAACTTTTACTTTCATGCGATGGTCATGCTTCGTCTCGCTTCATATAATCCATTTTTTTCAACCTTCCTAACCTGGCTAGGCTTAGCTGTACACCATCTGTAATGATAAAAACACCACCAACCCCATCCCGACCTCTTGAAACACCACACCGGTGGCCAGGCTTTGTGCAACGGGTGCTGGACAACGAGCGGTCAGCCTTTACGTCTGGCCCCATTCACGGAACAATTGTAGGACTTCCTGAGTTAGACAAACTAATTGGGGATTAGGAATGAGTTATGCAGCGTACACAGCGTGCGCGGTGTACCAGTCAATTCACCTTGTTTATACAGCCCTGTCAGCATGTTGAATTATGAAAGAGAAGCTTTCCTCCACAATGCAGCAAATGGCTCATTTCATGGGTCACAAAACCAGGAGGGATGGAGACTCTATGGGTTACCATGTCAGAGAAAACAAACGGTGACATGCTCTCACTGGGATGGTAAGACATCCTTCCTTGAACCTGGCGCAATCCAGACGAACTGGCTCCTCAACGAGGCGCTCTGCTTCCATTGTGATGGGAAAGTCTTAATGATTGTGACCTCTACATTGAAAATATCAACAGGCCAGGTCAGTGGATTATTAAACAGTCAGGCAGTCAGACCAGTGTTGAGAAATCTCTAATGCTTTCACAATGAAAGTAACAGAAATCATACAACCTCTTGAAAACCAGTCAACACAAATCTACACTGCCAGGCCAGCTAAAACAACTTTCTTTAAACCTTCCTCTTGCTTAGAACAAAACAGCACGAGTCTTTCATTAAAGATTATTTCATGATTTGTCCATATAGTTCAAAAGCATGAATACTGGTATATAGTTATACTTGGAGAGTTGTTGTTATAGCCTAGCTAACAGCAGAGAAAGGGGGGGGGGGATTTCTGTGTTTCTTGAGGTGGTAAATGTGAAGTGACCGTTTATGGCCATGGCTCATAGTGCTGATGCTGGTCATTATTTTCCTCTCAGCCTTTGGAGAGATTACTATTCTTTGCCATTTTAGACAAGTTTGGACATCTCTTTACCTAAAACCTCGCAAACATTAAGAGCATACTGAAGCTTTATCAAAACAGTTTCCCTTTGTTTCTGACTTTGACCTGCCTATTCAACTTTCTTTGTCAGTCTTACCTACTGACAAACACCCCAACCACAGACACGTGTTGTCAGCTTGTTATTACTATTATTTAGAGACATACTAGACTGATCTGTTATATTGCTTGTATCCTGTCCTGTCATAGTAGGACAACATAGGGGAGATCATGTGAGAGTGTTTCAAAGAGCCCTATCTGTCCTATTAGTCTCATTAGTCTAACTTACAGTACACACCTGAGTAAATTACATCCCACCCTAAGCACTCTGTTCCCATTGGAGTCCAACACAGAGAACTATCAAATACATTCAGTCTTACCCTCACACCAGAGCAGATAGTGTGACAGTGCGTTCAAGATCAAACTGTGAGAGAAGAAAACATAGGAGTAATTGAAAAAAAACAAAAACAAACTTTCTTTAGTCTAACAAAAGAAAGCCAGAATAACCATGACAGTAACTGGGATGATAAGAGCAAATGATTAGTAGTGATGATGATATAGTTATTAATGACAGCAATAACACAATAAAGCGCATGAGAGTGCAACAGCATTTAGAAAAAAACAAACTCAATGTATGAAAATTGAACATGTATTAAAGCTTGTTTTTCACAGCATAAATTGGAAATGATAGATATTTGTATTTGTGTGAAGAGAGACCACCATTCCTTTGTTTGTTTATCACAGCTTTTTCTCTTTTTTTTGCATAAAATGTTGGTCAAGTCCTGATTGAAAATATTTTTTTTTTCATATATATATATCCTCTGGTTTCATATTAATTCATCTAAAAGGTTTTCACAGGCAAGAGTTCAGTTTGTTGTTGTTTGTTGTCTTGGGTGTACAGTAGTAGCTCCTCGTTGTCATCACAACGCCCTCTTTCCTTTCAGAGGGGATGGTGGTATGTATTTTTGGGGGGAGGTGAGTTTTCCTGTGGCCCCTCCCCCTGAGTCAGGATGAGGCCACTCCCCCAGCCGGAAGCCCCTCCCCTCGCTGCTATGTGGAGTCCTGATTGACAGCTTTCCCTCCGTTCATGGTGGGAGTCCCTGAGCTCTTTCTGGATCGGTGCTTGTCCTCTATCTCATGCAGTGACGGCTCCCTGTACATACAAACTGCAGCGGAGATGTAAAGAGAGCAAAGGAGAAGGGAGGAGAGGAGAGGAGGGGAGGGGCTCAGAAAGGGGACAGTGGAGAGCAGATTGAGGAGATGGATGTGCAGACAGAGACAAGGTCAGGTGTGACGCTGGAGGGACAATTATACCAGGCTGGGAGGGATAAGAGAAGGAATTAGGGCCATGTCAGCACTTTTTTTCATCACATTGCTTGACAAGTTCTCAAGATAATATCTATGAAACACTACTCTCACTAGAAACACGTTAGAGGTGATGTACCCACAACAGCTGGAGAAATTTTCTAAATGAAAGTGCTTTTTCTTTTCTTTTTCTTCTTTTTTTTTGCTGAGAGTTAAATAAGAAGATTGATTTCACTATCATGTGTATTAACTATCTAATCTTAGCTTAGTATGACTGGAAACAAGGGGAAACAGCTAGCCTGGCTCATTTGGAAGTCTTTTGGAAATATTGCATTTGTTAAAAACAGTCTGATATAATGAACTATTTACTGCCGTGGTTGTTGGATTTGCTTTAGACACAGCCACACTGGCTGCTTCTGTTTCATTTTCCATCATTAAGATAATGTTAAGCTAACAAACTGCTGCTTTTGGCTTATTTAGCATTCAGACATGAGGGTGGTATCTATAGACTCACATACCTCTTGGCATGAAAGCAAAAAGTGTTTTCCCTGAACTATTTCTTTAATAAATAATCAAATCCTATTAACCTGTCTGTCAAACCAGGATTATTTCTCTACACATTAAACAGAGCGCTATACCAGATGTTTTTAGCCTATTAACTGTGAATGTGTATACTTTAAATTCATGCCAACACTTTTCCAAACTCTACCATACATTTTGTATTCCTTTGTACTGTTCGAGCCATCAGTTTTCCATTAAAAAAACATTAAACCTGCTTCAGATAATCTATTATAGTAAATTAACAGTCTTATTGCAAGATGATTAGTTTAAAGTAGTGTTATAGCCTATCTGAAATTGAATTAGTCTTTCCAAAGTAATTACCAGGATAGGACACACAATTTATAGTTGATTGTAATAAAAACACGCATTATCACAGGTAGGTTACTAAAACACAGTTAAGAGCTCTTTCAAAAAACATTGTTCAACAGGCTCTCTCATACCTTCAATGGGCCTGGGCACAAAGTGTGATGAGGGCTTAGTCTTCTTGACCCGATTGCCCTTCATAACTTGCCCCTCCTTGGTGAGGCCAAGGAACCAGGCTCGGCCCGACTCCTGCTGACGGTATACAGTGGACGAGTAGATCACATAGTAGTTCTCGAATACGGACTCCTTGAACTTACACTCCGGTGTGAACATCTCCTGCAAACAAGTAAAAAATCAATGCACAGAGAAAATGAATTAGGATCCACATAAATATCAAAGACACATGCAGAAATAACCAGCAACAAAACAGACGGAGGATTTTAATGAAATCTCATTTAAGGAAGAAAAAAAAAAAGCTGTGTCTGTTTCACTCTGCCAATATTGGCTTTCATCACTAGCATGTGTACATTGCCAAGGTCAGTAAACATACTGTATTCTCACACACACACACACACACACACACACACACACACACACACACACACACACACACACACACTTGGAATCCAAGTAATAAGACCGATAGTCTTATTAGAATAATGGTGAACAATGGAAGATTTTTATCTCTCGGCTTCATTATCAAAGCAGTAAGTCAAGGAGAAAGCCAAGGGGACACACAGGAGGTGGAGAGGAATGACAGGAAAAATGAAAAGATCCAGTTACTGGATACACTGTCGGGACCGAGTGCAGTGCCAGATTATTGCCATGACAATGCGAGAGAGGAAACAATGTTCTTGGCTCTCTAACTCATTACAGATCTAAGCTGCAGTAATTTGGGTAATTTGTTAAATTTTAATGGAGATAATGGGGGCACTGAGTTCCAAATAGGCAGGGAAACGTATGTCTTTACTTTTTCAACAAAATCTAGACTTAATAAAGCAGGTGAGCTGATGAGATGAGAAGGTGGGTGCCAAACCTCATCACCCTTACCCCTCGTCCCTGCTCTCCCTGAATGCTTCCCGACGGCAAGACGGCAAAATTAAAAACCAACACCAGTCAGTTTGAAGAACAGGGAAGTCATGTGTGTCCAAAATAGGTGCAGGTGATGCAGAACAGCTGGCTCTTGGTGGATGCTGGGTCGTCTCATTTTAGGCAGGCTCTGTGTGTGTGTGTGTGTGTGTGTGTGTGTGTGTGTGTGTGTGTGTGTGTGTGTGTGTGTGTGTGTGTGTGTGTGTGTGTGTGTGTCTGGGAGTCGGTGCTGTATTTCATTCATTAATATCTCCTGCAAGGTTCTGTGCCCTTTTAAGGTTGTCCATTTGACTGACAGCCCAATTCTGCTTCCCGCTGGAGGTGACTGTTTACGTGTTTGGGTGTGTGTGTGTGTGTGTGTGTGAGAGAGAGAGACAGAGATAGAGAGAGTGGGAGAGCCTATAAAAGAGTGAAGGATTGAGACTGAAGGAGAGGCTGAGAAAAATTATGTTAAAGGGTTGGATCACACGAATCACAAAAACTAAAAAATGAAAATCTTGATTGTACTATCTAGCTATGTGGATAGTTTTTCTGCCTCCTCTCTATTACAATGTAGAGGAATTTAATTTTGCTTGTGAAGGTCAAAGCAATGAAAATTTGCATTTAGATTTTCTTTAACAGTGTCCTTCCAGAAAAATCACTTATTTCTGTGGACAATCTTCAGGTATTACTTTCTACTGACGACATAACGGCTGTTGAATTTTAATTTTTTCGTTGAAATGTTTTTTAATTTTCTTTGAAGCTGTGAGCCCGTAGTATTGGGCAGGAGGAACCTCAAATCTCAAAACCGAGGTATGTTAAACCTAATCTATCTACATGGCTAGATAGCAGTAGTAGTAAGTGAGGAAACTATAAAATATGTTTTCTGCATTGTTTTGGTGCAACATTATACCACTTTATACAATCAGAACAGTAATCCTGTTAGCAAACAGTCCAGTACACTCACCACACGGAGACATGTTTCTGTCTACCTGACAAATTTAAGTCCAGAATTCACTCTGCTCTTAGCTCTCTTTTGTTCTGGACTCAGTGGTGCACCACCACCACTGAGAAAAATATCTGACTCTTTATAGCTGCTAGAAATTTCGGTGTGTTCACCATCTAGTTGGCAGGTAGGCAAGCATACAGTGGATTTATCAGAGCTTTTACACTGAAAAGAGCTGCCCGCTGTGGCTGGAGACAAAGTTGATGAGAGCGCTGAGACCAAAACATAAACAGCGCAGTTGTGGGCCATAAAACTCTCGTCCCAGCAGTCCCGTAGAGCTGAGGGTAACTGCAGTCGGGTCATACACGATGGACAGATACAAATGAGGTCAAACAAAATCATCATATTTAATATTTAGTGGAAATCTTTTGCAGTCAATGACTGCCTGACATCAGCTGCTGCTTTGCATCTCCCCTGGCGATGCTCTGCCTGCTTCAGCTCGCGCGTGTTTGTGGAGTCTGTCTTTACTCAGAGCTCAGTGACACTGAGATCAGATGATTGACTCGGCCAGTCGAGCATATTCCCCTTCTTCAACCTGAAATGCTCTCTGGATATTTTGGCCATATGTTTCAGATCGCTGTCCTGCTAAATGATGAAATGTCATCCAATGAGTTTTGACACATCTGGCTGAATCTGAGCATACACTCTGCGCCTGTGTACCTCTGCATTCATCCTGCTGCTTCCTCAGCAGTGAAATCATCAATAAATGCCACTGTGCCTATTCCGGTGGCGGCCATACTGTACATACCCAAACCATTATAGAACCACCACCATGTTTGACAGATGAGGTGGTGGCTTTGGGTCATGAGCTGTACCTGACATCATTTTGACTGAAGTTGAGTTTTGTTTCATCAGTCCATAGAACTTTGATCCAGAACTCCACTGGTTTCTGTCGGTGTGTTTTTGCAGCCTGGCCTGGTCGGTTTTTTGAGGTTTACTGGTGCTTTGCATCTTGTGGTGAATACTTTGAGGTTAAGGTTAGGCAGGTCTTCTCTTGATTGTTCACAAGGAAACATGTCCGTCTACGTCCTGAGAGCATTCTTGACTTGCTGTGCAGACAAAAGGGGCTTTTCTTCACCATTCTGCTCATCCACTTGTGCTCCCCAGTCGACCAGCTCGTTTGCCATTTTCTGGTTTTACTGTGAACCACTGTTTTTGTTTTGTTTTTTAGAACTGTTGAATTTGGCAAACTAACTACCATTGATATTTTTTGCTTTTATGGAGCCTCATTATCATCTTTTTCACTTGCAAGGCCACCTCTTTATTCCTCATATTGACGGACACCTCCACCTAAATCTAAGCAGCAACTCTCAACTACCTCAATCAACTCTGATTGGCACTGGAATGTAGTTTCAATTATTTTCTCTCAAACCAAGTTTCCTCAAGCTCAGAGCCCGAGGAATCGAAAATGTGTAACTGTCCAAATACTAACGGTCTGGACTCTAATTCTCTGTGGGTTTGTCACTAATAGCAATATCACATTACACATCACTTGTATCATTTTCATCCATTGTTAATCTAAACATTAATTCATTCAGCTTAAACTCACCGTGATCAAAACTAATGCTGTTTTAAGTCTATGTGTATCTGCGTCTTTGCCTGCGCGCCATGCCACAGTTCAGAAATATGAGTCATAGTGTGTGTGACTGCTCATTTATGAGACCCAGCAGTGCATGGCAGGCTGTGTAAAGGACTCAGGGAAGGTGAGGTCACATGGTTGGCAGTGTGGAAACGTCTCTCTGGTCAGCAGGAGGGAGGACAAGCTTTGTGGAGAGGTGATGGCGGAGTTTATCTGGGCCTGCTGACACATTGTCCAGCAGCAGACATCTCTCCCTCTGTGGGGGCACTGGGGGTCACATTGAGCCTGTCTGGCCGGGTGTGTGTTTGTGTGTGAACATATGTGTTTGAGTGGGTAGGTGGAGGGTGGGGGGGTGGGGACAGTGATACATTACACACCAGCAGGCTTTGTCCCTTCTTCATCTGGAGCCCAAATCAGGTCGAGCACACGCACACACACACACACACACACACACACGCACACACAGGTACGCAAACACATAAGTGCTCTCTACTCTCCTACCCTTCACAATCAGCCACTTTGCTTTGCCGACACGCAGTAGAATCCCCTCCAAATTCGTCCTCAAGGACGACACTCTGTTACTGTCTATGAAAAGGCTCGGGGCAGTTTGGAAATCACCCTGGCTGTGGCTTGGGAATGATAGGGGTGGAATGTAAGTGACTTTGAAGTCTTTGACAAAGTGCCTTGTTTGTGGATGACTGAGTGAAAATATGAGGCGAAGAGACGGGGTCGGAGCATCTCGTGATTAATGGGATCTCCTTAATGGACATGCATGAACCAGGGAAGCACACAGGGAAGAAAATGGACAGAAACACACGTTTGCAAATGGACACATGCGTACACAAAGTCATTGCAACACACATGCTGTCGCACATTAAAAATGCACGCCAACAGGTTTTCCCTGTCACTTCCTCTGCCACAGGAATACATAATCAACTGAAGTTGTTTCCGCCACAAAACAAGGAAGATAAAAAAAATAGACGTGCCATGTTTCAGGAATAGCAGGCTTAGTGATGGTAAACTGATCGCAAGGACACTTATTTATATTCTGTGGTGATCCGAAGGAGAAAAGCGAAGGACTTGTTAGTGAAACCGGGCACGTGAGACTGCTCACACTGCCACCATTAGGCGTCTCAGTAGGGAGCTAAAGATAAATAAACACAGAGGTCCACCTGAGACCCGCTGAACAAACACCATGGAAGTGCGGGGGAGAATAGAAATGTTTTAGCGGTTTTAACACAAAACAATTCGCATTCAACTTATTTTTTTTATGAAATTCTGCGAGCTGAGTTGACAAGCACTCTGCTGCCAGGCAGGTGTGATTCTACAGGCACCGATCTCATACAAGGAAATAAGTTAAAAGGTGCTGAAAGGCAGTGACACACACGCAGGTGATGTAACACAAAGATCTGTTGCAGAAATATAAATATGTAGTGAATGCAGGTGAAGGAGACAAGGGGAACAGGTGAAACAAGATGCAGAGAAGAGCATCAAACTATTTTAGAGACATCAGTTGCTTTAGCTAAAGCTGTGATGGTAACTGGCAGTTAGTTCAACAAATGGCTATGTCTATCAAAGGGAGGCTATATGGGAGGCTATTCCACTTATGAATAGTTGTGGCGCTAATGAGCCAACGTAAACATGGATGTAAACAATGCAGGTTTTTCGAAGAAGTGGCTTAATAAACTTTTTATGAAGGTAAAAATGTATTTAACACGTTCATTAGGCCTCAGCAAACAGACTGTAAACTTTGGGGAGAAACACTGAGTGTAAACTGTTTGTTAAAAAATAATGGAATTAATCATGGGGATGTTATATTGTATATTACGAACCTGTTGGCCATCTGGTTTACAGGGGGTTCACAGAAATGGAGTTATTATGAGTTAATTCATTTCCTGTCAGTCATTATTTGTAATATTGGGTGTCATCTGTTTCTCTGGATTACAAGGTATCTTAATCCTGGAGCCCCTTGCCACACAATGTCAAACACAACAAACAATAACAACACAAATAGCAGGTGACACTGTACAGTCAGACAGATATGAGTGATTGTGGAGGGTGGGGGTGGTGGTGTTGGTGGTGTTGGTGGGGGGGGGGGTGCAAGGTGTAGGAAATGTTAGATGAAACACGAAGCAAGAGAGCAAGATGTAATGGATATAAAACTGGGTTGCCAACAGAACTGGGTTGAACGCATCCTGAATCCAAATCAGTTACTGGCTCTATCTGAGGAGGGAGGCAGCACTCTGGCTCTGCATTAAGGAGCCCTGCTGCTGCTGCCGACACGCGACTTTGGATAAAGATGCAGAGGATATGGGGAGGACCTCCATTTAAATATGGGCCCGAGCCACTGGTGTATGTGAGAGATTTGGCCTCGGTGAGAATCCCAGCCCTGCCGTGGAACTCCCGGGGAGCTCATTATTATTCTGGGAGAGATTCAGGTCGGGGATTGTCTAGACATTACTTAAACCGAAAAATTCTTGTTCTCACTTTTTCCATCCCTGTGCTCCCTTTCCTGTTTATGTTTTCCTCTGTCTCTGTCCTTGTAAAACCTTCCGCAGAGAGGACATTGACGGCTAATGGCTAAAATCAAATCACAAGCACATACTAATGCCCAAATAGGCAAATACTCTTTCTCTATTCATTCTACTCATTACCTGCCTCTCTTTATCTTTCTTCTTTGTTTCTCCTTCCCTGCAGAGAGCACTGTCACTATCTGCCATTAGACAGACAGATACATGCCACTGTATGACATGCATGCACACTAGTGCCAAAGCAGTTAGTCAAATAATCTATTAGTAGGCTGACAGAGAATGATTCACCAACAATTTTGATAATGTATTAGTTATTGAGGCCATTTATCAAGCAAAAACACCAAACATCAGCTGTTAAGATGTCATCTTGGGCGTTTTTACCATTTACTGACAATTTATAGACTTAATGAAGTGATAAACTGAAGAAAAATATCTATTAGCTGCAGCCCTGACACACACAGTGTGCCAGTGTCTGATTCAACCCCACAATAACTCCCCATAACCACAGACAGAAAAAGATCAAGACACAGGAGGGGGGCAGAGAGAGACTACTCGCAAAATGCCCATTATCATTTGTCACTCGAACAAAATCTGAAGCTCTCCCTGACCTTCCACACCAGCTCTCTCTCTCTCTCTCTCTCTCTCTCTCTCTCTCTCTCTCTCTCTCTCTCCCCTCAGGGCCTTCTGTGAGACTTTTACTGCGACATGTTATTTTTTTCTGTGACATAAATAAGACACAGTAAAATTAGCAGCCGATTGAATATGTGCTCTGAGGATAGATAGATAGATAGAAACGGAGAGAGAGAGAGAGAACAGTGGTTACTGCTGTGCAGTAAACTAGGTCATATTGAGAAGTGTTATAAATAATGGAAGGGAACTCTTCATTGTAGATGCTCAGCCCCCACGCACTTCATTGCTAAACACTCCACACAAGCATTATCACCCTGCTCACCCATGGCTACCATCAGCTTCCAATCAGCAACAGGCTCAGCTGTGAGCTCTGCACTCCAGGCAAGACAAGCCAACCAGCAACCTGCACATATGAAACCCCATGCATGTCCTCGCCACTTCATTGATCAACAGCAATGTTAAACTGACTACTAAAAATGATCTAGGTCCCTGACACCTAGATGAAAGAGTGAGAGAAAGTTGCAGCACGACAGCGTCTCTCGAACACACAGAGGATAACGCTTGTCGCATTCCTCCACTAACAAGACAAGAGCAAAGAAGCAGGGAGAGAAGCAGAGAAGGGAGGGAGTGTTTGAGAGAAGGAGAGGTATTCCTCAGTAATTATCTCTCGGGGGGGGGGGGCTGTGCATCTCTGCTCTCACATGTTAGGGAGACAGAACAAGGTGACCAAACAAGCAGTGAGAAACTTTATATTTTGGAGAGGCAAACAAAATTAACGGAGAACTTGAATGAGAGAGAGCGCGGCAGGAGCGAATGAGAGAGGGAGGTGGTGGGGGGGGGTAAAGAGCCGAATTTATAACAATAAAAGTAAATGTGAGTAAATATGAGGAATGAAACTGAAGGACTTATTTTATAGCTGTGATTGCGCCACAAGAGCACTCATAAAAGTGTGAATAAAGAGCAGAAATGTTTGTCTCAACTGCTCTCCGGAAGCGCTTTAAGGAGTTCTCACACCATCTATCGCATATGTAATCTGAATTTCTACGTTAAACGGGGAAATAACGGGGAAATAGAGAGAGAAACAAAGGTGATCTGTGCTTTCATCCAACGGCTTGCATGTTAATTTAGCCTCTTTATGCACAGCACCACCCGCATTCTGCTTACCGATTGCATGCTAATTTCCCATGCTTCACATCTGCGAAACTGGACCTCCTCTACATGGCCAAAGAGTGCGTCCACTCTGCACTTTTAATTGAAATGGCCTTTCAACTGTTACAGCAAAAACGCCTTGCCTTCTAACAACCCACCCACCCTCTCCTCTCCTCTCCTCTCCTCTCCTGTGATAGAAAGGTCAAAACTTTGTTCCTCCGCCCATAAAAATGAAGATTAAAATGACAGGTGGAGAGTCGTGTTTGTAAAGATGAGAGCTGCCGTTTGACCCTCAGGTGCTGAATCACTTGTAATTAATAACAATCGCGTACGTGCAAATGATGATTACATCAAGGGTGTGTGGGTGGGGTGGAGGGTGGGGTCATTCGATATCCCCAACTTGGAGTCAATTTAATAAATTAAAAGATTGCTGTCTGTGCGTGATTAAACTTTAATTAGACGTGGATAAGTGGGTGGAGGTTTATTATAAGGCTCATAGTGGGGCTGTGAATCGTGCGCTTGTTTATGAGCCTTTAGTTATGAATGGACGTCTACCTGGATGAGTCACAACAGCCTGCGCATTTATTGCATGTCCTTCTCTCTGAACTTGCGAGTGCTCATACATCTGCCGAGGCACCGAGTTGTGCTGAACGAGAATGGTTGTTCTTCTGAAATAATGGCTCTGAATTTACTGGACTCAGCGATTATTCAGGTTTGGAAAAAAAAAACATCATGTACACTGTTTATCAGGTCTATTTCAAAATGTTCTCCTGCCTCTCTCGCAGTAAAGCGGCTCCCTTATCAATAAATGTAAGTTGCAATACAGCAAACCCGGGCTTCACCGTGTCCTTCGTTTTATGAGTATTTTGAGAACAAAACAACAACAACAAAAAAAAAAAGTTCGATAGGCAGTTTGTGAATTCCAGCTTCCTGCCAGTCATTCATTATGGCTGTCTGCCGATGAGACCGCCATCGCCAAGTCCCTCAGCAGAGGTTTGTGGGTAACGCTTCCCCTCCCATCCTCTTCTTTCCTCAGTAACACTGAAACCGTGAGACTGGATGTTATATAACCATGCCAACTAGGGATATCCTCCTGTCTCTATATCTCTGTCTATGCCCCCACCCAATTTCTCTGGCTTGCTGTGTGTGTGTGTGTGTGTGTGTGTGTGTGTGTGTGTGTGTGTGTGTGTGTGTGTGTGTGTGTGTGTGTGTGTCTCTCTCTCTCTCTCTCTGTCTCTCTCTCTCTCACTCACACACACACTCTCCCTCACTCTGCAACTCATTTCTACAAACGTGCTCCGGAAACATGTCTTCATCCTCAATGCAAGAGCTACGACTTAATGTTTTCTCCAACTGACATCCGTGACTGTGTCCACCCCCACCCATGCCTCTGCTGCCCACACTCGCCTATATGCTTCTCATATATTACACTGCACATAAAATATCCATCTTCACAATATTTACTCCCCCACTGAATCTTGATTTTTTTTTTCTTTTTTTTTTTTTGTGAGATGTGCTGTATGCACGTGCGTTGGACTTTGAAGACCATTTGGCTGACATAAAAACAAAATGACTTCAAATTAATTCCTGAACAAAGATTTCATCAGAAACAAGTAAAAGCATTTCACAGCTCAGATTGCATTGATATAAAAAAAAGGACATTTTCGCTGTGTTGTATTCTTTCATGACAGCAGGAATCCTGGGATAGAAGTCCGGATGAAAGTTGAACAATGCAACATCACTCACATCAAAAGAGAATGAAATTCAGTGGAATTTCTGTTTATAGCTACTACATAATGAGTCTGCTCTGGTAGCCAGTAAAAGAAGAAGAAGCAATTTTTTAAAAAGGGCTGAGCACTGAACTTGATGTCAAATTAAATGTAAAACACGCACGGTGCTGCTTCAACAACAAAGGGGGGGTTTGGAAAGGGAGGTGGTGGTGGGGGGGATAAGTGCTGCACAGCAACACAAAGGCACATCTGAAGAGCTCTCGAATACAGCAGAGATGAAAGGGGTTTGGAAGGGCTGAGTCTTTGCTGCAGTGGGATATTAAAAGAGACAACAAACAGAACAAAACACAACACGTGTAAATGAACTAATACACATGCCGGTAACGAACACACGTGCACAAACCTAACCGTGTGACCGGAGCAAAGGGTCGCGTCTTACCGAGCTGTAGAGCATGCCCTCGCCATTCATGGCGATGTAGAAGCCACTCTTCACCCCCTGGATGGCCACCACTCTCAGACCCACAGGAATAAGATTAAACAGGGCTGCAGGGCAGACAGAGTGAGGGAGGGGAGGGGAGGGGAGGGACAGACACATGCAAAGAGACAGAGACAAAAGAGAGACATCAGACAGAAAGGACAGAATAGGATAATTGAGTTTTCACTTAGCTCCTTTGGATATGACAGCCTCTGATCTCTGCTCTTTGGCTATCTGTCAGCGCTAACGTGAATGGTAGCTATACAGGACATAGACAATGGCAGCTCTGAGGCACCTGAGTCTCACAGTGAAGCATTAATGTTAGAGCAGGAATACAAAACTTTCTGGTGACAAATGATGTTTGCACTAGAAAAAAAAAAAAAAGATGGCAAAGCATCCGGAGCGTTTTTGTACAGCAACCCAGTTATGTAGCTGAATGAAACTGTCCTCGTAGTAATGTCACACTAGCATAGATTTATGTGACTTTGTATGCGACAACCCTTGTTTGAACAGATGCAGTTTGCGCTGTCAGTCAGAAAGGGAGTGAGCCAATATAACAAGAGAAATGAGGCTGAATGACAGTACAGAGTGCAACCGCGGTGAATGTCTTAAACCCCCTGGAAATCCGGGTTTAAATCGTAAGTATGTCTTCGTAACATCCTATAAGCTGCGCTGAGTATAACAAGGAGATGCCTGTAAAAGATTTCTCGTTCATCCAAGTGGATCATCAGTTCTGAAAACAACCGGCCCAGTTCCAACAGATTTACTGTCAACTCTGTAGGTGAGTCCGGCTCGACCTGAGGACTGGACTGTGACTTCCACGTGCTTCGGTTTGTGGAGGGCGTGAGGACGCTCTTTACCTGCTCCACCCTGCCTGTATTATTGGGATGATTGTTCTGAAAGTGGCGATGGGGACTATCAGATAAAGCTGGCAGGGATGAGAGGAGACGTGCCAACGCGGGTCTTGTCCGCCGAGCAGATTCAATTTCACTCAATAAATATCGACATGCTGCTTTCGCCTGCCAATGGTTTCAATCTGCCCTCAGGCCACTGGTGGGGGTGATACACACTGACCACTCCTGCGGTTAGGTGTACTCTTAAGAAGCGGGATGTTTGCGGCATAAAAGCAGAATATTAGTCCATTAGCACCTTAAAATCTTCTTTTCTCAGGCCACTCATTCTCTTGATTTTTCCTCTCTCTCTTTTCTGTCATAACTCTCTCCATCCCCACGGTCTGTCCCACCCCCCTCCACCCCCGCCGCTCCTCTTTCTATTTGCCTTTCATGGCTGCTGCTTTTGTCGCTCCGATGACTGACGGTGTCTCTCAGAGGCGCCGTGCACAGTTCTGTCACGTATCACTAAAACCCAGGAGTGTTCCACCCCAGAGCACCTTCACCTATCAAAACATATTCTAGCCTTTTTCTGAGAAGTCATACTTATAGTAGGGCCCTCAAAAAGACTCACCGTGAGGCCCTGGCTTGAACAGCGGGAGGAAAAGAGACATAAAATATGGTGAGCTAGTACGCTATTTTGCTATAATTACGATCTGCCGTCCCTGCTCTCATTTGCCTGCCAAAAAATTAAACAGCTGACAGGAGCTGTCATTCAGCTACCTTCTTAATGTCCGGCTCTTCTATTTGCAGCTCAAGGAGTTGATGGATTCCATAATTACAGCTGCACTGACTGCTGGTTGAATACCTGATGACTATTCTGAAGGCGATTCCTCTTCCTTAATAACCTCAATCCTATCTCTCACTGAGGAAAAGCGAGCGGCTGGGCCGGTGCAGGAACAGAGTTAAGAGATTTCCGGGGATCTTCTATCGTCTGAGGGCCACACAAAGTGGGTTCAAACAACCCAATAAAGAGAAATCCTTGAAACGGCAAGTCTTCCAGTGGAGCAGTAATCGGCTACAAGCAAAATCCTGCAGGTAGGCTAAAGGAAGTGCATTTGATGTGAGGAATACTGGCGCAGCAAGAAATAAACCCCGCAGGAAAGGTTTAGAGAAACACTGAGCCAAACTTCAAATGCCAAGGGCACGTCTCCAAATCCAGAGGGAAAAGCAAACCCAAAGATGGCAGCGTGGGTATATACAGTATAGGCGTATTAGTATGTGTGCTTATATGCAGTGTTTAATAGTATTTTTTCTCACACTTTTCCTTCACTGTGCCAGAGTTGATAAAGTACTTGAAATCAGTGGCTGGGTCTTAAAAAGTCTTCCTTCGTCCCATCCATCAAACCGGGAGTACCAGAGACAGATGGAGTGTGACCGCCTGATACTGCAGGTGTCTCATAACCAGCAAATATCTTTCTAGAGGCTCAGTGTGTGCAGGTAATTACTGCAGGCGATCAACTGATGACAATCAAATTAATAACTGCTGAAATTTGAACATGGCTCTTAATTAATTGAATGGTGTTCTCTCTGGCTCTGCCAGTCAGCCATGCTTACCACTAAATCAGTTTTACGTGCTATAGTAACAACCTGTTCTGCTCCATCACCTCTCACAGTTTACTGAATATTTTGAGTCAAACAAGTTTTATCATTCAAAAAGCTATGATTTAATTCAAGCAGAATGTCATTTATTTATTATTCTTAGGCATTTGTCTGACAAAAAAAAAGTGTCCTTGTCTCAGCACTTTGTTGTCATTCAGTGCAGAAATATAGGAAATAATAAAAAATGAAATTGAAACGCGCTATGGGCTCAGGTCGCACCTTGTATGCAGGCGACATCATGCTCCCGTCGGTTCCACTGAACCTCCCCCTGAAAATAAATTACTGTATTCCATCTGCTGCTGCTGAGGATACTGCAGGTCAGAGGGTGGTGTGGTTCAAGGGTGGGGGTAATCTATTATTCTAATAATCCAGCCGGGGCAATCAATAGTTCAGTGCAAGACCTGAATACCAAATCTTCTTTGTCCGGTTCTGTCTTAATCACCCTCTCTTTTTCTTTTATTCTTTCTGCCTCTCTCTTTCTACTAAGAACTCTTCACAGTTCTTCTCACTGCACCTCCTCCTCTCCTCCGCTCTCTCTCTCTCTCTGTCTTCCTTCGGACTGTCTCTGAGCTTGAGGCATCTTATACAGAGAATTATTCATTGGGTACAAACGGAGAAGGTGGTATTTTTAGTTTCCTGTGGCTGAATTATTCACTGCATTCCTCCAACCCTGGGCCAGCGGAACTGCTTAAGAGGAGGATTACCTCGAGGTGGGGAAACCCTCGCATTCAACAAAACCCTCACCAGCCAACACCCCCCCCCCCCCCCCCAAAAAAAAAAAAAAAAAAAAAATTACACACAATAAGTGCATTCATCCATTTTGTTCTGAAGACCCTTCATTTATGCCTTAAGTAGTCCTCACAGAAGATCTATCTCCTCATGAAATATAAAACGATGGGCGTCAGGGAGAGACCGTTCTTTTCACCGCATGACTGCTACGGTCCAGCAGCTTTGGCTCCGGCTTCCTTCAAGATTGGCAGGATGTTTTAGAAAAGAAAGGTCATGATTGGTTTCCTGTCTGGCTTCACTCCAGACTGGGAGTGTCCTCATTATCGCTTCAACGACCATTCTCCGCTGACATATATCTCTTCCTTGATCCTTCAACTTCCCATAGGAAACTGTTACAAAAGCCACCATGTTTTAATATGGAGGACCCCCTACAGACTCCACCGATTTCCCTCTTTCCTGTTCCTATGGGGGGCGGAAAGGGTGTGTTAGGGGACTATACCCTGGAGACTATTTATCCACTGGTAGTCCGCTATGGAAAGTCGATCGGTGGTGAAATATTGAAAAGAAGTGGCTCGGGGAGGGATCTTTGTGACAAGGAGTGAAGCTGTAGGGCTACAGTTGTGTCAGGTGATGGGTTTTTCCAGGAAGGAGATTCTGCTGTGATAATCACACACTCTTCAGAGCTGAATCAATCAAAACAATGTGACATCTACGACCACGCAGTGTATACAGTAGAAATGGTTTACGTTGTAGGGCCGGGGCAGGGATATCGGAATTCATTTAATTTCGGAATAGAAATTTTGACACAAGATACGCCATAAATACTGCATTTGTTCACTGTGAAAGGTATATAGAAGACAGACTGAGAATACATAAACCATTTGAGAAGGTTTTGACACATTTATATCCATGCATACTGTTGCATAACCAGATGCAGAAAAGAGGCCACACCGCCTTGTGGAATTTGTTGAATAGTTCCCTTTAAAATTGTACATTTCTTGTATACATAATCCAAATCAGTGAGGGCTTCTTAAACTAATTCGGGAGTGCTTTAGGCTGCCCAAATGGCATCAGTTATATAAGAATTAAAAATCATAGAGAACACCGTATAAAATGTGGTAATATATTACATAACCAACTGACTCATTGCCATTAAATGTTTTATGCTGGAAGCTGTGGCTTCCATAATGCTCCACTCACTGTTGTCGCTGTTCTCGTCCTTGCTGCCGTCGATGGTTCCATCCGGCTGCATCTGCAGGTAGAAGCCCTGCTGGCTGAACAGTCGTGTCACGATGCCTTTCAGCTGCGGCTCTGGAACACACACACATACATACATACACACACGCACCCACACACACACACGCACACACACACGCATACACACAAACCGACGGCCAAGCCACAGCCCCATCCCCACCAATAATATGTCAGAATAACAGTCTCATAATTATGACAAAAACATACAAATGAGTAAATACCTCTGCCTTCAGCTAAGTGTTTGCACACTGTTTATATCAAACGCTGAGATTATCACAACGATATGTTTGACAAACAGTGTTCAGTTAATTGAAAATAAGACAAATTGGCTGTGGAAGATGGAGTGTACCACCAAAATAATAATAATTATTACATAATTAAAAACTTTTAGTGTTGTGTATTCCAGTCATATACTCAATTTATTTAAATATTATATAAGAACTGTTTTTGAATTGTGTATCTTCAATACAAAATCAATGAATCAATTTATGAACTGTATCTATCAATATATCAATTAAATGTCCAATTATAATTAATCTTTTTTTTTTTTTTTTTCAAACATATAAAAAAGTCTTATTATTCTTGTGGCACAATCTGACCTCCAAAGCTGCAAACGAATAACATAAACTCACAGTACTAGAAACAACTTGAGTCTTTAACTCCTTAACCAGCTGGCGAATATCAATATGACTATGATGGACAGTTTGTCAAGAGTCATCTGCTGCACCACATAATCCCAAAAAAAGGGTAAACTGCTGTTTGACAGGAAGGTCTTTATGATGGGAACACCATGACGGGAAATCAATGAAAATGTTGTTACTCTCTGATAACACCATTGTTACAGAATCTGGTGATTTTGCATCATTTGGAAAGCCTTTTTAAAAATCGCACTTTAATGCACACCGACATGCCAATGGTTTATTTATTTGGTATGAAGCAACTGTGCATTTTGAGGGTTATTCTGATTGATATTCAGTGAAATCGTTCTCTCTTTCACTAAGAGATTGAGCTTTTACAGGCAACAGGTTCACACAGAAGGATTTTTTTTGACATAACATCAAGGAGACTGACCTAAAGTTTAGGGAATTTTTTTTTCCATTACAATACCCCTGAACCAACCTCCAACTCTGAGGCGGTGACATCTGGCGTCTGGCCAGGGTGCTGCCTGAAGCGAACACTTCAGCAGGTGGAAACAAGGATTAGCTCAAGGCAAAGAGAGCCTCTTGGCTTCAGGCAATGCCAGGAAAACATAGATGTGTAAAAAAAAAAAAGAAAGAAAGAAAGAAAAAAACTGTGTTTATCTGATGTAAAATGTATATGTGGTCTCAAGTGTGGCAGGTCTTTTGATCTTGTGTAAAAGAAGTAGTCAGATTCAGATGACATTCATTAGCATAAATCAGACAGGAAAATGCTGAAGCGTAATTCTGACTGCATAGAAAAGAAAGGGCATGTACTACGTATGTGACTGAAATTATAGATTCTTCTTAAGGTTTAGTGAGAGTAAAGTAACTCTAAAGCTGAAAAACAATGTGCTGCTTTTTGCAGTGGCTGAGATTTTGAGGCAAGCTCCAGTGAAATCAGACAACAATTCAGATGCTGGATATTACTAATCCTTTGTTTATTCTCTGCCTGACAAAAGAAACAAATTAAGCATTTTGTCACAATTGAATTGGTGCTGCTCGGTTTCATTTTATGTGCCCAAATAAACATTAAGTGACAGAAAATGCTTCGCGGGCACACAGCATGTTCTGACAAATAATATAACACGTGATTGGGATGAAGGAATATGAGCGAGCCTGACTGTCCTCCAAGGTCATAACAAGACATGGAGATCATGCGATTCAGTGCAGTCCAGCCAGACGCATAAAACACCCAAATATATCTGGCAGGAAGAGACATTTTCAAACTTGGTATCAAGAGAGACAGAAAAAAAAAATCCAAATCCAGATCTGTCGTCAACAGTAATAACAGATGTTAGGTCTTTGCTTGAGATTACCGGTGCCTAAATTCTATTTACATTATACAGGAGACAAGTGTGCCAAGAGGACAGCTCATAGAAAGACTTAGCTAAGTAGTGACCCCCAGCTAGAGTGGGTTCACTTCTACTCAACTGTACATCATCCTGACCATCAATCCCCAACTCACCTACCCCTGGGGTGGGGCCATCAATTCCTGGGACAGGCCCTTCATCATCCATCACAGGCAGGGTGAGGAGAATGTGTGTGTGTGTGTGTGTGTGTGCCTGTGTGTTGGCTTAAGTGTATGTGTTTGTGAAAGCACATGGGAGTGTACACATCAGTAAATCACATGTGATAACTACACTTCCATAAATTAAGGCTTCAACGTGGGCCCGAGCAATCGCTGACGGCTCATCAGTTCCAATCATTTAGCGGAGAGTGTGTGCATGCTTGTGTGTGTTTGTGTATGTGTGTATGTGTGTGTGTGTGTGTGTGTGTGTGTGTGTGTGTGTGTGTGTTCATGTGTGTGCAGGTACACACAGACTTGCAGATAAACTCTTACAACATGAGTTTGTGCGTGACAAATGTCTTTCAGTGTCAACGTAAGAGATCATCATCCTGTGTGTGTACGGGCCATTAAAATGTCAATAAATTTACTTCATACCAATACAGAAGGACAAAAACATTTAGGTACGTCGACAAATGGCGTCATGACCATGAAATGGTGAATGATCACCTGCTCTGATACAGTGTTTGACAAGGAGAGACACATCATACCCATATACACCAATATACACTACAATAAGAACCTCTACTACACTTACACAGTAGTACTTGACACATATTTACAGACATAGAACGAGGAGCGAGGATAAAGACTGATCCGACATTGACTGACAAAGAGAATGAGGCAGAAACAAAATGAGAAGAGGCAGAGCCAAAGACAAAGAGAGGAAAGAGACAGAGGAGCAACAAACGGCTGGCTATAAAGAGAGCTTTAGCTACAAGAAAAAACAGGTAAGAAATTAAGCTTAAAAAATCCAAGAAAGCCACACAGAAGGAGGGATGAAAGAAAAAGGGAGAGAATCAGCAAGGGAGAGGGTCGTCGGCTGTCAGACAGGTGTTGAAGCCCCCAGCCCCTCCCTCCCTCCCACCCTCCCTCCCTCGGCCCCCTACCCATCAACCCGACCAGCGACCCACCGCCCCCCCAACACCCCCCCAACCCACCCCCCCTCCCTGGCCGAAGGAGGGAGTCGACATGGGCGCGAGATGGGGTGGAGACGAGAAGAAACACAGCACACACGGATGGAGGCTGAGCTACTGACCTAGCCTGCAGCCCTTATGGGACACCTGTGGAGGTTTCGAGGGTGCATCTTACGAAGTGGGTGGGAGGGTTGGGGAGGGGGGGTGGGGGATAGAAGGAAAAACAACAGTCTTTTAAACAGGCAGAATTCATAAATTCTCCAGTGTATCGGCTGTTTATATGCAAATATATGGCACAAGGCATCAGTGGAAATATAAGAATGATTAATTAGAGGACATAGAGCATCTGTCTCTGCTGCGAGCTTTACAGCTCGTCTGCCTTCCTGTCTGGCCATGTATGTCAGTTGAAAGGAGTTACCTACCTGCCCAACAGTGTCTGGAGGCCTGACTGGTTTGTTGTCTGTCTGTCTGTCTGTCTGTCTGCTTATGTTTCTAAGCATTTTGTGGCAGTTTTTTTTTGGGACTGGGATTGTTTGTCTGTCTGATGAGGCTGCACGACGACAGGGATTTAAGTCTGTCTGTCTGTCTGTCTTTGTTGTCCTCCCTCTCTGCCTTAAAAAATTGATGTCAGTCTGTCCGCCTGCCTCACTCCTCATCAGTCTGTCTGCAGGACTCTGAGTGGACCTGACTGTCGTTCATCGCTCGACCGAACTATATGGGGAGGGGTGACTTGCACCGCTGGCTTGTTATCTGTGCACCAGGAAAGAACCAAGAGAATTTTTTTTTTTTTTTTAAAGGGGGGGGGGGGGGGGGGGTGCTATACCATGGATTGTAGTAGGCATGGAGCCTATGTCTATCAATACAGCCAGAGTAGCTCTTAATCACTAAAGCTATACCTCCCTTCACTGCAGTAAAGCTCCCTCTCTGCAATAAACATTTACCATTAAAACATTTAATCTCAAAAGAGCCTTGGTGCACTGCGGTTCAACTTATCTCCCCTCTGTACCACAACCTGCATTAATATTGAATTAGGCAATTTAAAGCAGCCTTTTTGAGTGTATTCAAGTTGTGTGTATATGGGTGTTTGGCAGGAGGAGGGGGGGAGGCGGGGAAGGGGGGACATAAATTAGGTGTGCAAAATCGAAGGCTTAAAGATACTATACAGCTATTGGAACAAAAGCTTTGACTGGGAAACCGTGGCATCAGTTTTTCTTTCAGGGTAATTGATGATTCTGATCAGAGCAGTATCACAATAGATAAAGGGGTAACGTCACAACATATAGATCATTTCCTATACATCCAGGCTGCTCCTCTTCGGTTTATGAGAGGGGGGAAGGTTGTGTCGTGGTGGATCGACAGACAACAAGAAGACCTAATGGAACAGGTGGATTTTTTTTTTTCGCACCGCGGAGAAAATCTACCTTCTCCTCCGGTTCGGATTGGAGCCCTCGACTGCAGTATAATGCCTCTGCTGCTCCAAAGAGGGGCGGGGTGGGGTGGGGGGCTGGGGAAAACCGCTTCCATACGCACACATAACACACATCAGTGAAAAAGAATCTACAGCACTGACCTGGTCGCCGCCGAACGGGTCTTTTCTTGCCACTGCAGAAGCGGACTTTGCTGAAGACCCCCAAGAAATGCCTCTCGCAGAGAGAGCGGGGGTCTTTGCTGGGGCTGGGGCGACGTTTCGAAGTAGAGACCCGGTCGCTGTTCGACTCCCTCGCCTGGCGTTTCTGCCGGATCAGGGAGCTGGCGATCGCGGCCATCTCCCCGAACCGAGACTGAAAACCGAGAGTCTAGTTCGGCAGAGGTCGGATCTTTGATGCAGCTTCTTGCCGCAAAAAAATATAAGAGAGTTTGTTCTGTGTTTCGGCCCACGGGTGTTTCAACCAA